GCACCATATAATCTTAATAATATAAAAGGAACCCTGCAGGATCAAGCCACAGTGGCCAACCAGAGGCCCACATGCAGGACATGAGCACAACAGTCCTTAGAAAAACCAATCAAAATTTAACAGGGAATAGAGTGGTAGCAGTAGGAAAGCAATTAATAAATATGTTGGTGCCAAAGGCTGTAAATAGGCCGGACCCAACATACTGGAGCAAAAAGTTGAGCAGGTGTGCTGTGTTTGTATACGCATGGACACTAATGAAGCAAACAATCCAGCAATTACAGGAAGTGGATAACCAAAGGATGACACAGTTAGAAGGGGCAGGGATGTTTTGCATTCTCTCTGCTAGAAGGAGGGGGGTTGATGAAAGGGAACACATTAATAATAATAATAATAATAATAATAAAATATTTTATTTATACCCCACCCTCCCCAGCAAGAGCCGGGTTCAGGGCTGCTAACACCAGTAAAATTACAATAAAAACATAGTAGGGGGAAAAAACCAATTTATAATACAGGTTAAAATACAATTTAAAATGCAGCCTCCTTTTAATAGTAGCCCATAGATCAACAGCATTACAGAAGGCCAAAGGGTTCCCCAGGCAGAACAGTGTACATGCATGGTCACTATGAACATCTCTGCCCAGGAATGCTACAGATAGCTGCATTAAAGAGAGTGCAGGATTGCTCCCCTTTGAATCCACTGCAGTCTGTTTGAGGTGCCACCTCAGAAAACTCAGTCTGTCTTCAGCCAGCCCCTGCCAGCCAGCCTTCTTGATGTCATGGACTGACTGGAAGCAGAGGAGTGGGGTGAGGCCCCTGCTGGCGGACCCCCAAGTGAACCCCCAGGTCAGAGGGAGAAGAGGGAGCAGACTGGGAGGAGGAAGTGTCAGGAGCTGGAGAGGTAATAGGCTTTAGTGAGCAGCAAGAGGCTGTGGTAGAAGGCAGTCCAGACTCAGAGGCAGGAGAGGAGGGAGACCAGGAGACAGAGGGAGAAATCCAAGGAGTCTCTCCCTCCTACTGCAACCACCTCCCATCCCACCCTGGTCTCCCAGAGACAAGGTGACAGAGCCTTAGGCTGCTGGGGAAGGAATCGGGAGAGGAGCCTGAGAGACTGGTAGGAAGACAGGGACCTTCCGTTCCCACAACTGCCACATAGAGGCAACTTCTACCAGGATGAGGCCTGTCTAGGCCTGAGCTATTTTGTTTCTTTGAATGCAGAGTTACCTTTGCTGCCACCTTGTGAGTTATTACTGACCTGGACCTGGCACCTGCCTCTGGCACTTGCTTCCATCCAGTCCAGAGAGTGGTTCTGGCTATCAGCATCCTCTTCCTTAGGCTCAGTGTTGTCGTTATAGAGCCCGGTAGGGAGGAGAACGGGGGCAAAACTAGAATTGGCTGGCTTTGCCTGTCATTGGCTCTGGCTCCACCTACTGTTGGCCTCTCTGCCTTCCGCCCCACCAGTCTCAATGGGCACCAGCCACCAATGATCCACCGCATTGATGGTCCCTTACCTTTCCCGCCCTGATCTGGCCACAGTGATCCATACGACGGTCACCTCCAGGCTTGATTATTGTAACTCGCTCTATGCAGGGCTGCCTTTGAAGCTGACCCAGAAACTCCAGCGGGTACAGAATGCTGCAGTGAGGCTCCTTACGGGGTCCTTGCCGCGGGATCACATTAATCCAGTGCTTTACCAACTGCACTGGCTCCCGGTGGAGTACAGGGTCAGGTTTAAGGTGCTGGTTTTGACCTTTAAAGCCCTATGTGGCCTAGGACCCACATTCCTACGGGACCGCCTCTCCTGGTATGCCCCGCAGAGGACCTTAAGGTCCACAAATGACAACACCTTGGAGGTCCCATCACAAGGTGGTTAGATTGGTCTCAACTAGGGCCAGGGCCTTTTCAGTACTGGCCCCGACTTGGTGGAACGCTCTGTCACAAGAGACTAGGGCCCTGCGGGACTTGACATCTTTCCACAGGGCCTGCAAGACAGAGCTGTTCCGCCTGGCCTTTGGTTTGGACTCAGTCTGACCCTTATGTCTTCCCTCCCCTTACGGTTTTGAAATATGGGCTACTTTTAAAATGAGGCTGCATTTTAAATTGCATTTTAACCTGTATTTTAAATTGCCCCCCCCCCATTATGTTTCTATTGTAATTTTACTGGTGTTAGCTGCCCTGAGCCCGGCTCTGGCCGGGCAGGGCAGGGTATAAATAAATTTATTGTTGTTATTATTATTATTATTATTATTAGCATCTCTCAGCGTGATGTAGTGGTTATGGGGTTGGACTGGGACCTGAGTTCAAATCCGAGTCTCACATTTCAGTTGGATGACCTTGGGTCAGTCACTGCGTTACCTCATGGAGTAGTTATGGGGATAAAAATAGGGAGCCATTGATGCCACCTTGAGCTGCTTGGAGGAAAGGTGGAATGAAAATGCAATTTATAACAACAACAACAACAACAATTGATAACAATTATGAAATTGGTGGCAATTGTGGTCAGCAGTCTGGATAAAGCACACAGGACAAAGAGGAAATATTGACTGTTATAATCTCAGTAAATGTTTTCAGAGTCAAAACGTGTCGTCTCGGCATCAGAAAATCCTCTCTGGTACATCCAGGGAGGCGTCCCAGGGAATTCAGGGCAGGCCTGAGATGGGGATGATGACGATAGTTGAAGCCAGGGAACAAACGCGCCACTCCTTTCAGAGCCAGCTGGAAGTGGCGTTGACGTGAAGCTGTAAGCCCCGCTAAGAGGGAATTACAGTATTCAAGACATGCGGTCGTGAGGGCATGAGCTACGCAGAGGTCTTCCGGAGATAAATAAGGCTGCTGTGCCACTCGCACAGAAACAAGGGCTGGAAATAAATCCAGCTTCGAACGACGATGGCACAGACGTGGTGCTTTGCAGGGAAAGTTGAGCAGGCAGCCTGCAAATCCGCCTTGCCACTTCTGAGCCGCCTTCCCTTAAGCGTCAAGGGAGGGCAGGTCATTTATTATCATGGCTCCTTATGTGTCCCAGGCATTCATCTGTTCATATTAAGGCCACCTCTGCGTAACTGTAGTCCAGCAACATGGAGGGGCTGGCACAGGTTTGAGCACCCCAGATTTAAAAGCATTTATTACAAGTTAAAGATTGGGACCTCTCTGGCATTTCATACAGCCATTTTAGTTTCCAGTGCAGTCTCAGAATCTTCAACTTTTAGCAGTAAAAATGTGGACAGAGTACAACTTTTAAGCCACAGTAAGCCACACATACACACACACAACTTTTGTGCTCCACCTTTGCTAAATGTGCCCTATTATCCAGATGTAAGAAACAGCTAAATTTGTTAACTAGCTATTATTCCGCTAACTCAGAATAACGCTGCTAAAAATGAAACATGAAATTAGCCTGCCATTTTTCTGTCGCTCATGAAAGGTATTAAAAACATCATTTTCTCAAGTTCTTAATTTCCATTAAAATACCTTTTCTGACAAATTAATAACATTTCAGGGATTGTTAACAGCTCCTAAACAACAGCAGGTGTGTGACGTCTTCTGCACGTGCTACGTGTACAAAACTGACTCCCTATATATCAGGGTGTGTCCCGTTTCCCCAACATTGGCGAGAGGAAGTGGCCAGCAGGATGGTGCAGTCGGAAAAATCTAAAAGAGCCCTGCCTTTAGTCGGACATATTTTTGAATTTTTGCATTGTTTACTTATCTCTGCGATTCCATGGTAATTTGAAAACTGTTAAAATAAATGAAAAAAATTAAAGAGCCAGGCTACACGGCAGTGTTTATCTTGTAACCACACACGGGGGATTTTGTGGGAATTTCTTTGGTATGTGGCCAGAAGGGGGAGAATTAAACATGCCATTCACATGTCAAAGTGACACCTCTCATGGCAAGGTCAACAGTGCTGGTGTAGAGTATGGGTGGCTCCCTAGGGTGGCAAAATTCCCTGGATAAAGCTTTTTTAAAAACAAAAAAACTAAAAAACTAAAATTATATAAATGTTAATTTTGACACTTTGGGCATAAATCTCAGGCTGCCATTAAAATCAGAGGTAGAAAGTTGCCTTTCACTGAGTTAGATCGTTGGTCCATCTTGTCATTCAATTCCACTCAGTATTGATCCAGAGTAGATTCCAATGTATAGTTAAAAGAGTAAAAACTTAAACACGTTGCAGAGTTCCCAAAAATAGACTAGAGGCAATTGTATTTCATCCAGCAGAGCTTTACTGGTACTGAAGGCAAATGAGCATAACGGTCACAAATCCAATACATTTAGGATTGGCACACTCCATAATAAATCCAGTTGCAGCAGACTTAACTTAAACTTACAAACTTATAACAAGACTAAAACTTAAAACAAAGTATACTATGTACAGAGTACCACACCAGAAGGAAAAGGCATAGAAAGAGAAAGTGACGCCCAGGCTCCTTCTGGTTCTACTTTTATCATCAGTATGACCTTGACAGAAGACATAAGAGAACTAGTTCAAAGCCCATTGTACTCAGCTTATCTGAAGGAATAACCCAAATATCATGAACCTTCTGCTTGTTTCTTTCACACAAAGAAGCTTCCAAAACCCTCTTGAATTAACTAGAATAGGAAAGATCTCTACACATCAGATCAATACTTTCTGCACAAAGAACTGCAAACTGACACATCTACCTCAGCACTGTCTGTAATTGTTAAGTTGTGGGTGAACATATCAGACGACACAGCGATTCTTCAAACAGCTCTTGTTTATTCACAGGCCAGAACAGAACTGAACTGAAGGATTCAGCCAGCCTGCTTATATAGAGCTGCACTGCAACGCAACTGTAACACTTTCTGTAACTACCCAATCACTGAATGTCACTTTCAATCCCTTATGTGCATATGCGGACCTGAGTGAAAACTATCTACAGTATCCCCCTGCTGGCCCAAGATGAGAACTTCGGTACATAACACCAATGACTGGCAGCAGCTCTCTGGAGTTTCAGACAGGGGTCTCTCTTATCCCTCCCTGGAGATACCAGGGATTGAACCTGGAGTCTTCTGTGAGCATAGCAGATGCTCTATACTGAACTATGGTCCTTCCCCATTAGGTACCTTAGACTCTCTCTTTTATTATAGAGTGACATCCACTATCTCTTTCTACAAACAGCCGATTACGGTAGCTTCTAGGGCCATTTTTAGATTTAGACCAGCCTCACCTCAACAATAGCTGAGGTATCGTTCAGTGCAAAATCAGCCACTTCATGTAACCACATCAGTCAGGAACATGTCCAGGCATGTTGAGGCACAGGTGTGGCCTGATAGTTAATACTGAAGCTGCGATTAGAGCAAGCAGCATCTTAGAACAGCTTTAGACTGTGGTTGCAAAGGCAGTTGCGTGTTGAGTACTTGGGGAGAACGCAATGCAGGTAAAATTAGGGAGGAAGCAGAGGTTTTTTGAAGATGTGGAGCAGGATGCTATTCTTCTCCAAGACTTCTCAAAGCACCCAGGAAAGCAGACTTTAGGCTTGTCAGATCCACTTTGTCTTCTGCTAGAACCACAAGAGCTATCAACCATAGCCAAGTGCAAAAAGACATAATTATAACATGGGTGGTTTGTCCCATTTCACTGTGGTGCCCTGTGTGCCCCCTCCAAAGATTGTGTGGTTTCTGGGTTCTGGAGAGATCTCATGAGAGGTTCATGGGATCTTGTGAGAGGTCCCCAAGATCTTGCCAGAACCCAGGAGCCACAACCGCAGCTGCTTGTCCTTGCTTCACTGGCATCATTGGTGGGGGGAGCACCTGTGAGTTGCACATGGGGGTGTTGCCCTTGGATTCCACCACCTGAGGCAGCTGCCTCAGTCCATCTCGTGAAAAGGCAGGCCCTGAATCAGAGAGTAAAATGGAAACCTTTCCACAGATTAATTCCTGCTCACCTAAGGGGTAAAGGTTAAAGATGAGAGGAAGGCAAGGGGAAAGGGTGTAAAATCAGTTGTGCAGAACTGAACCTATTCACACTGATAACCAAATGTGGTTGCTTCACATGGAAATCAAGGGTAAGGTCAAAGCAATACAATACATGAAAATTTTCCTTAAAGGAGTCTGGGAATAAAGGAGCAGAAGCAAGGGAATAAGTACACAAAAGAGGTTAGAAGAGCCCTCCTGGATCGAACCAAAGACCCACATAGCGCAGCAAATTGGTGAATGCACCATGTGACTCATGATGTAAGAAGGCAGCATGTTCCACTGTGCCCTGTATTCATCACATGCAGCGCTGTTTCCATTCTGCTGCAGTTCTTCCTTGCTGTCCACTGTAGTGAAATTACACAACTCAGTAATTAATGACGTAATTCACATTGTCATTGTGGATAATCCATCCCATTCATTTCAAGTCAAAGGAAACAGAATGCGAATGCAGATGGGGGATGTAATTGTGTGCAGATTGAAAATAGCAGCAATGAATACTGGTTGTTTTCACTTGGTTGATTTGGCCATGAGACTTGACTGTTATGGACATTGGACAAATAAATGAACAAGTTCCACTCGGTGCCAGGTTTGAGGGGAGCCCCAGACATCACCACACTCAAAGCACCACTCTAGCCAGCCTCCTCAAAGTGCTATTCTGGTGGATGCTCCCACAAGCATCACCCAGATAAATTTTATGTCAGGAAGGTTTATTGTTGATAAGACCGTGGTATTCTGGGTAGTTATTCAGAGTGTGGAACCAAGATTTAATTGAAATTCATAAGTGAGCAAAATTTGTGTGTGTTCAGTTACCTACAATTCTTCGCAGACAGTCATCTTCTTTCAGGTCTACATTTAGTGGAGTTGATCTCTCCCTCTGGTGATTCCTGTTGAATCAGAAAATCAAATACCCCATTGAAAAACTGATCAAAATATTTTCTCAGATTTGCATTCACTAAAATACTTCCCTCCCTCCCTCCCCAAACTTGTTGGGTCGACATCTGTCATAGAGTTAGCTTTGCCTAAACTGCTGCCCTCCAGATATTGTGTGGAATACTATTCTGATGGGAGTTGCAATGTTTGTTGAGACTATGGGAGTTGTAGCTCAAAGCATATGAAGGACACCTGGTTGGGAAGATTAGTGTAGCTTCAGCTATAAGTCCCACAGGGCCTCTGTTACGATTCGATTAGCTTGGACTACAAAACCTGTCCCTATTTCCCCCTGTATCTCTGAATCTGGACCCCAGAGATTAGAAAAGCTTCCACAAACCTGCTAAACACAGGAACATCCAGCTGTATCCTGACTGACAACAGCTCTTAAGGGTTTCAGGCAGGAGTCATTCCATGTTATTTGCTTTACCAAATAATAGCCACATACATCCACCAAGAGAAAGTTTGCTCTCCCCCCTCCTCCAATTAGCACTTCTCTTTGTAAGCTTTCCCCTTGCTGCTCACTTAAAGTCACCAAGTGTGTTTAATCCTTGCTCAAATACCCTTTAAAACAGCTCAACCGTTGTCCACTGCCGAGGCTATAAACAGCCACCCATGTCTCCTGTGGCTAATCACTGATCTCACTGTGATTTAAGGCTTAAGCGCCACTCCAATTTAACGGGCTGCGCTATAGTCCCATCTGTATTAATGGTGTGTGGGAATTACTGCTGCTAGCTTGTTTAACCATTTGCTGTCACTGACAACAGAGATAAAGGAAACACACTGCAAGTGGAAAACCAGCAATTCCCTACAAAAAGAATGAATTTTAGGGGGGGAATATCAGTGTTTAGTGGTATGTTCTCACCTAGTCATTGATATGAAGGAAATGGAATGTGTTAAATACTCCAAAGCACCATAAAAATGCATCATGATTAATTTTTAAGAAATTAAGTAGAGAGGAAAACAGTGGTGCCCGAGTGCTAAATTATAACGCAATACAAATTTTCACCAGACCCAAATTGTCACTGAGGGTTGCTTTATTCTCCGATTTCATTTGCATTCACAGACCCTTCAACTGCTCAGCTTTAAGCGGGACACCTTGGAATTACAAAAGCCATCCCGACTTCTGAGTCAATTGCAGGATGTCCCTGTTTAGCTCCTGCAAGATCGTGGCCCCCAAAGACACCTGTTTTGGGGCCCCATGCTCTCATTTAAGTCATCTGGCTTCCGTGGCTTTGCAGCTCTGAAAAACGTGTATTTTGGGGGCCTGTGCTGTTGCGAGAGTCATCTGGCTCCTGTGACATTGCAGCCCTGAATGATGCACATGGGGGGGGCATGTTCTCACATGAGTCATATGACTCACATGGGAGCATGGCCCCGAAAAACGTGCACCCCAGTTTTCCCCTGGGTCAGGTTGGAGGGTATGCATGTGTGTATATGCAGCTTTAACATCCATGGGAGAAATCAGCCTGTGGAACCTTGGTTCAATAACGCATTCATGGATAAAAAGATTCAAGGTAACTTGAATCAGGAATGACTGCAGCAAAACCAGGTGCATGCTTTAAGAGAACACCCAGTTTCACTGATCCAGCTTTCCAGGGAGGGAAGTCCATAAGTGATGGGTTCCTTTGTATATGCATGTTCTTTAATATTTGTTCTTCCATTTGTTCTTCCATATTCCATTTTTGTGCTTTATATAGAACTGCAGGTGTGTCTAGATTGTCCAGTCTGCTTTTATTTATTTTAAAACATTTATAAACTATACGGTATTTCAAATAACTCTAAATAGTGTTAAACATAAAACAAAAACTCATTGTCATTGTTCAGCCTTGGGACCCCAGGTGATGCTGGCCAGGCCTACCAAACCCATCATCTCCAACCAGCTTAGCCAATGGTCAGTGATGATGGGAGTCCATCAACATGTCGTTTGGGGACCCAAGATGGAGGGACCTTGTGAAGCAGTGCCTTGAGATCACACCATGGTGAGAAAGTTGACCACATTCCAAATGCAGTAGACAACTAGAAATGTTAAGTGTGATAAAATCCTTTGCAGGAAAGATCTCTGGAGCCTTCCCTTATAGAAATGTGTTTCTTAGCAACTGTGTAATTCTATAGTTAGCTTCATTAATTTGAGGGAGGGGGAAATTATTCTCTCCTTTTCTCTCTTCTTCTAAAAACTGACTGAAGTCTGCATCAGATTGCTCAAAGACACTGACTGACAGAGAGAAGGAAAAAGTAATTAATGAATTAATGAATGCAATTCATTATCTCAAGATGTGGTGGAGACCTCTAGCTTAAAGGTCTTTTTAAAAACAAGTAGCTAGTTTTACAGAGGACAGCTCTATTAACCATGACAGCTAAAAATAGAGCTTAGATATATCCTTGCTACTTGACGTGGGAGTCTGGAGAGCAATGACAGAAGGTCTTCTCAATCTGTGACCTTCCCTAGGGCCATCTGCTTGTCCCATGTTGGAGAGAGTGGTAGACTAGTTTGGCATGAACTCAAAAGCTACATGTTCCTTCCATGCCAGCCTGTCCCCACCTCCCCCTCCAGGTGTACCCTCCCATACACACACTCAATTGCTGGTTCTTTCACAAAATAAAGATGCAAATTTTTGTTGTCTGTTCTGGTTAAGCTAATACAATTTCAGTAATTTCTGAAAAAAGCACGTCATAGTTTCCTGGATGGTTTTGATTAATAAGACTAAAGAGCCCTTAAGCTATCAGAAGTGTGTGTGTGTGTGTGTGTATGGGGCTAAACACACTCTCCAACAAGAGAAAGCCCCCAGCAGAGTATTAAAATCACAGAATCATGCAGTACAGGGAAGTGTGTGAATAATAGGCTGTTAGACCTTTTAAATATCTCGTTCTAGTCCACTTACAGTGCTTCCCCACTCTACCCCTCTTGCAGTGATCAGACCACACTGTTTAGTAAGTTTAAATGCTTTACTTACAAACTCCAAAGGTCAGATTCATGCATTATTCTATGCAGCAGCAACTAAACACCGGCAGAAATCTTGGGGGCGGGGATATAGTGAAATAGTTCTAAGCAGTCTGAGCTTGTAGCAAGCAAGCTCAGGCATGTCCTGTCTTGGTGAATTCATATGGTGAAAGAGAGCAGACAAAGGAGGAAACTTAACTTCCTTCCTTGTAGGTGAGGGGTTTGACCCAGATGAGTCTAGGAATACAATTCTGTGGTCTTAATCCCTTCATGCATTAACTAGCCCTAATCTTACAGGTTATATTTGATAGCAGCTTCTCAAACACAAAATGTGTTATTTCCTTGCAAATACTGTACATCCAGATAATCTGGAGCTCCCCTTGAGTTAGAGTCACAAGTTGTTTTCTAATCATGATTCTTTGTTATTCACTGCAGGGTACTGCTGTGAAATCAGTGCTTCTCAAATAGCTAATTTACCTGGCCCTTGGAGTCTCTCAGCTCCTTGAAGCTTTTTTGTGAGTTTGTCAGAGTGCATAACTTCTGACTGGATGGCAAACGAAGCAATCAGTTAGCCTTTAATTAAAAACCCAGGAAACCTATGCCAGAAAGGGTTTTAAGCAGGTTACCATTATGAATTGCGATCTACAGGGTGACAGGGACAGACTGTCGGGCTGAGGCATGACAACTGGAACATAATCCTCCCTGATTAATTAAAAGCAGAAGACTGCTAATCTCTAGGTTAATCTGAACAATTTGTCACAAATATTTTTTAAAAAACCAACTCACATAAGATTGCCAGACAATTTCGGTTACAAGGTCAAACTAGGGGATAACAAGCCGCTTAACTCAACCTCTTATCCCATTTTTATGTTAGTGCATCCATATTCTCATTTTGTTCATGCTGCTGTTTCCAGATACAGCCTGCCAAAGTCTTCATATGTCCAAACATTGTTGACAACATTTTTGTATTTTCATTTTTAAAAAATACTTCATCCACAAAATCTCAGAGACTGTTACCTAAGTTCAGTATGGTATTGTTATGGCAGCATGGGTGACCTTTTGGAGCATGGGATGGACTTTGAAGTGCAGCCCGCCTCACCATTTTTACAATTTGCCTCTTTCTTTCTTCAGGATTCCTTAGGCTATTACAATGGGAGTGTGTACGTATGCATATGTGTGAAATGGTAGGCTTTTAACATGGAGGTCTGATCTGTAAAAGGTAAAGGACCCCTGGACAGATAAGTCCAGTCAAAGGCAACTATGGGGTTGCAGCGCTCATCTTACTTTCAGGCTGAGGGAGCTGGCGTTTGTTTGCAGACAGCTTTCTGGGTCATGTGGCCAGCATGACTAAACTGCTTTTGGAGCAACGGGACACCATGATGGAAACCAGAGCGCATGGAAATGCCATTTACCTTCCCACTGTACTGTATCAGTACATATTTATCTACTTGCACTGGTATGCCTTCAAACTGCTAGATTGGCAGGAGCTGGCATACAGCTACAGGAGCTCACCCTGTCACAGGGATTCGAACCACCGACCTTCTGATTGGCAAGCCAAGAGGCTCAGTGGTTTAGACCACAGCGCCACCTGTGTTCCTAATTTGTAGGCTCATCTGTAATTTCCTGTTGGCCATGTTCTACAAGGCTGCTCAGGGAAGCATTTAAACGACCTTGATTGAAACATATTTAGCTGCGAGGTGTGATTTTATGTACAGTACTGTATATGTATTTTAATGGCTTTATTTGGCATTGGTTGTTTTATCAAGTTACTGTTGCCCACCCTGAGATTGTATTTCTATTTATTTATTTAACAGGGTTTCTAAACCGCACAAACATCAAACTCTCTAAGTGTTTTCCATAAAATAAAAAATACACATGGGAGAATCTAGATGGAGGGTAAGAGATTACATATATTACACACACACAATTTATTTATTTATTTATCCATTGCCTTATATCACAACGGTCTTAAGGTGACTTACCATAAATACAGAGAAGCAAATATATAAATTGCATGGAATAAAATGTGATCATACACTGATTCCCAACAATTAACCCCAAATTCCTTCAACAGACATTCAATGTGTACCTTTGCTACGCAATGTTACCTTCTCTCAACTGCTGTTTAGTTTGCATTGTTTTGACTTGCATTGTTCTTAAATTTTGTTTGATTGTACTGGAGCACACCCCTCCACGGTGATCTCAGTCACTCTGAGTGTCCTGAAAGCAGAAGACTTGGATATTCAGTAATAATAACTGTTTATTTCCCTTTTATTTTTTACAAGTAGGTGCAGAACATTGTATATGGAGCCATACAAACGTACTGTGTGTATACAGTAAATGAGTTTCCAACTGCTTACATCATTAATGTCCAATAATCAAAGTCCTTGGATAGGCTTGCTCCACAGCAGAAAATGATACACTTGAGGGGGGGGAATTGCTTATTTATTTATTTATTGGATTTGTGTGCTGCACCTTCCTCTAAGGAGCACAGGAAGGCAAACTAATCAATCCTAATACAATTACAATCTATTTAAAAACAGTTTAAAACAAGCTTCTAAAAAGCAATTAATAATGATATATACACAGCTGTATGGAGAAGCCTTAAAACAGAAAAAAAAACCACATGGCAAGTGCTGGTCCAGTAAGGATTTGTTTTGAGTACAAATCCATATAAACAATGTGAGTGTCTTTTAGCTAGCAGGCTTAAGCCTCACATAGTCTTGAATTCGAGTCTATGATCTATCCCTGCCATTGACCCCATTATGTAGCTTCATATTATTTCATAACCCTCCAACATTTCTCCGATGAAAATAAGGACGTCCCATTCCATAATGATAAGTAGTTTGCTATTTTTACCCCCCACCCAACATATATAAAAACATAATAAAACATTAATTTTTTTTTTTTTTAATCCCTATACAGGATTGCCTTCAGACGACTTGGAGGTTGGATAACCCCACACCCTCCAACATTTCTCCAATGAAAATAGGGACATCCTAAGGAAAAGTGGGACATTCTGGGATCAGATCAGAATCTGGGACGGCTTCTCTACACCTGGAAAACATGGACACTTGGAGGGTCTGTTATTTATCCACTTCCTTATTGCTCAGCCCGAGTTTCTCCTGTAGGGGAAAAATGAACAAATACAGATGCGGGTTCTTTTGAGGGCATCTTAATTATAAAGCACACATAAACATACTGACAAGTTTTGTGTTTTTTTGCCAATATTACACGTGCCATTCATATGCCTAGCACTGCGTGCATCATCTTGAGCAGCGTTAGGGATCCCTTTCTTTGCACTACCAGCCCCCACTGGATTTCCCCAGGGCACATTTTTGCTTCACTTGGACGGCCCTCCAGAACAGAGCGGGCCGGCAGCCCCTGCTCTCCCCGCAAGGCTTTCCCTCTCCGGGGTTACCATCTCTGTGTGTCCCGCTTGCCCTCGCTCCGGGCCTACTCGACCAAACTCCTCCCGCCATAAGGGACAAGCGGCTTAGGGCGGTCGGTCGCCATAGCGACGGCCAATCAAGAGCCCGGCGGGGCGGGGCCTGGCCGGGGAAAGTCGTTGGGCGCGCCCTGATTATGCGGGCAAAAGGAGCCTGAGGCGGGTGTCGCTGAGGGAAGGCTCTCGCCGGTTCGGGCGCCAGGGGCGGGAGAAGGCGCTTGAGAGCGCTGAGGGAAGGTTCCCTCTCGCCTCTCACCTCCTCGGCAGAGGGGCTCTTCGGGTCTTCGTCCTCCGTCGGGTTGGATTCCCGGGTGCTTCCTCTCAGCGCCGTCCGCCAGGCACCAGGTGAGGAAGGGCTGCAGCCCAGTCGCGCCTCCTGAGGGGGAGAGGCGAAAGTTTGACAAAGCGCGCACCTCACTTTTTTGGGGGGGGGGGGGCGGCTTCGCGCGCGTTTGTGTCTGCTCAACCCCATTTCGCCCGTGCTGGGAGGCTCACTTTGCAGCGAGTCCGGCTGGAAGTCGGCGGCGCTTGGCTCTGACTTGCGCCCCTGCGATGGAGCCGCTCAGTTCCACAGGTAACGATTGGATGGCGCGCTAACAAACGCATCTGGATTTCTGTAGGCATATAGAGAGGCAGGGGCGTAACCGGGGGTGGGGTGGGGGGTTGCAGCTGCCCCATGCCAAATCAAGTAAATAAATAAAAAGGCTTAACTAGTGGAAAGATTTTGACAGGTTTTTTTTTTCTGAGCACCTGGGGTCAAAAGAAAGTACAGTGGTACCTCGGGTTACATACGCTTCAGGTTGCAGACTCCGCTAACCCAGAAATAGTGCTTCAGGTTAAGAACGTTGCTTCAGGATGAGAACAGAAATCGCGCGGCAGCAGCGCGGCAGCAGCGGGAGGCCCCATTAGCTAAAGAGGTGCTTCAGCTTAAGAACAGTTTTAGGTTAAGAACTGACCTCCAGAATGAATTAAGTTCTTAACCTGAGGTACCACTGTAATTTGAAACAACTGTTGTTGAGACATTCCGAATCTGCTAGACCGAGGATGATTGACAGGTGGGTGTCCTGCCCCCCCATAAATCCTGACTACACCCATGTATAGAGGGTGTTTCTGGCTGCAACTGCCCCCCCCCCCTGCTTTGAGGCATGTAAGTGGGTATTGCATACCAGCTGGGGGGAAATGATGTCTTTTTCCTTACTTTCCCCAACAGGTTGTTTTAAACACTGCTAGAGTTCAAAACGCCCACCATCTGTTCCAAGGACATTTTAATGTCTAGCAATGTGTGTGCAAATATACAGTGGTACCTCGGGTTAAGTACTTAATTCGTTCCAGAGGTCCGTTCTTAACCTGAAACTGTTCTTAACCTGAAGCACCACTTCAGCTAATGGGGCCTCCTGCTGCTGCTGCTGCTGCCGCGCCGCTGGAGCACGATTTCTGTACTCACCCTGAAGCAAAGTTCTTAACCCAAGGTACTATTTCTGGGTTAGCGGAGTCTGTAACCTGAAGCGTATGTAACCTGGAGCGTATGTAACCCGAGGTACCACTGTACAGGCTATACACCCCATGCCTTGACTCTCTTCTCACCATTCCTGAGGGGCAAGTTTGAAAGATGGGGAATTTAGCCAGAAGTAGAGTTTACCTGAAGTTCCTTAATGGGAATTATGGCAAAATTCTGAAGTCATGATTCACAGACCAAAGCTCATTATCATCCAACATCCACAATATTGCACCAGTGCTCTCTTAACTTTGATAAGAGCTAGTATTTGGTATTTGAAATAAACATACTGTAGTTTAGTTCTTTCTTGAATCTTCAATAAAAAAATGGATAAATATATCTTCAGCTTCTATGAAACTAAAATGTGTTTTTTGTTCATTTGGTGGAAAGCGATAAATCTGTAGGTACTGTTAATTCTTGAGTTCAGTAATTGCAAATCTAAAATGGGGCTTTTTGATAGGATTTAAATCATGGCTGTTCCCCTGTAAATAGGTGCTTAGCTCCAATAGCGTTTTTGTAAAGCTATTTATAGGAATCTCCCAGATCAGCTCATGCTGCCATGAGAATGTTGCAAGGTAGAAATTATTTGTCATGTTGTCGGGAAAAACTGCTCTCTATTACATACTCTCAAAATATTATCTGGATTGAAAATCTGTCATTTTTAAAGGAAAATCCAATGGTAAAACAATGCATTGAAACGCTGATGGGACCGTACTGGCTTGATCTGTTTTTTTGTTTTTTTAAGAATGCTTTTTAGTGCAGCGGCAACCAACATGGTGTCTTCCAGATGTTGTTAGACTACAGGTCCCACCATCCCTATTGACAAAGTATGAACACAAAATACATAATAAAGCAGAAACAAACCAATAACTCCTTCTCCCACAAACACGTTTAAAAGGCCACAGAATGTTAATCAGCCAACATCTTGGTTATAAAGAAATGTTTTCACCTGGCACCTAAGGATATATAATGAAGGCGCCAGGTGAGCCTTCTTGAGGAGAGCATTCCACAAACAGGGAGCCACTGCAGAAAAGGCCCCTTCTCATGTTGCCACCCTCTGGACTTCTCATGGAGGAGGCATCAAATGATTATTGCAGTGTCTGGATTGGTTCCTATGGGGAGAGGCGGTACTTGAAATAAAGTGGTCCCAAGCTGTTTAAGTTCTCATTGGTAAAAACAAGCACTTTGAATTGTGCCCGAAAACCAATTGGCAGCCAGTGCAGTTGGGCCAGGATCCGTGTGATATCCTCAAACTGTCTTGTCCTAGTGAGCAGCCTGGCTGCCGAATTCTGCACCAGCTGAAATTGCCAAGCTCTCTTCAGAGGTGGCCTTGTGTATAATGTGTTGCAGTAATCTAACCTAGAGGTTACCAGAGCATAGAGGTTGGGTTTCAGCACCATCATCCTCAAGCAGCATGGCCAATGGTCAGCATTGGGAGTTGTAGTTTTAACAACACCTGGAGGGCCACAGGTTCCCCAGCCCTGGGCTTTCTAGATGGTACTGGAATGGCATGGGTAGTGGCTCGCATGTTTCCATAGGAGCAAATGAATCAGCCCTCTGAAGGATGCCATTTGGGAGATGTGATGGTACTGATCCCAGGCATTCATTCTTCACCCCAGGAGGTGATCAGAAGTATTAAAGCTGTCAGCAGCATCTTGTGTTTGCTGCTTGCGTGCAGGGATATACCGTACATGGACAGCCTGTCTCTGGGTTTACTGATCTTTGGATACTTACTTAGTTAAAACTTTTTTATCCCACTGTTCAGCCAAAGAAAATCTCCCAGAGTAGTTCACAAATATCAGTAATAGGACAGCTGCCACCTTCAGATTTGTAGCCAAAGACATGACACAAAAGGAAAAGGGATTAGGAGGGAAGAAGGAGCAAAAGCAACATTGAGCACTAGTTCTTTGCTTCAGAGTTCTTGTAATCACGAGCTGGAGTAGAAATTTCTAGAAAATTATGACAATCACGTTTATGAGCTGAGCCAATGGAGAGGCGTTGTACAGGCAACAACTGGTTTGCATGGGGGTTATGTTCCTGATCCCCGTGTGTGTAAGCCTATCCCGCCCCCTTTTCCTGCCACTTCTGGGTTGCAGCAGTGCGTGTGCACACTCATCAATTGGTCATTGCCTGCCGTCTCTTCACTCTCTCTTTCTGTGCTATAGTTTGAGGGAATGATTTCTCCATTAGCTATGTATTTAAATAATTTGCATGCATTTAACAATATATATTCCAAAATAACAATAAAAACTATGTTGCATTTTTTTTAAAAAAAGGAGGTCAAAGTGTAGCTTTTTTAAAAGTTTCAGTCTGAGATAAGGAGTTTTACTGGTTTCAAAGCTTTTTTGGACAGGTATAAATACCTAACATTGATTATGTCCAAGGTGCATTGAAAAATCATATCACTTTTCTGCAGTAAATTTGCCACTGCCTTCATACATATTCTTGCAAGGTATGATAGTACTGGGAGAGACATAAGATTCCTGGGAAGTAGGCTAGAACCAGCAGGCCTTATCATCCTCTGAAAATATAGGATGCAAATGTGTTTAACAATAGCTTAGTGGATCTTTTGCTAAGCAACTTGGAAGCTGTGCTGTTTAAGCAGAGAAGCATGAGTTCTTGTTTAAACCTTTCCCTCCCTGACATTTTCCTACTCCATTTTTCTACTGTTCCAACTGTTTTTATCCCAGTAGGTTTCCAGATATGTGCAAGGATGAGGGTGCACCTGGAACCTTGAAAGAGGGAAATATAGCCACAGGGAGGGTTCTGGAGAGTAGCAAAGCGGATGCAGAAAGGGAATAAATACATATCTATACATAACTACAGCTTTCCCACTCAAAATCACAATGACCAAAGCTGCTTTTCTGAAGCCAAAATAAGTACATTGGATCATTTCCATGTATTGTGTTGTTTGTCCCTTAGCTGAAGGAATTCCAAGTCACTATATATTGTGGCATTGCTGTAGTCCCATCCTTTGTGTTGGTAGACTATGTGGGTAGTTGATCCGTGGCTCCAAGGGCTATAAGCTTCAATGGAGTGCATTGCTGGAATTCTTCTCAGACCATCATATCCCATGGACTTGGGGGGGATAAGCTGATTTAATTTCATTGACTGCCAAGGGATTACATCAGTTTAAACTGGAATACTTTGGCATAAGTGGGTCATGGAAAGGTCTGAAGATAATTCCGAACACTTCTGAGAATGCTTTGCTTCACATTTAAGATCTAATTGATGTGTATGTAGTTAAGCTATCTAGAAAAGGGAATTTTGATTTTGACATGTTGGGCATAAATCACGGAACACAAGAAACTGCCTTAGTCAGGCTATTGGTCCATCTAACTCAGTGTTGTCTACACTGTTTGAAAGAGTTATTAATGATAAAGTGATTTCCAAAATGTACAAATCGTTATTAGAATGGGAAATGAAAGAAAAGTAGGTGAAGTCGGTGATGATTCACTGGGCAAGAGATATAAGCCATAATACTGAAATGGCCGCATGGGAGAAGTTGTGGAATGTAGACCTAAAATTTACAGCATGTTATACACTGAAAGGCAACTGCATGAAAATGATGTATGGTTGGTATTTAACTCCTAGTAGATTGGCAAAAATGTATAAATCAAAATCAAACACATGCTGGAAATGTAAAGAAAAAGAAGGTACTTTCTATCATATGTGGTGGTCTTGTAAGAGAGTAAAAGCTTTTTGGGAAATGATTTATAACAATTTGAAGAAAATGTTTACGGTAACTTTTAATAAAAAAACAGAAGCTTTCCTTCTGAGGATCATAGATACTGAGATACCATAAGACCAAATAATAATAATAATAAAATGTTTATGTATGCTACAACTGCAGTTAGAATGGTTTTTGCCCAGAGCTGGAAAGAAGATGTAGTACCAACCAAGGAAGAGTGGCTAATTAAATTAATGATTATGCCAAAATGGCAAGGTCAACGTGTGTAATAAGAAACCAAGAAGAAGAAGAAAATTATTAAAGATTGGGAGAAATTTGTGGAATGTTTGAAAAACTCATGTATGCAAACAAGCAGTTAAATATATTATTAAGAGAAAATAAAGACTAAATGTAGAAAATGGAATATGAAAATTAAAACTAAAAAGAAACCACAAAAGGAGGGGAGGGAAGTCAAATATATGTGTATTAGAAATGTATGTGATTTGTGTTTTGTATGTTTGCAAATATTTGAAAAACTGAAAAATAATTAATTTTTTTAAAAAAGTGTTGTCTACACTGACTGACAGTGGCTTTCCAGAGGAATGGAGATGCCAGGGATTGAACCTAGGACTTAGAGCAAGCAAAGCAGATGTTATATCACTGAGCTATGGCTCTTATATTAGAACTACTTTAACAATATCCTTTATTAAAAGGGCACATAAGTGGAGACTCTTCTTAATTTATGACCAGCATGACAGACAAACTCTTTAAAGTTTGCAAAAAGGTAGTGGTGAAGGGTGCCTAGCCTTGCTGCTGGGAGGAAGTGGGAAAGTGCTGGATTCGTCATTTCTCATTTATTTCACACAAAGTGCCAATCCCAGATTACATGTTATCCTGCAGTGTACCTTTGATAGTTCACACCATGCATGGTATCCCAGGTTGGAAATGGGGAGGGTGCCCCCCCCCCATAATTTATGGTTCTATGCCAAAAAAGATGAGGTGGTTGTTTTTTTAAAAAAGCTCTAGAACTGCAGAGTCAAAAAGAGCACTGTTATGCCGCTCTGTGGTTTCCCAGAAGCACTTTATTGTGCAATGCCATATTGTGAGCTGAAGTGCATGTTATGAACATCATGCAGAGTGTGCTGCTTGGTGACACTCGTCATAGCATGTTTGAAAAGGACAGCTAGTGTGGTGCCTTCCAGATGTTGCTGGCCTAAAACTCCCATCACCACGGTCTATTGGCGAACATCTGGACTGCACAACAGTGGCTACTCCTACTGTGGCATTGGTTGTGATGTCATTCTAGCACCTGGTATAGAAAATTACCTCTTCAGTGTTGACTGCTTTTTGGAAGTGGTTGCATTGGTGGTAAACTCTCCAAGCTAGTTGCCAAAATGATGTGATATAGGAGGTCTTTGCATTATAGCTGTGATGATGCTATCCCACGGAAGCTGTTGTCAGCAATCTGAGCATGATGATTTGCTGTGCTGAGAATGAGCTCCTGTTTGGTTGTCTTGACGAAAAGATACCGGTAACATGTGCTGTTTCCCAAGCAGAAGTTGGTCCAGTAGAAAAGATCACCTCCTTAATAATGTTATTAAGTGGAGTGCAGTGGAGACATGCTCTGTGTGAAGAGGTCTTAGCTGTTCAGCTCTTACAAGCAATTTAAAAAAATGGTTGCAACAATATTCACCATGTAGAGGTATGTTAAGTCAGGTACTTCAAAGTCAGCTGTTGTTTGAGATTAAAAATTCAAGTTAAAACCATGCTTCTGATAAAAAGGAGCTGGGGTTTGCTTAATATATATCTCCTCATGAGTATTATCATTAAATAGTTCTGAAAAAAACTAAGTAACTCTCATTATAAAGAAGCCTGGACAAGTGGTGTACACAGTAGTCAAAATACAATATGATATTTTCCACTAACAGTAGAGATACAAATGACACCCCCCCCCCAAAAAAAAGAACAGGAGGATTTGAGAGCTAAATTTGGATCCTTGACTCACCACTTTGTAACTATGGATTCCAATTAGAATAAGTGAGGATTACAACTGGATGAGTCAATAGTGTATCTTTAGGTTTAACTCCATAATCCCTGGTACTGGAAGCATCACCCCAGATCCTTCAGATTATATCAAAACAGCATTTTGTGATGCAATTAATCTTAACATCTGTCTTTGGATTTCTGCTACAGCAAAAGAATTGTGAAGTCAGTTTTGGGAAGGGCTATAACTGAATGGGCAGTGCAGACTCTTTGCATGCATAAGGTTCCAGGTTAAATCCTTAGCAACCCCTGGTAGGGCTGGGAAGGACTCTTGTTGGAGTGCTGGAGACTCTTGCCTGTAACACTGAAAAGCAGATACTGGTAATTTAGAACTAGATGAACCAACTTGGGCAGCTTCCTTTGTTCCTAGCTTTTCCTTTAACCACTCTCCTGTTATCTATATCTTAGCATGTTTCAAGTGTTTAAATCATGCCATAATCAGTAATCTACAATAGTTCTGTGTGGTGTATCAGTAATATTATCTCCTTATTGTAGGTGGGGGAATGGGGACCGAGAGAATTGTGGCATCTTGTGAGTTAATTGCTGAGATGAGAAACACAATTTTGTGTTTCTGACTTGAAATTTTTGTTTCTATGTAGCACAAGCTTGCACATATAGGTATCTGTTTTTGACATTCCAGTCAGCTTGCACTTAAAGGAAACATTGGTTTATAATTATAAAAGTGCTGGGTGAGATCCCATGGACAGTAATACTAAAAGGAAAGGGAGTTCATGATGGCTGGGAGTTTGTTAAGAGGGAGATACTAAAAGCACAACATCAGGCAATACCAATGAGACAGAAACATGGAAGGTGCCTAAAGAAGCCAGGGTGGCTATCTAAAGAACTTTTAACTGAGTTAAGATTAAAAAAAGGATGTGTACAAAAAATGGAAAAGGGGAAACCACCAAAGAGGAATTCAAACAAATAGCCAGCACGTGTAGACACAAAGTCAGAAAAGCTAAAGCACAGAATGAACTCAGGCTTGCTAGAGAGGTTAAAAGCAACAAAAAAGGCTTTTATGGGTATGTCCGTAGCAAAAGGAAGAACAAAGAAACAGTGGGGTCACTCAGAGGAGAAGATGGTGAAATGCAAACAGGGGACACAGAAAGAGCTGAACTCCTCAATGCCTTCTTTGCCTCAATCTTCTCCGATAAAGAAAACAATGCCCGACCTGAAGAATTTGGAGCAAATGATTCAGCAAAGGAAACACAGCCCAGAATAACTAAGGAGATAGTACAAGAATACTTGGCTAGTTTAGATGTATTCAAGTCTCCAGGGCCAGATGAACTGCATCCAAGAGTATTAAAAGAACTGGCAGATGTGATCTCAGAACCACTGGCAGTCATCTTTGAGAATTCCTGGAGAACAGGCGAAGTCCCGGCAGACTGGAGGAGGGCAAATGTTGTCCCTATTTTCAAAAAGGGGAAAAGAGAGGACCCAAATAATTACCGCCCAGTCAGTCTGACATCAATACCAGGGAAGATTCTGGAGCAGATCATTAAGCAAACAGTCTGTGAGCACCTAGAAAGGAATGCTGTGATCACCAATAGTCAGCATGGATTTCTGAAAAATAAGTCATGTCAGACTAACCTGATCTCGTTTTTGACAGAATTACAAGCCTGGTAGATGAAGGGAACGCAGTGGATGTAGCCTACCTTGATTTCAGCAAGGCATTTGACAAGGTGCCTCATGATATTCTTGTAAAGAAGCTGGTAAAATGCGGTCTTGACTATGCTACCACTCAGTGGATTTGTAACTGGCTGACTGACCGAACCCAAAGGGTGCTCATCAATGGTTCCTCTTCATCCTGGAGAAGAGTGACTAGTGGGGTGCCACAGGGTTCTGTCTTGGGCCCGGTCTTATTCAACATCTTTATCAACGACTTGGATGATGGACTCAAGGGCATCCTGATCAAATTTGCAGATGACACCAAATTGGGAGGGGTGGCTAACACCCCAGAGGACAGGATCACACTTCAAAATGACCTTGACAGATTAGAGAACTGGGCCAAAACAAACAAGATGAATTTTAACAGGGAGAAATGTAAAGTATTGCACTTGGGCAAAAAAAATGAGAGGCACAAATACAAGATGGGGGACACCTGGCTTGAGAGCAGTACATGTGAAAAGGATCTAGGAATCTTGGTTGACCACAAACTTGACATGAGCCAACAGTGTGACGCGGCAGCTAAAAAAGCCAATGCAATTCTGGGCTGCATCAATAGGAGTATAGCATCTAGATCAAGGGAAGTAATAGTGCCACTGTATTCTGCTCTGGTCAGACCTCACCTGGAGTACTGTGTCCAGTTCTGGGCACCACAGTTCAAGAAGGACATTGACAAACTGGAACGTGTCCAGAGGAGGGCAACCATAATGGTCAAAGGCCTGGAAACGATGCCTTATGAGGAACGGCTAAGAGAGCTGGGCATGTTTAGCCTGGAGAAGAGGAGGTTAAGGGGTGATATGATAGCCATGTTCAAATATATAAAAGGATGTCACATAGAGGAGGGAGAAAGGTTGTTTTCTGCTGCTCCAGAGAAGCGGACACGGAGCAATGGATCCAAACTACAAGAAAGAAGATTCCACCTAAACATTAGGAAGAACTTCCTGACAGTAAGAGCTGTTCGACAGTGGAATTTGCTGCCAAGGAGTGTGGTGGAGTCTCCTTCTTTGGAGGTCTTTAAGCAGAGGCTTGACAACCATATGTCAGGAGTGCTCTGATGGTGTTTCCTGCTTGGCAGGGGGTTGGACTCGATGGCCCTTGTGGTCTCTTCCAACTCTATGATTCTATGATTCTATGAATTATTTTGGCCGCTGCTGACCGCACAGGTGCACTCTATAATAAGAGCACTTTGGCTATTTTTCATAGGAAAAAAAACCTTTGGGGAGTGGTGGGGAATTTTTGATAGAAAAATGGCAGGGTGGAGAACTGTTTAAATCCTTACCTTCTCATAACTTCCCAGTTCCAAATCAACCTCCCAAAGATACTTTTTACAGGGAAAAGTGGGTTTGGGCTTTTGTTGCATTTATTTGCATCAGACAAATGAAGATTTTTAATGAACACAGTGAAAATACCTTCACTTGCGTAGTAGTAGAAGCTGATTAAGTGTGTGTGCACGTGTGTTGAGTGTGGGGAGAATCTGCAAGACTGCCTTCTCTCAAGATTTTGAAGAATCAGCTCAGCTACTATTGAAAGACAGCTAACACCTGGGAGCATGCCAAGTGGCCATAGGTATAATGCATTGTAACTCGAAGTAACACTTCGGTGCTACTGTGTGGCATATTGAAATCCACCCTCTTCATATTAAGGCGAGCCTTTAATAAAAACTGCACATAAACTTAAACAAAATTAGATGTTTTTAGTAAGAAGTCTATGAGAGGTTGGCATAAACATAACTCTTGAGTCTGGGGAGATGACTGTGTTTTGCTTTAATAAGCATGCAGTGTGCTGAGTTTTACCACAAACATTTAGAAACAAAAAGAAAAACACCCCCTTTTCAAAGGTATTGGGCAAAAAGATTTCTTATCACCATTTCTATTCTCAGCTTCTGTTTATTTTTACTGGTATTACCCTCTCCTGAATCCACAGCTAGGGCCATCACTTTATTGGATTACAGCGAATGTCAGTTTGCATCAGCTGAAGGCTGCTTCTGATGTTGCATTTTAAATGTATACATTACACTGGGGAAACCTGGGCTTGTCACTGAGTCATCTGGGCTCCCTGACAAGTTCACAGGAATGATATGCATGTTTGCAAATCTTTTTGTAATGTGTAGGCTCTCATGAAGATTTTCCTAGAAAAGTTTCTACTGTCATAAATCCTTTGGGATCTGACCTAGCATGCTTTGCTTAACCTTTATATTTGGAAAACAAAACAAAGAAGTATGTTATGTTAATTCTTATGTTTTGCAAAAATATCTCAACTGTTTCTGAGAGCCAAAAGTAGTTTATTTGATACTTGGTTTGAGTGGGGAGATGAGTAATACATGCTTTCTGTGGCCTAAATGCTAAACCTTGTGCCCTCCAGATGTTTATGACTCCCAGCTCCATTGGTCACAGGATCCAAAACGTATAGAGAGGACCAGGCTAAAGAACGAAAGCTGCTATATTCAAACAAATCCCATGTTTCACTTAGAAATGATTGTTACTCTGTGGGCATAAATATATTTGCTTCCTTGGGGACAACTACAACTTTTGACTGGTATTTTGCCAATTGAGGTTGCCTTAATTTGACTGGTATTCATTAAGTTCCTAATTAACTTTATGAAACAAATGCATTTCTAAATTGAAACATTTCTGGGGTGGGTGGGAATTAACAATGGAAAGCTTGCCACCTCACATCACTGTGTGCTTTTTAAAGGCTATTTTAAACCCACTTTTCAATCATGTTATTTCATTATTCACACTTTTTTACATTCTCTAAAAAGCACCAACCTAAAACCGTCAACACACAGCAAGTAGTCTTAGGGCTACTACTTCAGAAATGAACACCCACATACTTCTGCCCTGTAACATAAATTCTCTGGCCCCTGGCTCTACATTGTGTGTTTCTGCTTCCTCCAGAGCGGTAATGAAGAAAAAGCATGCAATCCCATGTATTTTACCCTGTGCTTATTACATGGCAGGAAGTTTACACTTGTACCTACTTCTGTTCCTAATGTACCTACTGTGAAATGCCTCCTCTGACATGTATGTTGCTGACCACTTTGGGAAACTGCTGAACACATATCTGTTGTTAGTAGTGTCATGGACTCAGTTGCAGTGGAAATGGGTTTCTGGAATTCTAGCTGAGAGAAAAGCAGCAAGGAAGAAGACTGGGAAAAGGAGGGTGAATCTCCCCTCTGCCTTGTCCCCACCTAGCTGCAACTTTGTAGTGGGGAACCGGAGCCTGAGTCTTCTTTATATCATGTGTAGTTTGTTAAGTGCAGTTCCTGACCTGGGTCTGCTTGAGATGGGTGTGCTTAAATAGCAATCAGAAAGAGCACCAAAGATTGTGCCATGTTGGTTCCTCAGCCTTCAAAACATGTCCTTTCGCACTGCCATGCATCCCACACCACCCACTTAAAGCTATTGTCCTTGCTCTGGTTGTGGACATTGAATATCTCTTATGTGTGACAGTTCTTTCAAGAACCAACACCTTTTTTAACAAAGGAATGTCTGGAATGGCATTTACTCTAAGTGTGTTTAAAATTGTCTAAGAAAAGCCTTGGACGATGACTCAGCTATAGAAATCGCAGCACAATGAATGGGTGTTATGCAATTCTCGGTGTTTATGATGGCATCCAAATCTGCTTTTATAACATAATAAATGGGGACCCACAACAAAACGTTGCGGTGAATCCCAAGCCTTTAATATTGGTGCTCTTCTTCAGGTCTCTAAGCTGTCTGGAGCTTTAGTGCAGTTTGGAACTTGAAGAATGTAGAAAAAGATACATTAGAGGTGATCATGTTGAGGGTAATGGGTCTTTACAGTTTTTGAGTAATCAAACTTCTCTGGAAGTTCACTGAGCAGGGAGGGGGTGGGGTGAGAGAAGGAAGTGTCTGCCACAACCACAACAGAAAAGAGGGCTGCTGCCTAACTTTGAGGCCAACCCCTAACATGAAATAAGCTGCTGAGGCTCTCAAAGATGAAATGCTCTGGGCTTTTTGACATAAGTCCACCAACTGGCCAGTGCAGTCCATTGATATTATGGTTTTTGAGAGTACTGTGTGTCTGGAGACTTCTGTAGATTGGACTTCCAGATAGCTGTAAGCTTTTATGTCTCCCCAGAAGAAATTAACCCCTGTTCACTGGATTAAAAGTTGTGAGTTCTAACACATTATGCTATTAAAAGAGCATACGAGAGTGATTTTTGACACCATCTCTGTGGGCACAATTGCCAGAAAAGTTAAGCAGTGGCGAAGTCTACAGTCCTATACCTAGTTATTTCCTATGAGGTAGTCCTATTGAACTCTGTGTGTTTTGCTTCTTAGCAGATATGCATGGGATTTTGCTGTAAATCCCAAAGCAAAGGAAAGATACTTAGGTCATGGCAACTAACTCAAGCCCAGGAAAGCCATGGTTGCATTTAGTGTATTGCTTTGAATGATTTAAAAAAAAAGTTCATTATTATTACAGCACCAAGTTGAAAACTGTAAGAAGTTTTTTAATATAAAAACTGGCTATAAAACATTTTGAATCTAATAAATTGCTTAGATGAAAATGTATTTTCCATCATAGCTTTGGAAACTGTCCTGTAAGCTCTCATTTGTTTTTGTTATTTAGTCCGTCCTTACAGAAAAGCCACTGTGTGTAATCTGATGATTAGCCTCACAGTGAATTTTAAATTAAAAACACTAGCAGAGCAGCTCTCATGAAAATCTGTGGCAACCCCCATGAGAGCAAGAGAATGGAAATGGGGCCAGCTCACTAACTTCACTGTGATGAGTTTCCTGGAACTGAAAGGAGCAGGAAAAGGAAGAGGGGACTTTATATTGACACAATTCATCTCTGGTCTATTACTGCTGCCTGTAACCGTTTACAGGGCTCTTGGACTTTAATTGCTTCCTTGGAAAGCAGTGGCAAAACCTGCCTTACATATATCATCCTAACTGAGTATCCAGTCAGTGAAGTTGGCTCTTGAACTGCAGCTCCAATCTGTTGTCTTTTATACTCCAATCTGACATCATCAGCATCAGTGACCTAACCTGAATTCAGACAAGGTGGAGGTACTATGTGTTGCAGGATCTCAAGCTTGGGAAGTTGGTAGAAGCCAATTTTGGACAGGTTTGTTCTCCCTTGGAAGGAACAGGTGCATAGCTTGAGAGTACTCCTTGACTCCACTATGCCCTAGTGGCTAGGAGTGCCTATTTCCAGCTCTGGCTGGTTTGCCAGATATAGTCATTCCTACACAAGGAAAGCTTGGCCACAGGGAGCTGGTAACTTCCATGTTGGACTATTGCAGCATGCTCTGTGTGGGGTTGTCACTGAAGACAAGAAGCTGCAATTAATGCAGAATGCATCAGCGAGGCTTCTGGTTGATGTGTCTGACTGAACATGCATTACGCCAGTCTCGAAAGATTTGCGTTTGTTACCAGTTAACTACAGAGCCCAATTTAAGATATTAACACTGAAATATGAAGTCCCAAATGACTTGGGTCTCAAGTAGCTGGTGCTTGCAAGTGCTCCAATGTCATGCCAGCTCCATTGGCTCTTTTAGCTTTTGGATTAAAAGCTGCTTCTAGTCTTTTAAAGTCTTAAGTGGCTTAGGACCAGGTTGTATTAGAGGCTGCTTGCTCTGATACGGGCCTGTCTAGGTATTGAGATAAACGTTGGAGGCTTTGCTCTCAGGCCTGTCTTGGGAACCTTCTCTGTCATGATGCCTTGACCCAGAAATACCACCCCAGCTGAAATTTGGTGGGCTTCCTCTTGTTGCATTTTGTGCCAGAAATTGAAGATTTTTAAATTTCATTGGGGTTTCTGACATCTGGTTTTATAGCTGCTAGTTTGAATATATAACATCTTTTACTCTTGGCTTCCAGTGGCATTTAATTTAACTTTGTTTTAAAGTGTTCACATTTTGCTATTGCTTTTAGAAATCGTTTGCCTGCATTTTTATTGATGATGATGATGATGTCTAAATTCAATCAGGAATAAAATGCTTGTTCCACAGGGCAACCTTGTATCAGGATGATTATGTATTGAGATTAACCAGGAGGATTTTTACATGACCTTTTATTCAGCTGCTGATTGTCGAGGCTTTCTCTGGCTCCCATAACAGAACTGAATGTATCCTGTCGGATATCAGATGGAAAATAATAGGGTGCACATAGCATTGTTTTTCTTCTACCACCCCTGTAGCCCTCTGTCTCCCAGCAGATACTCCCAAAGGTCTATACATTTCTTTCATTTAGATCGCTGGCATAATTGTTACCATATTCATATCCTATGTTTTCTCACACTGAAGGATCACTTGCTATTTGGGGAGTGTCTGGCTGTTGTGGGTCCTAAGATCTTACGCTGCCTGAAAGGCAGGGGGAAGAGGGTTGGGAAAAAGGGGCTTCTGTTTTGGTGACCCCCCCTTTTTTTTGAGGGGACACTATTTGGCTCCTTCAGCTTCAGTGTAGCAATATTAGGCTCCTTCAATGGCCATTTGAAAGGAAGACACTGCAGCAGCCACATGTGACCTTCTCCTTCTCAGGGGTGGACTTTGGTCATCTTTACCTCAGCAAAGCAAAAATTGCCCCCCTCCCCATGGATCTTCTTAATTATGGATCTTGGCACCCTCTGTGGGGGAACCGCCCGCACCACCCTAAATCCAACAGGGGAAGAGTTATGATTTCACAGATTTTTCATTTAGTATTTTATGCTGTTGCTGTTTTGGGGAAGGTTTGTACTTGCCAAAATGTCACATTTCACTGCCAAAAAGTAAGGACCCCCAAGGTGAGAGTTCTATCCTGGTAGAGCCCATGCCAATTTGCATGGTTCCTGGTTCCAAGCCCTGCTTGGAAACACCCAGGATTGAAAGACTCTGATCTAAAATCCTTAAGAACCATTAGCAGCCTTCCCTAACCTGGTCAGATGTTCTGGAGTACAACTCACATCAGCCCCAGCCAGCATGGGATTTGTAGCCAAAAAACATCTGGTAGGGAAAACGTCTGGAAGGGACTAGGTTGAGGAATGTTAGTTAGGACAATACTGAGTTGCCATTGGTCTAACTCTGTATAAGGCAGTTATACTATGTTGCAGTTTCCGGCATGGTGAAGAGCCACACCCTTCATTTTCACATCATTCCCTCTTACTAGAATAAAGTTTTTTCATGTTCTTGGTAGAAACAGCTGAGCAAAAAAACCCCCAAAACCAAAAATTTTGGTCGCAAATGTTTTTATGCTTCATGTCAGAGAAGCATACCTTGTCTGGTGGTGTAGCAATAAAACTAATAGCTATGTGCTAAGCAGGGTGCAGTGTGGTTTCAAATGGGATGGTGGACCAATTTGATAGTGTTGAGATTCCTGCATTGCAGGGGGTTGGACTAGATGACCCTTGGGGTCCCTTCCAACTCTACAGTTCTATGATTCTATGGCAAAAATGAATGTGTATCATCTTTCTTTTTGCCCTTTTACAGTGTGAGGGGCCAGAGTGAGAGTGAACATGGCGCTGGCTTCCTGGTTTGGGTGGAATGAACCCCCCAGTCGCATTTCTCAGAGGAGCCCAACAGAAATGGTGGTGGAAACTCTTATGATGGAACTCAGCTGGCAGATCAAGGAAGCTGAGAAGCAGCATAGGGAACGAGAGAACGAGTACCGCAAGATAAAGACAGGTGTTGACTATGGGTGGCTAGTTAGCTACCCCAAGCACAGCTACGATATCAGTCCAGGGGAGCGTCTGCAGCTGGAGGACATGTGCTCCAAAATACATCCCTCCTACTGTGGGCCCGTCATTATTAGGTAAGCTGAAGTCTTCTGTCAACCTTCTCTGGCTATGGCTGTACGCTCACCAACAGAAATGGAAAATATGCTGGTTTTCCCACCTTCCACAGTTTGTAAAGTTTCTCAGAAGCATCATAATGCTGTTGCTGTGGGTTAAGAGACTGAAGATCTCAGTTAAGTGATGCTTGAAAGGGAGTGTCTTGAGCTTTGCTGAAAATATTGGTTCTCACTTTCTCTTAAAATCCAGTTTCACATCCTTACGGCTATGCAGATGAAACTCAAAGTGTACTGGCAATACTTGGTGAAAGATAGCATAGACACTTGCTTCTTTGTTTGAGTAACTGAACTGGAATAAATAAGGCAGAATCCCGGTAATCTGTCTTTTACAAACATGGGCGAACAGTACAGAAGCAATGCAAATGACCTAACATTGATTATGTTTGTGTGAATGCAGCATACAGCCTGGGTGTCTTGAGCTATTTTGAGAGCCTTCATGTGAATAACTTGAAAGAAGTGCATAATAAATCTTTTCCAAAATCTGTATTAGGAATATAGCTTTTATTAGGCCATCTTGCAAGCTCTCCAGAAATTTGCATCGGATGGTAACCAAAGCAAAGTGAAGCAAAAAATAAAATAAAATAAAATAAAAAATTGGTGGTAAAGTCATCAATATTTGTAATGGATGTAGTAAACCCTTTAGAGGTGATTCTAGTTCTTCATCTCTCCTGCAAAAAACATGCATCTACCATATCTGTTCATCTGAATACCTCATTATTTAAATGGCAAAAATTTGATTGGATTAATAGCTGTCTATTATCCACTTGATGAATCGAATATATTCCAATTTTGGAAAAGGGATCTTATTCTTAAGGGGATTTTTGTTGTTGTAACTATAGATTAAAAGAGCAAATATTTGTGCTTTAGGATTTATACCCCAGGTTATGAATTAGTTTTTTGGCTTCTTTCCTCCCCATAGGTTTCGGCAGCTTGTTTCTGAATACGAACCGGAGGTCTCTGAAGTTTCTCGGCTTTTTCGTTCCGTTCTCCAAGAAGCCATGGAGAAGAGCAAAGAGGAGGAAGAGGCAAAGAAGCTTGCAAGGCAGTGGAACACAAAGCACAAAACCAGCCTCTCTCTCATGACATTCAAGTCCCGGGCCAGGATTCTGCCCTTCAGTAGTGACATCAAGACCATTTCGGAAGATGTTGAGAGGGGCACCGATCCAGCCAGAAGGGCATGGAGCATGCCTGAATTCAGGAGCACCAAGGACTACTGACTCTATTTATAACACTCAGATTTTGGGAACAGACCATCTTATTTATGTATTTACTTATTTATTCATTTTTGTGTGACTTTTTCCTATGTCCTGTTGTCCCTTCTTTCTTTGTTCTGTGGAGAGTTCACATTGATTGCTTCTTAGGCTTCTTTTAACCCATGTATCTCTCTGTGTGTTCCTGTTTTCATATGGACTGGTCTCTTAATATAAACAGCCAGCTTGGTGCACTATGGGATGTGTGACAAACGCCAAACCACTCAACCTATTTTGCTTTAAACCGAAAAAGAAGCCCAGAAAGTAGTTGTGAGAATCAGCCCTGTGTTTCTGTTTTACCCTCTTTTATAAACATCTCTCTTTCTTTTTCTCTCCTGATGCCCACAGTACTGCAACTGATGTACATACTCTCTGGACCACATGCCATATCAACCCCAGCCAAACACTGAGCAGAATATCAAAGGGTCCACAAACACAATTGCCATGCAGCAGGTAGTCAGCACAAAATAGGATAGAAGGGGATTTCTGACAAAAACTGGAGTGGAAATGGCTGGTGTTCGCTTATCAGTCCAGTGAATATGATTAGTATTTACTATTGCTGTTGCTTTTGGCCCACAAATGTAATTGATTACCCCCCGCCCCCAATTTGTATTGTGCTTCTTTTACATTGAAATGAATGGGGTGGAATTATGTAATGAGAACATAATTTGCATCCTTATGTATGTAAGTCCTTCTGCCACAATGGACAGTGAGACAAAGTAACATAGCTTTTGGTGGAATACGAATTGCAGTGGAATGGGAAGCTAAGCCTGACTGGCTGTGACCAAGACCAGCCAATATCAAGGTGATCCCTAAGCATGTTATTACTCGTTTGGAGCGCTGTCCCCCTCAGAAAGCTGTCATTGCACAATCCTAACCAGGCATATGCCCCATCTTATAACTGGCTACTTCTGTGTAGACATGAAAAATGTTCTTGGGGTGGGGAGTGTGGAGGGATTAAGATACCCATGCAGACACTTCAGTGCTGTTGATCATGAGGCTGTACTATGGAGGGCTTGTGCAAGTGTCTCTGTTTCTTGTTGCCGGTAGCTCTTTAAAGCTAGAAAGAGCTACTGGCTGTTATGCTAGAAGGAGAAGCCCTTTGATGTGCTGTTTCCATGGTGCAGCTCTAAAGCAGCTGCTGTCACATTTCAAATCAGAATTGGAAATGTATTTGAGCTTGTGTAGGAGAACTTTTCAGCTGGGTGGTGTTTTTCTTCTCCATGAGAAGGAAATGAGCTTATATTTTCTGAATGTTAGACACTGTTATGCATGAAATATGCCCAGTCTGTCTACCTCTGGATGACAAATTGCAACCCTGGCAAGAAAGGGCTGGAATTATTTTCGAGTAGCTTAAGATAAATCCAGAGGATAACTTTTAAAGATAGGTCCTTAGCTTATAGCAACATATTTGCTTGGGCCTAACTAATTATCTGTACACAAGGCACAATCCAGACAAAGTTGAATTCTTTTCAGTTTATTTAGTTTAATGAAGAAATACTTGGAAGCAGGTAAAAAATTTCTATTAGTATGGCATGAACCAGCCAGTCATTCTATCTTATGTAAATGGTACAATAGGTTAATTGACTAACAAAGCTGTTTATTTGGTTGTGTTCCACTGGAAACTAAGACTATTGACTCTTGATATCTGAGCTAGCTGGTTTCTGAGTTGTGATTGCTTTCAGGCAACTCTTGTTAAGTGAATGGGGTACTTAAAGGTTCAGAGGGCTTTGTGTTTCATACCGTATGCCACTGCCACCTGGACCCTTTTATTTTTGCTAAGATTTCTCCTGGAGTGATTTTGCTAGCTTTTGGGATCTATCTATCTATCTATCTATCTATCATCTACACACCCACAGACCCACGCAAGATGGGACAATGTGGATGCACTGTACTAAAGAATTCACTCTCTCTCATACACACAAACTTTCCCTAAGACACCAGCAAACTGCATTATTTTAATATGAAGCAAACTCAGGGTTTCCAAATGCCAGATCCAGTTTGAGCTGGACCATTTAAACTCAGTAGCAGAGAAAGAGACCCAAAATATTTTGACAATTGTACAACTGCTATGCCACTTTCTACACCTATGAATATTTATTTGTTTATGGAATTTGTATACTGCTTTTCCTATGTGAAAAAGAAACTATGTTTTAAAAAATACTAATGTAAGGGCTAATGGGATTAGCTCTGTTCCTCCCTGCTTGTGTTCTCCATAGCCCACAAAAGTGCTTAGCACCCTAGGATAGTTGGGGAGATAGTGCCCCAAATGAATGATCTTAGGCTATGGTGATCTATATTTGATAGAGCATTTTTAAAAACTTGTGTGTTCTCATGTGGTATCTGTCCTTTCTACTGTATATGTACATGTTTTTCTTTGTCTTAGGGCCTCGTTCATAAGGGAAATTGACAAAAAAGTATAAAAGCCATTTTCTAACATTGCCATTTGACCAACTTTTGTATCAACAAGTGAACAATTCTTTGCTGTGTTAAATTCTGAAATACATTCTTTAATTTTAGCTGTCCCATTGTCCTGTGATTTTTATATCCAGTGTTCTACTTATTAGGAACTTCAAAATTATTGCTGCCATTGTGCAATCTGAGTGCTCCTTAAGATGGCTTTCCCCCCTAATTTAATTTCTTTTTAGTACAATGTATTTTCATTTATGTCAGAATTTCTAAATCTCTACAATGAAGGAATACCCTAGTAGCTTAAGTGCCCAAGACCTGAGCAGTTACTCTCAGTTTACAGCCTTAAAGATGCATCACCACTGACCCACTGGCTCAGGTCAGATGCAGTGCTAAGCCAAACCATGTCTTGGCATGAACAAAGAAATGTGCAGGTTCCCAGAGAGGAATATGACTGCTCTTCTCATCTCTTGATGTGAGGTAAGAAATAGTTTAACTTAGCATTACATCTGAACCAGGCTCATGGTCGATCTTCCCCCAGACAAACCATGAGTGGTAAATCACAGAACTAAACTTGGCTACAGCTTGTGAAAGCAGAAGTCTTGATTTAGAGTGTAACACTAAGCCAGAGGTCGGCAAAGTTTTTGTGGCTTGGGCTGCTTCACGGTCCCGCAGACGCCATGGTGGGCCGGAGTGCGCACACACGCACATGTGCAAACGCTATTTCTGACGCTCCTTCTGGTGCGGAGGAGGCGTGTGCAGCTTCCCACTGGCTGCAGGAGCTTCCTGCAGCCAATGGGAAGCCGGCCAGTGTTGCAGAAGGCGGTCCCCGCTCTACTCCACGCCAGTTTAGCGTGGCGCACGGGAGCCGACCAAGCAGGCAGTGGGGGGTCCCCAAGCGGGTGGCGGGGGTCCATGGGCCGGTTACACGACCCCCATGGGCCTCTTCTGGCCCATGGGCGTTAGGTTGCCGACCCTTGCACTAAGCCATACCATGCCTTAGTGCAGCAGGAATAATGGGGTGGGGAATGAGGGGGCAAAGCAGGCACAATCTACTTGTTTACACTAAGTCATGGATTGTCTTAGTATTAAGTATGGAACGGGTCAGTGGGAGTTACTTCTGAGTGAACATGCAGAGGGTAGTGGTGTACAGAACTAAAATGTAAAACTGTTGACTTTTAAACTGAAAGATCTAACAAATGCTAAAGTTGATGAGTGGAAGATAAGGATGTGCTTGCACATAATGCTAAGCCCAAACCATGACTTACTGTGAACACACAAATGCGCTGGCTCCTGGGGAAGAGATTGTACCTGCTTTACTCCTTGCTGGTTCTTTTAGGTCAGCTGAGCAGTGAATGTAAGGTTTGGCTTAGCATGAAACCCAGGAATGTGGTTAAGCTCTCTCCTCAACCATGAACTCTAGCCAATGTTTGCACAATCTCAGGAAGCCATAGTTGGGCACACCTTGATGTGTAAATTAAGCCAGCAAATGCAATACTATTAAAGACAGTGGGAGGAATGTTTAGGAAACCACAAGCCCAGATTGGTAAAGAGCAGCATTAAAAGTTATATGGAAATCATTACTTTAAAAATATTAGATATGAAAACATACAGAAGCAGCAAGTGTACTGAAAAAGAACCACCATTGCTTCTGCAAAGGGAAGTCTTGCTGACTTCAAGAATTACTGTTATTTTAACACAAAAGAACATCATTGCTATTTTGTTTCCATGTTTTGATCAGTACTTTCTTGCAAAACATAGTCCTCATACATGGGTTAAGTAAATCCACATGCAAGAAACCATAATTTTAAAAAGTATACACATCCTATTCCTGCATGAGGCTTCTGCTCGTTTTTATCTCAGTTGTTGAAAACAATCCACGCTTGCTTAGCTTAAGTAATATAACTTAATAGCATATTAATATAATTTAATAGTAGTAATATAACAGCAAATGGTGTTCCAGCACCAACGGTGCAAATTCAGAAATAATTGTGTACAACTCTGAGAATTTAGCAAGCATGGCATATGTTGCAACCAAACACTAATCCAGCAAACTCCATATGCAGATGGAGGCATTGCATCAAAGTGGATAGGGCTTGATGATTATGAAAGCACTAGCAGTGAGTCTGCAGTGACCTCACAGCAGCAGCACTGCAGTTTATCTGGGTTGGGGGGGGGTGAGCAAGACTGGAGCTCTGTAGGCAGATAAGCAGTAATCCCAGAACTGGAGTTTCCGCCGCCCATGTCTCTTGAAGGGCGATGATGTTAAAGTTTTGGCAATAGAATGGAATATCTGTAGACTGAGATAAACATCTAGACCAACCAGCCACATTCCAGGAAAGGATATTTAGGGCATTGGCTGATTCTTGGATTTTTGGATTTTGGGCACCCTCAGCAGTAATCCCAGACTGGCTTCACAGGTGCATTCCCATAGCCCTGTTCCAGTCCTGTTCAGGTCAGTGGGGTGGCTGTTCTTCCGCACACCAGTTGCTACTCCATCAAAGTAGCAGTGGAAGCGACAGCTATGAAAGGAGTTCTGGCCCCCCCCCCCCGCTTGAAGGCAAAGGAATGACTTCACTGAGGTTGAACTGTCATTTTGTCATACTAAAAATCAGTCAGCCCTGCCTTTACCGAACCTGGTCAAATAAGCTGGGAAGAGAAGGACAACAAACAGCAACAGAGGCAGAGTTAAGCAACTATACACTATGTGTATAGCAAGGTTATGCTTAAAATTCTACAAGGCAGGCTTAAGCAGTATGTGGACCGAAAACTCCCATAAGTGCAAGCTGGATTCCGAAGGGGCAGAGGAACCAGAGACCAAATTGCAAACATGTGCTGGATTATGGAGAAAGCTAGACAGTTCCAGAAAAACATCTACTTCTGCTTCATTGACTACACAAAAGCATTTGACTGTGTCGACCACAGCAAACTATGGCAAGTTCTTAAAGAAATGGGAGTGCCTGATGATCTCATCTGTCTCCTGAGAAATCTCTATGTGGGACAAGAAGCTACAGTTAAAACTGGATATGGAACAACTGATTGGTTCAAAATTGGGAAAGGAGTACGACAAGGCTGTATATTGTCTCCCTGCTTATTTAACTTATATGCAGAATTCATCATAGGAAAGGCTGGACTGGATGAATTGCTGGAAGATTGCCGCAAGAAATATCAACAACCTCAGATAAGCAGATGACACAACCTTGATGGCAGAAAGTGAGGAGGAATTAAAGAACCTTTAACCCATGAGGGTGAATCATAGAATCATAGAATCATAGAATCATAGAATCATAGAGTTGGAAGAGACCACAAGGGCCATCGAGTCCAACCCCCTGCCAAGCAGGAAACACCATCAGAGCACTCCTGACATATGGTTGTCAAGCCTCTGCTTAAAGACCTCCAAAGAAGGAGACTCCACCACACTCCTTGGCAGCAAATTCCACTGTCTAACAGCTCTTACTGTCAGGAAGTTCTTCCTAAGAAAGAGGAGAGCGCAAAATATGGTCTGAAGCTCAACATCAAAAAAACGAAGATCATGGCCACTGGTCCCATCACCTCCTGGCAAATAGATGGGGAAGAAATGGAGGCAGTGAGAGATTTTACTTTCATGGGCTCCATGATCACTGTAGATGGTGACAGCAGTCACGAAATTAAAAGACGCCTGCTTCTTGGGAGAAAAGCAATGACAAACCTAGACAGCATCTTAAAAAGCAGAGACATCACCTTGTCAACAAAGGTCCGTATAGTTAAAGCTATGGTTTTCCCAGTAGTGATGTATGGAAGTGAGAGCTGGACCATAAAGAAGGCTGATCGCTGAAGAATTGATGCTTTTGAATTGTGGTGCTGGAGGAGACTCTTGAGAGTCCCATGGACTGCAAGAAGATCAAACCTCTCCATTCTTAAGGAAATCAGCCCTGAGCGCTCACTGGAAGGACAGATCCTGAAGCTGGGGCTCCAATACTTTGGCCACCTCATGAGAAGAGAAGACTCCCTGGAAAAGACCCTGATGTTGGAAAAGATGGAGGGCACAAGGAGAAGGGAACGAGATGGTTGGACAGTGTTCTTGAAGCTGCCAACATGAGTTTGACCAAACTGCGGGAGGAACTGGAAGACAGGAGTGCCTGGCGTGCTCTGGTCCATGGGGTCACGAAGAGTCGGACACGACTAAACAACACCACTATGTGTATTCATTTAAATGCTCTATAAAAATAGGATGAACACATAAATGAGATCATTTTCAAAGCAACTTTGGCAACCAGTTTCATTTACGAAGTATTTCAACAGAATTTATCAGCACCATACTCTGTACAGATGTTAGAAATGTTTCCTTCTTCACCAGGGCTTTTTCTCTAGTCAATTCCACTCTGCCACAAATTTAGAGAGGGATAGAGTGCCCTCTGCTGTTACTTCTAGGGATTTTACCAATTGGAATTTGTGGAATGTTATACAGTACTGCAGGTTTTCAACCTTTTTGAGTCCATGGCTCCCTTGACCAACTACTTTCTTTCTGCAGCACCCCTGTGGGGATCAGGAGCCCAGTTATGTCACCCCTTGCCTGCAGAGCTGACAGCTTCTCACCCTTTTTTGAACACCCTCCCTTGAGAAGTGTTCCCTCAGCCTTCTATCCCCTCTCCTTGGGAGTCCTCAGGGTAGCTGCCGCCGCCACTCCTAGTCTTTGAGCTGCCCCTCCCTGTCCCCAAAGAGATATGCCTCCTCACACTGCCCCAAGGGGCCTGGGACTTGTCGGTCCATTCCCAGCAGCAAGGGCTGTTGAACTGGCTGGCTGGGCTCCCTGGCCTGCTTGCTTACTCCAAGGCCGCCTCAGCTCCTGGCAACCAACACTCCTTGACCACCCCAGGGTGCCACAGCACACTGGTTGAAAACCACTGTTATACTGCATTACAGCAGATCTAACTATCTCTCCCTGCTTAGTTTGGGTGGTAGGAATATCCACACTAAGAAGTACTCTAGTAATGTATGCAAAATAATGACAACTATTACATATGCTGCTGCTAAGAGAGTCCAGAGTCCATTTTCCCCTTCTGTTAGTGCTGATCTTATTAAAAGTGTGATATGATATATGCTTCTCTCTCATCTCCCCCAGCCCATGTGGCACCTAATCATGTGGAGTGGTAAGAATGAGCTACAAGATTTCATCATGCATTTCCTTTAGTAAATGTTCTCAAGAGAGAACAGGTAATGGTTTGGGGCAGGAACCCTGTGACCACTGGCCTGGCCTGTTTTGTTCTGCTCCGAGCTTCCATATCCTGATACTCTAAAACTCTACTTGTGTGGCACATAATTCACCAAGTGCTATGTGATTCAAATTCAGAAACAGATTTTATTTTGTTTTCTTTTAAAATAGAAGTCTGTACATTGTGACCTTACATAACGACTCGTCTATTGAAGTCTATTGGGCGTACCACTGAACTCTCTTTAAATTAATGGCCCGGTGGGATTCTCATAGTGTGCACCTACATACATATTTCTCTGTGGGAGGTTAGAACATAAACTATGGCAAGCATACAAAAAAGCAAGCAGTGGGGATCAACACAAAATAATAAATTACACCAGGACGCAAGCTAGTTGCAGAATATTCACATAATGGTTATATTATGCCAGAATATTTTAATTAATAGCCTAGCACCTAGTTAACAAACTGCCGTTTGGCTTGTTAATAACAGGAAAAGGAAAAGGAAATCCTATCAATGAAACAATGTTTTCAAAAGTATACTGTATTAATTTCTCTAGAATACACATTACTTAGAAAGAGGTGATTTTTGCCGTTTACAAACAAATATCTTCAATACTAAAAATTTCTATATATACAGGTACTCTTTTTTTGAAAGAGCTTATTTGCAAATAGTCAGCTTTAACATGAAAAATGACAAAGGACAGCCAGTGGTAAAGTTGTTTTCTGCATGCAGTTTGGGATATGTGCAGTAGGTCAAAATTCAACCATGTCATCTCCCATTAAAGCATTGTTAAGGAATCACCCTAGTTTTCTTAGGGTCCCCAGGAGCAGCAATATGGCTCTTTGTTGGCAAGTTGTTGCCTTCAGTTCTTTACTGTTGTACAGGAGGATCTTCGCAGCAGGAGAATTTCAGCTCATCGCACATAAAGTGCTTTCGCCCCTTCACTCTGAGCTTGTATTTGGTGCTTTGAGGAGCAGGTTGACAGACTTACTGGTCCTTGCTTAGTAGCATATTCACTACAAAGCAGAGTTCAAGAAATCAAGAAGTTCAGCGCGGTTTCGATCTCGCTGGAAATAAAAAAGCCAGTGAATTTAAAACTATTTTATAAATGCTTTCAATAGCCAGTTCAAACTATTAGAAACTCATTTTGTAGCCTTTTGTAAGGGGTGGTTCTGTTTTGCTTCCAAACTCCTAGGCTTTCAGTCACCTGAGTTCGTTATATCATTAGGGGGAATGATATAAAATAATTCAATAACAGAAAAACCACTAGAAAAACTAGAAGGCCTTTAAACATAAAGAGGTGTTTTTTAAACAAACTCAAGGAATGCAGAACATTATGAGAAAAGCTACAGCTTTGATCCAGCTGCCATTTCAAGTAGCAACTGGTCATTACAGATGTGTATATCCATCTGTATGAAAAGATACGTCCAGACAGTTTGACAGGGTTTGGAAAAGCATTGCAATGGAGGTGTACATCTGCAATGGCAGTACAGGACCCCCTGGACAAATAAGTCCAGTCAAAGGCAACTATGGGGTTGCGGCGCTCATCTCGCTTTCAGGCCGAGGGAGCCAGTGTTTGTCTGCAGACAGCTTTCTGGGTCATGTGGCCAGCATGACTAAACCGCTTCTGGCGCAATGGCACACCGTGATGAGTGCTAGAGCCCATGGAAATGATTGGCAGTACATACAGATCTAGATCAAGGCGTAGACCAAAAGTGGATTATGAATTTACATAGCTCTGATGCTACAACTGAAGGGAACAACAAACCAGTAAACACAGGTACCACCTCCCCCCTCCCCTTAGGAAGCAATAAAAAAGTTTAAAATGTTACCTCTTTATCCTTTTTACTCTTCTTTACTTTCATCTTAATTTTCTTCCCTGTGATCATACTGTAGTTCTGATTCTTTTTTTTATCTTTCAAGTACTAAAAGAATGTATTTGATACATAAATAAATATGTACCATTTTAAATTATCTATATTGCTGCTGTTGTTGTTAATTTATTAAATTTGTACACCGTCCTTCATGCGAAGATCACTGGGCGGTTCACAACATAAAAATACAAAACGAGAATACAAACTACATAATAAAAACAAGAACAAAAAATCGCAATAACCCCTCCTCCTGCAAATATATTTAAAAGGACCTAGAATGTTAATCAGCCAAAGGCCTGGCTAAAGAGAAACGTTTTTGCCTGGTGCCTGAAGATAGGAAATGAAGGCACCAGGTGAGCCTTGCTGAGGAGAGCATTCCACAAATGGGGAGCCACCACAGAAAAAGCCTGTTCTTGTGTTGCCACCCTCCAGAACTCTCATGGAGGAGGCACATGAAATAGGGCCTCTGAAGATGATCACAGGGTTCAGGGAGAGGTGCTTCTTGAGGTATTGTGGTCCGGAGCCATTTAAGGCTTTATAGGTCAAAACCAGCACTTTGAATTGAGCCCAGAAACTAACTGGCAGCCAGTGCAGTTGGACCTGGTTTAAAGTGCCTTGCCCTAGTGAGAAACGTGGCTGCTGAATTCTGCACCAGCTCACTTTGTTCAGAGGAAGCCCTACATATAACTTGTTGCAGTAATCTAATTTAGATGTTACCAGAGCAACAGAAGTTAGGCTATCCCTGTGTAGACAGGGGCGCAGCTGGGCCATCAGACAGTGCTGATGGAGGACACTCCATGCCCCTGAGACCACCTGAGTCTCAAGCGATCGCAAAGGATCCAGAAGTACTTCCGAGCTACATGCCTGCTTCTTCAGAATTATGTGCGGCTTACAGGGAAAACAGAAACATGTGCAAATATGTAATGAATGGACCTCTTAAGCCAAAATAAACAGGAAATCAAAAATCTTAAACTGATTTAAGTTGGGCGGGGGGGGGGGGAGGGAAATCTGACCCAATGGAAACAGCCTAAAAACAAAATACTCAGGACTCTTCAGGGTCAGAGACTAAACCAGTAGATTCTATGAATCTGGTGAAAGTAATGCTGAAAGAGTTTCACTCTCCTGAAGTTCAGTCTGCTCAATCACACCTGTGGTAATGGTGCCGAACTAGGACTGAGGAGACCTGGGTATCAATTTCTATTCAGCCAAGCTCACCTTGGGGCAATTATACAATGTCAGCCTAAGCCTAACTTAAGGGTTGTTGTGAGGATTAAACAGGGGTGGGGAGACTGTGTCTGCCACCCTGAGCTCCTTGGAGAAATACCAGATAAAAATGTACAATAAATATGCCACAGTGTTTGTTCTAATAGCAAGATGTAGTTCAACCTTTAGAAAGGTAATCAAAACAGAAAATCTAAGTAATTCTACTGCCCATTTAAATACTTTTAATCATAGACACTTATGAGCTAGTCTAGTTCTGTGGGGGAAAATTGAGACACTGCCAGGCATTCAGTCTTGCACCTACCTTAGAAAGCTGTACAGGACCTGACTTTTCTTTCTTTTTCTTCTTTTCTTTCTTTTTCTTCAACTTATCTTTTTTTCTCTTCTAAAGAGATAAAAACATGCACAGGCATTTCTTTATGTCTGATAGTAGCCACAGAGCACCTATACAGATTCACATTAATTTATGCACTGCCTACAGAGACCTAGCAGACCAATCTCCCTATTTATTTATTTATTTATTTATTGGCAATATTTATAAGTTGCTAACCAGAGTTCACCAACCTTTTGAGGCCAGTGGGCATGTTTGGAATTTTGAGAAAGTCCTGTGGGTGACAGTCCAGAAATGGTTGCTATGGGAATGCAGCATAAAACAAACTGGCTGCTGTAGGGTGATTGATGGTGCTTGTAGAGAGCTGTGCCTTTGTCTACACAACCTGATTTCAAACCACAAGGGCAAAGGAAAGCAGGCTCCCAATGTCATTGTGACATCTGGAGACTGATAGGTGCTACCCATCCAACTTGGCTCACAGGGGATCAGGGAACCATGGATTTGACCTGCTGGCCAGTTCTAGTTCCTTAACCCGGCTCTACAGGTACCTGCTAATCAGCTGTTGAGCTCATTTAGTTCAATCCTTAAATAGAAGTCCAATCTATGAATGAAAATGCCAGTAGCATGCTTCCAATGATACATTTTCTCCAGAACCCACTGTTAGCAGCCATATGACCCACCCACATTATCTGCTAACAGGCATCCAACCCATCATATGAGGATCACTGTAGTAAACTCAAGTCACATCCGCAGTGAGTCGAACCAACAATGAGACATGCATTTCCATGGATATGGAGTTCACAGGTCCATCACCAAAGCAGCTGAAAGACAAGCAATCTTCACATGACACCTCCATGAGAGGTTGTCACATGTCAGCAAGCAATGTAATCTTCTAAAAGGAAGTTAGTCAGAGTAGCATAATCTCTCGTTTGGGTTCAAATCATATTCTGTCTGAATGCACAGAAGGAAACTACAAAATATTTTGTGCTCAAAAACATGACATGTTGAACAAAGCACAAAGAAGAGCTTTTCAGTTGCACTGATTTTTCATCTCTGCTTCATCTGTTAATCTTGGCCTTACCTTTTTGTTCTGTTTTTCCTTTTTCCTTTTCTTTGATTTTGATTTGGGAGAATCTAGGAATTAAAATTAAAACAAACAAACATGTATTATGGCTTGAACGATGTTACATGAATCAGAGTTTTGTTACAGAACAGTTCCTGAGATGGTGGAAATAGTTTTCATTTATGTTTGGATATACAAGACACCATTTTGAATCAAGACTGCAGACCAAAATGTTCCAAACTGCACTGATTTGGACACCTCTAAAGATGACACCATCAAATTTGGCACCAATGTTTACATGATCAAGGAGAAGTGTTTTAGTCTATAGATGGAATTCAATGTTGTGCCCCCTCCTTTCCTTGCTGGCTTGAGTATTAGGTCTATTACATTCAAGCATCTCTACCATGCTAAATCAGGTTCTCACAACAACAAAGTCATTAAGACATTGAACAGTTAAGCTCCTACAAAATGCAGGTTATGGATCTATGCTTGGTCTGGGCTGGGAAGTTGTCAGTATTTGCTGACTTGCTGTCAGTATTTGAAATCATTGTATACTAAACATATTACTTCAATGCAGAGATTAAATCATACCTCTACTACTTGAGCTGCTTCTGCTGCGTGAAGCAGAGGACCTTGAAGAAGAACTTGAAGATGAGGATGTTGAAGAACTAGACGACGTAGTGGAAGAAATTGAGGTGGACCTGCTTCTGCTGCGTTTTCGCTTCCTCTTCTCTCTCTCTTAAAGAAAAAAACAACCCAGAGTACAGGCGCACTGATTAGGATTTAGGTTTTTTGGTACATTACATTAGAAAATCCTGATTTTAAATGGTAATTAAAAAAAAAAAATGCTTCAGTACATTTTTAATGCTTATTAGTTACCATTGAAAGGCAAAACACAGATTAATCAAATTTATAATTAAATAATAAACAGTGAACACATATATTTATTTACTGCATTTCATAGTATCATATAATTGCAGAGTTGAAAGGGATCCTGAGGGTCATTCAGGCCAAACCCCTGCAATGCAGGAATCTCAACTAGATCGTACATACAGAATCATTTAAATCCCATCTTCCTTCCATCATGGAATAGTACACAAGACAATACACAAGCAATTCCCAGGTTATCTATCCAGGCACCAACGAAACTCAGAAACGCTTAGCTTCAGCAAGGTGGCTGAATCTTGCACTACAACACTTCCAGAAGATAAGTCTAATTCACATAACAGTATGTTACATACTGAAGATAAAGCAAGTTGACTTTGCAGTGATCAGAGAGTGCTGATTAAATAGTGTCACTAGTTCCAACACAACCCACAATGCCTTCAAAAACTTTCAAGTTGAGTGAACTTAAAAACACTGTGCTGCAGTCTGGAAATGTGCCAAAGCATCTGGAAGTGGTTCAAAACACCCAAATGCAGTATAAAAAAAGGTGTGTAAACCAATAGTTAGCATTTAATTGGCTCTGATACAAGCGATATACATTCAGGGAGTGTAAAACCTAAGAATGCTCTCTATTGAAGCTACTGTCACAGACTCAACAATTACACTTACCTCTTCCTTTTGTTTTCTCTTGCGATGTTGCACACAGCGCCCCACCTTTCTCTTCATGTCTGTTATCCATATCTATGAAACATATATATTTATGTTATCCATATCTATGAAACATATTTATATATACACAAACAAAATTGTCAAAAATATTTTCTGTGGAAGAAACTTAAACTACCTATTGAGATGGAGTTTTTCCACTACCAGGAAAGACTAATGACCTTGGTACTACTGAATTTTAAGCATCTGATCTAATCTAAGCAGTTGAAACAGATTTGGGCATATCAGGTTTAGATTAGAGTCTGTTTCAACTGCTTAGAGTGTTAAACTGCAGTTTAAGAATTGTGCACAAGTATGATGTGTGTAAGTAAACAGCCAATGAGCAAAAATGAATTTCTTAAGGACCAGCTTTGTAGCTATGCGGTAACTTCAGGCATGATTTGCATGGCTACATGTGAAAAAATATTCATGCCAGTGGCACATCATCAATGCAACTTGTTTGTACAGCCAAGCCTGGGGGCTCTCCGAAAAGATTTCATGTTGCATTTAGTCACCTAAAAAACTCTTCATCCAAGAGAAGCTGAAAGTGTCTTGAAATTCTATAAAAGAGTAGCCTTGGAAATGCTACATTATTCACATTTAATCAGTCAGGGTACTTGCAGAAGTTAAATAATGTAACTCTCTAACAAACACACTTAGTTACTCCTTAACAAACACACTTTGGCCAAGCTTTTGGAGCCTGAACAGATTGTCAAACTACAGTAGTACCTCGGGTTACAGACGCTTCAGGTTACAGATGCTTCAGGTTACAGACTCCGCTAACCCAGAAATAGTACTTTGGGTTAAGAACTTTGCTTCAGGATGAGAACAGAAATCGCGCAGTGGTGGCGCAGCAGCAGTGAGAGGCCCCATTAGCTAGAGTGGTGCTTCAGGTTAAGAACAGTTTCAGGTTAAGAACAGACCTCCAGAACAAATTAAATTCTTAACCCGAGGTACCACTGTACAGTCATACCTCGGGTTAAATGTGCTTCGGGTTGAGCGTGTTCGAGTTGCACTCTGTGGCAACCCGGAAGTAACAGAACACGTTGCTTCTGGGTTTTGCCGCTTGCGCATGCGCTCAATATGATGTCATGTGCACGCACGGAAGTGGCAAAACACGACCCGCACATGCGCAGACGCGCTGTCGCGCCTTACGTTGCGTTCAGGATGCGAACGGGGCTCTGGAACGGATCCTGTTCACATCCCGAGGTACCACTGGACACCAAAATGAGCTCTCTCCCTCTTGCCTGGGGTAGTATGGCTGTCTGTATTGGTCTACCATGCAATAAGTTCCAGAAGCTTAACTGTGTTAACCTGTTACAGTAAACACAAAATGGAATTTTGGGACGCTTACTTTACTCTTTCTGGAATAGGTTTTCATGGTCTAAAGCCCACTTCATCAGATCCAGATAGCTAGCATTATATGTGTTATTTATATACAATCATCCATTTGCAAAGTGCTTGAGAGAGAACAAGAGGCCCCGTCTCTGCCCTGAGAAACATACAATCTAAAATCTGACAAGAGGGGGTAAAAAGGAAGTGCAGAGCTGTGAAAGCACGGGAAAAACAGATGGAGAATGTGTTATTCCCCCACCCCCTTCTTCACTGTTACGCATACTTGGGCAGTTACACCAGGTTTTGTGCCAACAGCTTTATGAGAAAAGTAGGCACTGAGGAAGGATTTGAGGAAAGAGAAAAAACTGCATCACAAAAGTGATGTATGAGGTAGTTCCAAATGGGGAAAGACAGTCTTCTGAGGGAGCAGAAGACCTTTGGACAGATGGGGGTGATAGAGCTACAGGAGCAAAGGTCAAAAGCAGGGATGTTTCAGGACATAAGAATGGAGAGATAAGGAGGGGCAAAGTCATGGAGGGTTTTGATAGTAAAGATGAGGAACTGTTGGACCAGACTGGGCATCACATCATTAGAGGGAGGAATGATTTTAACAGCAGAAACAAACAGTTTTGTGACACCTTAACCCTCCTTTGGGAATGGGCATTGTTAATAATGTAGTTGCTACTGACCCTACTTTCTGCATTTCATTTCCCTTTGACTTCGCAGATTCACAATTTCACCTCACTGTTGTGTGGGGGACACACACACAGAAACACACCCCACTCAAGCAACACTTCGTTTGTCTAGTCCAAGGGTCAGCAAACTTTTTCAGCAGGGGGCTGGTCCACTGTCCCTCAGACCTTATGGGGGACGAGCCTGTATTTTTGGAGGGGAAATGAACGAATTCCTATGCCCCACAAATAACCCAGAGATGCATTTTAAATAAAAGGGCACATTCTATTCATGTAAAAACACACTGATTCACAGACCGTCCGCGGGCCGGATTTAGAAGGCTTTTGGGCCAGATCTGGCCACCGGGCCTTAGTTTGCCTACCCATGGTTTAGTCCACAGAAGCTTACACTATTAATACATTTGTTAAAATTTAAAGTGCCACTCAACTCTCTGTTGTTTTTGCAAATACCCCTCTGGAACTTAGCTGGATGGAGTTGATGGAACCAAGGTGAGGCAATGGAAGACCAGAGAGGAGAGCATTGCAGCAACCTAGGCCAGGGGGCAGAGGGACAAGGGTCTTTTCCCAGGGCTCAGAGAGGAAAGCCCCTGGTGTGTATGGGTGGGTGTTTTTTGCAATGCTCTGAAGTGAGAAGTAACCATGACCTGGCAATGGACTGAATATGGCGAGCAAGGCAGGGAGAAGTCAGTGTGCCTGTCCAACATCAGACAGGCAGAGAGGTATAGAGAAAGCGAAACAGCAAGGGGCTGTTTCTATCAAGGTTTCCACGCAACAGGTCAAAGTCATACCAGATAAGCGCAGCAGCAATCCACAAAACAATGCATTGGTTGGTTTTCAAGGTGCCGCTACAAGGTTTGCAGGAGATAGCATGGAAAGTTTATCCCCCACAGCAGCACATTTGTAATGCGTGGAAAAGATGGTTGGTTATTTTCACGAGAGGGAAGATTCACAATCCCTCACGCTGAGAACCAGCCCCACGCTTCTAGAAGCGGCGGTGACAGTTACTCCGGATTAAAGTGCTTTTTTTTACGCGGGGCGCCCCACGGAAGCCAAAATACGAATATAACCCCCCACGCCCCCTAACCGGAGCCCCTCGGGCCCGTTTACACGCGTGGGGTGCGACTCCTGCCGTCGACAGTAACAGCAGCAGTTATTCACCACAACAATCCTCTCGGAGCCCCGCCGCGTACGAGGCGCCTCAGGGACCGGGCGGTGCGCAGGGCGGGCGGCTAGCGGGGAGAGGCCGATTATGCCCGGAAAGCGCGCCGGGTCTATGAGGCAGCAGCTAACAGGCCTTCCGGCCTGCCCAGGACGGCGCTTACCGGCGGCGTCGGCGGCGAAGGCGACCAGCAACCGGCGGCCGTCGTGGCCCCAGGCGCTCCGGGAACCCGGAACCACAACGCGGAGCACCGCCGCCTGCCGGGACAGGGCCAGCGCCGATATCCGGGAAATGGCGGGAGGCGAAAGGCGCTCGGGGTCGGCGCCTCCCTCTCGGCTCCCGGCTGCTCGGGGCGCCGCGCTGAGGGGGAGCCGGCGGAGCGAAAATAAGGGGGGGGGGGAGGAGACTGAGCCCGGCTTAAGCCTGCGCGCGTTTACTCAGGAGTAAGTCCCCGTGTTCTGTGGGGTCTACTCCCTGGGAAGAGCGCTCCAGGCGGCCCACCTGACAGGGGTGGTTTGGCGGAGGGGAACGGCAAAGCTTGCGACGACAAGCACGCTGAGCGTTATCGAAGGGAAATGGCTCCTGATTAGCAGCAGCAACGTGGCTGCTTGTCATTTCCTTGCTGAGGGGAAAGGACGCCGTGGGGTGTTTTGTTTGTTTGTTTAAGCGGGGGCGGTGGGGGGCAGCTGCCACCCCCCAAAATCAAGTAAATAAATAATACTCAGCTGACCAATTGTATTGCAGGTAACTCGGTTCTGCCCGCCCCAACCCTAAAGCCTGCCCCCAATAAATCCTGGCTACGCCCGTGTGTTTTAAATTGTTGTCATCATTTATTTTTTTAACCTCAGTCGGTATCTGTATTGAGGCAGGCAGGCAGACAGGCAGGCACAGACACACACACTCTTTTACATGTTTTTATTGTGACTGAATAAAAGCATAACATTCTTTTTATATATAATAATTTTTATTAGTTTTCAATTCCAATCCAGTAATAGCCTCATTATAACAATAACAATTTATAATACAGCTATTAATATCAATAGTTCAAATACTAAGTTATATAATTTAGATAAGGTGCTCCCACCCCCACGTGCTAGAATTGATGGCTTGATTATTTGCTTTATTTCTGTGTTCCAAAATCTTACTAATTTCCATTACATTCCAGTAATAATAATCCTTATACAACAACTGCAATATTAATAACTTCTATCTGTGTTGACACATTAAATGATTTATAAAACTACAAGTGAGGAACTTAAGCTATATCCTTGTTCTTCCTGTGTGTGGCAGTTCTGTCCATGGTGTTTCTTCCTGTCCTTGTAAGATGTTATGTCTTTCTTTCCCCTGGTTGCTGTTGTTATCCACCATGCCTTGGGTGAGACTGCTATCCCACTGTTGTTCCAGAAATTTCTCCATTAAAAGCATAACATTCTTAATTTTCCAAAGCACATCACATTCTGAGCTTGGCTTGAGCAAACCGTTATAGACTTCCCATTTTATATCTTGGAGAGGGAGGATGTTTGCTATATTAAGAAAGATTTGTTTGAAAACTAGTACATTTTCCAGCTGCTTGTGTGTGTGTGTACGCTATTTTAATGTTCTTTAAGATGCTTGTTTATCTAGTGGTTTGATATAAGCTTACACCCTGAAAAGCAACAACAAATTATTTTGTTTTGAAATAAATGTGGCACTAGTGGGCAACAGGTCCCACCAGTTTTGTAAACTAGTTTTGTTTATTCTTGTAAACTAATGGATTAAAAAGTTGATTATTCGGGGGGAAATCTGGTAGTAACAATACGCATTATGCACAAAGAGGTTAAAGCCTTTAACACATTTATTATATCATTCCAAAAGCAGGGGTTTGAAGAGAGGTTAGAGAGCCCTCTGGCAATGTGGTACAGCAGTTGCTGGCTCCTATGCAGCATGTACGGAGAAAGGCAAATACGAGATTGCTACAGTGGTGCCTCGCAAGACGAAATTAATCCGTTCCGCGAGTGTCTTCGTCTAGCGGTTTTTTCGTCTTGCGAAGCAACCCTATTAGCGGCTTAGCGGATTAGCGCTATTAGCGGTTTAGTGGCTATTAAAGGCTTAGCGGCTTAGAAAAAGGGGGGGGGGAAGCGGGGGAAAAATCTCAAGACTTGCAAGACATTTTCGTCTTGCGAAGCAAGCCCATAGGGAAATTCGTCCTGCGAAGCAACTCAAAAACGGAAAACCCTTTCGTCTAGCAGGTTTTCTGTCTTGCTAGGCATTCGTCTTGCGGGGCACCACTGTATTCCCTTTTCCTGTGTGAATAGCAACCTTGCCAACGAGCTGCTGAGGTACATAGACTCAAGAGTTGGAAGGGACCATGAGGGCCCCCCCAATCCAACGCAGGAATCTTTTGCCCTATGTGAGGCTTGAACCTACAACCCTGAGATTAAGAGTCTCGTGCTGTACCAACCGAGATAAACAGATGAAGATGATTTTGCCAGTGCCATTGTTACTGTAGCACAATGGGGAGGAGTGAGGCAAGAGTCCTATACCTGCAATTGCCTTATATGGGAATGAGGCAAGGTCTTCCTGATTGTAACAACTCAGGAATTATGTAAATTGCATTCCTTCGATAAAGTTGCCCTTGAAAATTTTGCAGTACTTGTGAATTGCAGTCTTTTCACTTATTGAGAATAATTTTGGACAGGCTTGTTATGGAAGGACTATTTCAGAACAATAGGTACACGTGTAGAAAGGTAGCTAAAATATTTTCTCTCCCACCCACCCCTCTATAGAGAGCCAGTCAGCTCAGTGCATAGCAGCTCAGGTGAGCGATCAGGGAAGACAGTTTTTACTACATTTTACTACCTTCCCAATAATAATCTCCCAAATTAGATCAATCCAGACTACTTTTCCTTCTTGGGGCTGGAGGATTATGTATACCTAACCTCTTCCCCCAACCCCAAGTTTTGTGTGTTCTACTGTGTCTACAAAAATTAAGCTGGCATTAAGGAGGCATTGTTTTAGAAGCTGTTTGAGAGCTCAAGAATTCAGCAATACTTCATTCAGGTGAGTCGTTTAAGAACCATTGGCTTTTTAATATTTATTGAAAAATGTGAACCACTCATAACAAAAGGTTAAAAACCTACAGCAATAAATACATCAAACATATCTAAGAACATATCAACAAGTTGGCACAGAAATGTAAACTTTATGGGGCCCAGGTATTAAAATGGAATATTTAAAGCAAATTTTCTCCTGTATTAAAAAAGGGAAGGACTTACAAATTCTCATTAGTAAAAGAATTAGAAAACTGCTTTTCTCTAAAAAAAAAAAAAAAAGGAAAGAAAGCAATTTTAGCTTTACAGCCTCTTTAATAAATGTGGTCAACTTTACAAAAAAATTAACACACAAGGCAGTGATATGGCTGCAAATCCCAGGCTAGAGAATTCCATCCTTCAGAACTTGGAACCCACTAGGTATATGCCACAATGCTTCCTTTGTCACCCTGCTATTCCAGCTGTGGTTGCAAGCCCCATCATAGTAAGGAAACAAGAATAGTAGACAATGCTATTAAAAGCAGTGAGCCAAGAGGCAATACATTCTGAGAGGATGGGGAAAGAGTATTGCAAAGTGCCTGGTAATGCCTCAGGGCTGGATCTCACATCCCTGAAAAAACTCACAGCCTTACTTGCATTTCAACCTGTCGTTAAAAACAGTAAAAATAATTCAGTGCTTGTAAGATGGCAATTCAGTTTAGACAAAAATGAACATGCTTTCAAAGTTGTTTTGAAAATACACCTACACACTCAACATCAAACTCCCTCACACTATATCTATTAAAGCACCACCCTTTCATGCTCAAAAAACTACAACATCAATGCAATAAATCCTCACAACACCCTAGTATGGCAAATTACATCAACTAGAAAGAAGGGAGCAGAAAGAGAATTAAAACAACATTCTTGTGGCAACTTCAAAGTATATCTGATTTCAGCCACACACCTATGTATGAAAATAAGTCCAGTGCTCATAATTCTTGCTGATTTCACCCCCAAAACACCCACCATGGACTTTTGGTTTCAATATATTAATCTCTGTGTTTATCAAGACTCTCCTTTGCAGGAAAACATCACATCCATATTTACATAGAAATAATTGGATAGCTTTTGTAAAGTGCTTTTCTGAGTTATTTGCTGTAATCCATCTATGCGGAGAACCCAAATTCCATGCAATTAAAAAAATAAAAGGCAACTGTTCAATCACCCTATTCATTCTGATATCTGAAGTAAGCAGATTAATAAAGTGGGTGGCAGGAGAGGATGCATACCCCTAAACATTTTGTGAATCTTTGTACTTTTGTCCATTTACTGTATTTATTTTTTTCGATCCGAACTATAAAATAGTGATTTTCTTGAGTCAAAATGAGAGTACCCCTAAACATTTTTTTTAAAAGAAAAAAAGCACTGGTTCTTTCTATTCAACTCCTATCACAACGGGCATTACAGGAGCTATCAAACTGTGGGTGATCAGATTGTGTTGCGCACACATGTGAACTCACCTTAGAAGTGCCACAGGACTGCTACTTGAAAACTTTCAACTAACTGAAGTGCTTTAAAATCAGGATCTAGGGATCTTCCTAGATACTAGGTTTGCTTTCAAAAGATGCCACAGTCATGCATTTTATGAAATAGGGCCTATTCTAAAGCACATAATCACGTGTTTGTGTGTGTATATATATATGTGTATATGTATGTATGTATATATATATATTTATGTATATATATATATGTGTGTGTGTGTGTGTGTGTGTATAAAAGAAATGCTCTCAAGCGTTTTACTGTGGGTAAAACCTCAGCGCCTAGGACTTGCCGATCGTCAGGTCAGCGGTTCGAATCCCCGTGGCGGGGTGCGCTCCCGTCGTTCGGTCCCAGCGCCTGCCAACCTAGCAGTTTGAAAGCACCTCCGGGTGCAAGTAGATAAATAGGGACCGCTTACCAGCGGGAAGGTAAACAGCGTTCCGTGTGCTGCGCTGGCTTGCCAGATGCAGCTTGTCACGCTGGCCACGTGACCCGGAAGTGTCTGCGGACAGCGCTGGCTCCCGGCCTATAGAGTGAGATGAGCGCACAACCCTAGAGTCTGGCAAGACTGGCCCGTACGGGCAGGGGTACCTTTACCTTTACCTTTAAGTCCTCTCTATACATGAGAGCAAACCCCAATGAATTCAAAAATACATAGGATCAGGCTGTCAGTGGGGTAGATGGGAAGTGTGTCAATCTAACCTTCAGCCCAAATTAACATTAGAATTCTTTCGTTTGCCGCAAACTTGTGAAATGCCCCAAACATTCCCTAGTGAATAGCACCTCTAGCAATGCTTGTAACAGAGTGAGAAGAACTGATGGACCTGCATTTGGGTTTTGGAATATTCTGCTGTAGTATCACCTGATAATGTGTCTCCTGAGATAAATAATGACTCAGTTAAGAGCTTTTCAGACATAAAAAAACTCTCCCAAATACCAAGTTTTGCTATATGCTTCAAATTCACCTCATTAGAGACTTGACCAGTTTTCTTAATGCAAGTTGAAAAAGTACCAAAGAAGTAGTCAAAGCTATCAAAAAAGAATATAAAAGTAGGTCAGCAGAGTGAATAGCAGCTTTTTCCTGTTGTCTGAAAGCAATCCAGTTAAATCACCAAGCCATCACCTTTAACAGTTCTCTTCCAAGCTCTCTCATAATTCCTCGAGGTCAGTTAAATCCACCACTACTTTCAGGAAGAGTGTATCATCTCTGATGTATGTATTCTTTGCATTTTCGAGCACAGTATGTGCAACAAACCGAGGACACCCTGAGGCAACATTCATCTCTCCTTCAGGTCTCTTGAAGCTGCTGCTGTGAGGGTCGGCTTTAAAGGTTTCTGTTATGTGATGTTTCTTCCCACTTTGGTCCAGAAGCATAAGTGTGACCTTTTGCTTGAAAGGCCACGGTAACAATGAATCAAACTCCCCTTTCATCACTACAAAGTACAAGGAAACGTGAGTGCCCTTTCCTGAACCATCCCCATTCAGGTATGCTCTGGCAGACAACCTGTACCCACAGCGGCTGGTGTAAAAAGGCTGGCTGACTACAGAGGGACAGAGTCCTTCCATAGCCTCTTTTTTCTTCATCTTGTAGTCGACAATTTTCCAGATCAGTTTCCCATTGTAACTTGTCCCTTCTAGAAGTTTAAACCGTTCTTCGTTTTTGTTAAGTTGTGCCCTGTGGATACTGAGGTGGACATCATGTTGGTTGGACAAGTCTTCCAGAACAACTAAGAGAAAGAAATGTGGGGAGATAAGAGAGGGTTACATACAGACACTTACAGAGTTTGTATTAGGCATCATTTTTACATATTTAACATCTAACTATCTAGAGCAGTGAGGGCCAAACTTGGCCCTCCAGCTGTTTTGGGACTACAACTCCCATCATCCCTAGCTAACAGGACCAGTGGTCAGGGATGATGGGAATTGTAGTCCCAAAACAGTTGGAGGGCTAAGTTTGGCCATCACTGATCCAGAGCAACTGTTCAGAGTCTGGCACTAACAGCTCCATTCCTTGTGATGCAACCTACTTTTTCTGCAGATTGGGGGCAACGCTGAAGTCAGTGGTCTGTCCGTTTTTAGTAGGATACATGGATTTGGATTCTAAACTCTTTGACATGCAAACCTCTTGTAAAAAAAAACTTAAAAGAGGAAGACCACAACCCCTTCCATGCTTAACCTCCCCTCCCCCAAAAAGACCAGCAAAATAACCATTCAAGCATTGGCTCTCTAGAACCAAAGGAGAACACATAGGGAAAGCAGGAGACCAGTGTGCCACTAGGTAGCCATGTGGTTTGCTGAGAAAAGTACATGAATGAACTTGTAAAAGCCTCAACTCCCCTCAATGGCATTTTAGAATTTTAGATCTTAAGTAAACTAAACTAGCTTACCACCCCCATAACACCAAAACACTTTAGGAAGAGAAGAATCCCCAATATACCTAAACGCTGCTCGTATGATTCCAGGAAAGCAACCTTTTGCTTTATATTATCAATGGTCTCCAGAAGTGGTCTCAGGCTGAATTTACTCTGCTGCTGATTTGCCATCTGCACCAGCTGTCTCACTTGTGTTTCCAGGCAGGCAGATTTATCAATGTGAATTGCCAAAGTCTTTAGCGATATGGGGATGAGAGAGAAGGGAGAAGACATGCAATTTTAAAATAAAATTGAAGACGACAAACTAGTATTACAAATTGTTTATTAAAGTCTATCATTGACTGCATTTCCCTCCTCCGAGTTTTTCCAAAGGTTTCTTTTCAGTTAGGATCATAAATCGTCTGTCGTCACGATCTCAATTGTGCGAGGCGAAAAAGTCCAATGGCTTTGTCTTGCACAAATAGTTTTCTATCCCCTGGTCCTCTTTGTTTACTCCCACATTTCATGGTTGATGCTATGTCTGCAGCAATGATCTTTGCCAACGGTTTCAGGATATTTCCTTCCTTCCTCACTGCAATCTCAACTGTTGTGACAGTTTTAACCTTCTGCTTTAGTACCATGCCATGGTATAGCTTTAACAAAATGGTTGTTCCTAGTGCCCTTTTTCCACCCCAGTGCTAAAATTTAGATTGAGAGGTTCTTGGAGATTTACACTTGCTTGTTATTTTGTTGGTTTATGGAATTCTCAAGTTACATATACCAAACTGTACTTTTCTGCATTTCATTTCTTTCTGACTTCATTGTTTGCAGTCCATCTCCCCACAGGAAAATGAATATATGCTAATCAGAAAACATTTCATTGGGTGGACCATAGACTGCAAAACATACGATATAATACATTTGATATATAATACTGCATACAATGTGCAGTAAGTCTCCAATGTTTATGCTCACTTATTGAGCTGCATAAATAATCATTTTTATCAAGAGCAAGCAAACTTCAATTTTGTATCCCAGTTATGTGGGTTTCACCCAATGCATGCAGGAGACAGTCACCACACATGTGCAATCTGAAAGCACAGAGGGGTGGGAATCCATTTTTGCTTTCAGCACGCGAATGAACTATGAAAACAAAATGGAAATGATGTCCAGGTTAAGCAGAGCCAGAAAACCTCACATTTTAAGCTGAATCTAGCACAGTGCAGGCAGTATCTCCACATAGACACTGTTGTGTTTTCTTTGAAGCAGAAACTCTGTTAGGAAGGAGGGTGGGATTACCTGAGTGCTTGCCAGTAAGTTGCTATTTTTACCGTACAGCTGTGTAAACTGCCTGAAATCTCTCTCACACTTCTTAATCGTGTCTGCTAGCTGCTGTATTTTTCTCTCTTTGTGTTCAAGATTGTTATAAAGGTCAGAGATCTACAAAATAAAATGCGAAGTTGTAAATTTAATGTTTTATTTTTAAAAAGACACAAAAACTGATGAAAAAACTGAATTATGAAACAAGGGTTAAATCCAGCTAATGCTCAAAGTAGACCCATGTTAGTCATGTCTAACTCAGAACAGAGCTAACACTGAATACAACCCAGAGGGATTGCTCAGCTGTTAAGAGATGGACAAGCTAATAGCCCAAGGATAATTCCCACAATCACTTTCGACTGGGTCAGTTTTTATCTTGTGATCCACACAGACCCAACAACCAAGTATGGTAGCCCACCAGAGGCTTAACAATCTCTCTGTTTTTGTCCACTGCCTAGGACTATGACAGATTGATTTTGCCTCAGCTGCAACAAAACATGTCTGTCCTGCATCTGTTTCTACAGCCACAGCAGGCACTGTAACTCTCCCATAGTTTGACTTCACCCACGAAGGCGCACTCCTCCATTGTCTCCCAAGGTAGACACATGCCAACAAGGACACCCAGGAAAGTTTATAGTGTGTACAATTCCCTCCACCCCCCACTGATGCATGCTATACACATCAATAGCAACAGAAAAAATGGTAGCCAACAATCAAAACCCATTGTTTCTAGGGTGTGATTTAAATATGCATCAATGAGTACCATGCTGCTAGATTCAGAAGGTTTTTCTTTCATAAGTAAAGTGACACCTAACCTCACAGTGACTTTCTGTAGAACACACACTCACGCACACACTCAACAGTTTTAGCATGGCATGAGGAACTGAAACATGCTTTCCTCTTTTCAAGCCGACTTTCTAAAGTTCATCATATTCAAATGAAGGATCACCACACATTATAAATGTTGGAAGGTACCAAATGGCCCCTAACACATAAACACCCTTCAGAGAACAATAAGGGTGCCAAAAGCACTGCAGAAATAACCTTGAAGCAGATACATGGAAGATTAGTATTACTACTTGCCCTTTCTTCATACAAAAGCTTTCACTGTACCCAGACCTTAACGTAATAACAACAATACTGCAATCATATGGAAATGCAAAGGGAAGGGGCCTTCAAAGGGGGAGAAGGGTACTTTTTGCATGTAATAATAAAAAAAGATAACTGTCAACCTACAGATTCTTAATTAGCAACATTTCCCCCCCCAGGGCTCCAGACTTCTGTCTGCATATATACTTTCGACCAAACCTCATCCTTCCTTCTAGTTTGCTACATGAAAAAGTACTTGAGGCAAATTACCTTCTTGCTAATTTGCATACTCCCTTCTGCAAAGTGCTACTGTGAATCTGTAATGAGGGTATGTAAAAGTGGCGTGGATGTGTGGTTCCCCGCCCCCAACTAGCTGCTGTGTGTGTGGACAATTGTCTCCAATAAAGATCTCACAAGCAGTAGTAATTTCTCCAAAATTAGCAAATTGCACAAGTACATGTGTAAGACACTTGTGGAACTAAGGGAAGTTTAGCCTCTTTTGAACCTCTTTGAATTTTTAGAACTGTCGGTTGTTTCCACTTAGAAGCTGAAGGGTTTGGGAGGAAATGCCATACTATACCTGATCTTCCAGCTTTGAGTTCTTATCTAAGATCTGAAGCATATGTTCTCTCAAGTACATATTCTCATGTTCTGAAAGTTTTCCTCTTTTAATCTAAAATGAGAATATAAACATGTAGTGAGAACAAAGCTAACCTGACACATTATAAACTAAACAGATTTAAAATCATTCTAAAGCAAAAAAAATCAAAACAAAACAAAACGTAACAAGGGGAAAATCTCAGCAGGGATATTCTGAAAAAATTAAACCAGAGGAACAAAAAAAGAAGGATGAAGCAGAAAGAGACATTGGTTAGCTAGTGCCCTTTTATGCTTTGGAGAATTAGCATCTACTGTAGGACCATGGATGATTGCATTACAATACCTTTGTAGAACAGCCATACTTTTTATAAGGACAATCAATTTTCACCTCCGGACATATTACGACATGCTCTTCTACCTGCAAATATTAACAAGTTTTAAATGACACATTAATTATAGGTGAAGAAGGTTTGTGCGTTATGACCTTTATTTCCTACAAAAGAAGTACAAAAAGGAACTACATTACACTCTCTGCATCGTCACCAAATCTAGTCATGGACAATGACAATAACAAAGCGGTCCACAGATGCTCTTACATTATCCATGGATGGCAATGTCACCTAATTACTAACACAAAGAAGGGCGGCAACTCGTACTGCCACATGCAGAGGCTAGCAACAACTAGGGACTATTTTGCTCTTCTCTCAACAACACTTGCAATGAAATGAAAATAACATTGTACCTCTTTTGTCAGAATTATCTGTGGGCAGCCATGAGGACAAATCAAGGGATAATCGGGACAATCTGTTCTCTCGTGAGTCTGAAAACACATTGGGAAATCTGTTATTCAAGAGAAATGAAGAGGTTGGTTCTACTTAACACAAACCCAAAAGGCAGAAGCAATCATGTTGACCATCCACTAGGAAACGACAGTGCAAGTCCAACTGAAATGAACAATAGTGCTTTTTCAAGCACTCCTGCGCACTTTCCATCACTCCAAGGGGGGGGGGGGAAGAGGAGGAATGCACAATGCTCCAGTCGATTGATTGTGGTTTTCATATATAAGGTAGGCATTTCTAACCTGCTGCATATTACAGACTTATTGTCATTACATCCCTCCCCGATTTTTATTTATTTATTTATTGCTTCTCATCTCTCTCTCTCTCTCTTCTACAGTGGAATAAAAAGTAAATGGCCCATGTCTAGAAATATGCACAGACAATTCAAACTGAGCTTATTGGCCTGCAACCAACACACCACAGCAGCCTGGGACTTGCAATGCTACACCTAACACAGATATAACAGAGAAACAGAAGTGCATGTTATCATTGTAGTTTAAGCTCTTCAAGGCTGTGACAGAAGGAAGAGGGAGAGCAATATATATATATATATATATATATATATATATATATATATATATGAGATTGCTCATATATAGAGAGAGGGAAGAGTCACATTTAGGGTTTTCCACCGTGTTTTGGAGACATTTTTACTAACATTTTACCTTTAAATCAATTGAAGTCACAGGCTGTTTGCAGTACTGGCACAGTTCCTTCCGATAGCTGCACTGCAAACCTAGGTGTTCTTGCAAATCCTTCCGAATAACTTTTTCACAACACCCTTCATTAGTGCACTGCACGCTTTCGAACAAACACTGTTGTAGGTGATCCTGTAAAGCAGAACCATGTACTACCATATATTACCTGCATCATTAACATCACCATAGTATGTACAGGAGGCACATAAAACATGCCACATTTTGGGATCTGCAAGGAAGGTCAGATGTCTCTCTAAAAACCCCATAGTCAACAACATTGTGCCTATATTCTGTTGGTTTCTTGCACCTTTGGGCGCACAATCATGGGGTAATGCAGTGAGCCACAGCTTCTCAATAAAGCATTTGTTGTGGGGACAGTCACATCTCTCTCTTCCTCCATAAGCCTCTGCCTTTTCCTTTCCCATTGCCATGCACAAATCCTTCTTCTTCTTCTGTTGTTGTTGTTGGTTTCAGAGTCCTGCTTCCTTTTACTATGCCCTTTTAAAATGTGAGGGGTTTTTTTGGGGGGGGGTTATTGGGTTGTTGTTTTTATTTTGATTATGTATTTTGTGGTTTTATATTTTGATTTTATTCTGTGAACCGCCCTGAGACCTCCGGGTATATTCTAATTCTAATAATAATAATAACAACAGGAAAAGCTGGGGTAGAGCACCCGTCTTGTATACAGAAGGTCCCGAGTTCAATCCCTGGCGTTTCCTGGTTGGGCTGGGAGGAACCCCTGTCTGAAACCCTGGAGAGCTGCTGCCAGCCAGAGTGGACAGTACTGAGCTCCATGGACCAATGGACTGACTCAATATAAGGCAGCTTCTGATGTATTCATCTAATTAATTTCCTCCTTCTTCTCCCCCTGTGCTGTCCCCAAATCTGCCCCAGAGGGTTACTGTTCCATTATTCTACAGACTGTATTATTCTATATCCATTATTCTAAGTTGAGATTCCTATATTGCAGGGGGCTGGACTAGATGACTCTCAGCGTCCCTTCCATCTCTGCCTACAAAACATTTGCCTTAAGACCACACCGGTTTCTACCTAGGCATGTTTCTAGGCTTTTACACTCTGCTGTAAAGAAGCCCCCCCCCCCCCACTTTTAGATGCCCCAAATGCCAATATAAAGCACGTCTGGCACAATTAAGACAAGTTTCTTTTCTGTTCTTCCCTTTTGAGAAGAACACACAAATTTAATGCACAAATGGATAAAATGGTGTGTGTGTGTGTGTGTGTGTGTGTGTGTGTACCATGTACAGCACCTTGAGCATCTTGGGGTGTGTGGGAAGGTGGCTTATAAATGAAATAAATACCGTATTTTTCTCTCTATAGGACGCACCGGACCATAGGAGGGGGAGAACAGGGGAAAAAAAATTCTCCCCCTCTCTGCTCAGCGCCCCTTCAGCGAAGCAGCAGGAGAAATGGAGCCCCTTCCATTTCTCCTCCCGCTTCACTGAAGGGGCGCTACGCAGAGGGAAAACTGTGCAGCGCCTCTCCAGCGAAGCGAAGCCTGGAGAGCAAGAGTGATCAGTGTGCACCGACCCCTCTCGCTCTCCAGGCTTCAGGCGGCCATCCGCAAGCCTTCGGAGCGCGGCGGGAACTCCTGCTGCGCTCCGAAGGCTTGCAGATAGCTGCCTGAAGCCCCCGGAGCGCAGCGGGAGTTCCCTGCACTCCGGGGGCTTCAAGGGCTTCAGCGAAAGCATTGCAAAGCCTCCGGAGCGTGGGAGGAGCTCTCCCTCTGCGCTTCGGAGGCTTCGCGTTGCTATCGCTGAAGCCAAGGAGCCTGCATTCGCTCCCTAGGACGCACACACATTTCCCCTTCATTTTTGGAGGGGAAAAAGTGCGTCCTATAGAGCGAAAAATATGGTAAGCTGTGGGTGGAAAAGCTAAATTACTAGCATCCAATGTTCTTGCTCACTGCTGCCTGATTTATAAATCCATGTGCATAAGATCAAGTGGTAAGATCACAGAAGCTGCACTATTCACCTTGAATTTGCAGGGATTGGATGGGAAGAATACAGATGCTTCATGCTCCCCCACCCACCCTCCTATGCCCTCAGTACACATTTGGCAGGGTCAAAGCCAACGGCCTGCCTTTTTTCCACAACCACAGGAGATCTATTTAACAGGGAGAGAGAGAAAAAAACTGAGGTACCAGTGAGTAAAACAAGTAGTTTAAGAGCAATGCAATATCAAGTCTTTTATTTGCAGTGCGTTCCCACCCACACAGGCTGACGCTTCTCATACTCATAATGGGAAAATATATATTATGTTTTAAAAAGTATATTAAAAAAGAAAAGGGGGGGGGAGTAGCTTTAGTAATAAGTGCAGTTGCTTCATGAAGGCAGAAAGACATAAAAACTTGGCTCAATTGATATTAAGAGATGAGGAACGCAAACCTGATATCGCCCCAGAGACGTTTTCGCATTACAGGCTGGTGAATTTCTGCAAAACACTTGCAAATTGAGAACTTCCCTTTTACAGCAATTGTCTTTGAAAACCTAAATAAAAAGAGTATAAAAACTTATTTCAAAGCACACGCAGAAGGTCCATAATTCACTATAATCTTTTAAAACTTAATGAAAAGCCAGTCTTGCTACAGAGGAAATTACCGTATTTCTCGCTCTATAACACGCACCCGACCATAACACGCATGTAGTTTTTAGAGGAGGAAAATCCTTAGGCATGCCACCTGTAGGCATTCCCTCCATAACACGCACAGACATTTCCCCTTACTTTCTAGGAGGAAAAAAGTGAGTGTTATGGTGCAAAAAATACGGTATGTGATAAACAAGTTTCCAGTGTTGAAGTTTGGGGAGTGAGGTTAATGCTAGTTTCAAATGCTTGAAGGGTCTAGAGGAGAGAGAGTAACTAGGCATCAAATGAGCATAAATTATATCAAACAAACCCCTTGAACAGGAAGGATTACGCTGGTGAAGAAATCTCAGCTCTCCTCCTCCCAACACACAGAATATCCACCTCAAGTTCCATACACAGCTCCATCTTCTCTGTTATTCAGGTTTGTTGTCTTTGAGTTCTCTCCAACCTGCAACTGCCCTATTGTGGAGGTGGGTCAGAGACAGCAGCCTTCCGTTACTCAGACCCCACAATTGGCAGGGGAGGCCTTTTTGGGGGTGCCGCCGGAGGTCAGATGCTGCTGACCTGTGACAGGGCCATTTCAGTGTCAGTTTCCCATTTGTAGAATTGCCCTCCCTGTTCAGGTGCGCTTCTCTCCCCGACTGTTGACTTAGGAGAAGTTTTTAAAACGTTCCTATTTACCCAGGCACCCGTCAATCCTGAAAATCACTGGTTTCCAGAATGTTTTAAGCCGACTTCAAAATTTATGATTACTGATGTGTTTGCTACCATGGATAAAGGGCAGGAAATAAACTGAACGAACAGATAATTTTTCCACCCCTGCAGTAGTTGCAGTTTTATTTTCTGGGCATGAGGTCAAAGTGGTGGCTTTGAGCTACAAACCCTAAATGGCTTAAGATAGTATCTATTTTACAGGAAATGCCTCACCTCATAATACAGATCAGGATCATAAAGATCAGCCCAAAGGCTCTTGACTGTGTTAGCATGATGTGAAATCTTAACAGGAAGGGCTGGTAGGAAGCCATAAACTTGCTTCACAATTGTAAAACTCACTTTCCCCTAAAAACAGGAGTAGGAGGGGAAATAGACCTGGCCATTCCTGAGAGTTCTGGATTTCCAAGTTTGTTCTTCATGTTTTGATGATTAAAATTATTTAAACATTCTGGTATAAAAATCTCATTGGGCTCCAAACTTGAATAGGTTCTTCACGTACATTCAAATAATACTGCACACAAAACTGTTGAATCGATTGACTCCCCGCACCCTCCAAAGAATGTAAACATAAATTATTTTCTTACTTCATGTAGTTTTATTACTTCTTTGTCCACAGGACAGGTGGGCACAGCATTCAGTTCTCTAAAGAGATCAGAGGTTATATTTGGTTTTTTAAAAAATCTGCTCTGGGGAAAGGATCAAAATTATATGCCTATTATAGCTGGCCCATTAAATTCCAGCTTTATCTGAACAAAAGAATTATTTTTAAAATCCCTCATCTTGCTGCATATTAGACCGGTGCCGATTTCAGCATACCCTTTTCTCAAAAATGTCCTCCTCACCCATTTTAAATGATTCTAGAGCCTGTTGGCTACACTCGCAGCACCTCTTTAAATTGGAGTCCCACTGTCATGTTACCATACAGAGAGCTAAAGGGAAATTGCAAGAGGAAATTAAATAAACAAAGCCGGCAACCTAACAAGTAGTTTAACTGAGCATTAAGTAATAACCGTCACATAAATTGAGAGCACATAAAAATGCTAAGAACTGTTCAGAAGAGGAAAAACTGAATAAAAATCAACATAGTGTCAAAGCAGTCCTGTTAAACAGGGGTGGGGAGCCCGTGGTTCTCTTGATGTTGCTGGATTCTCAACAACCCTAGCCAGCATGGGCAGTGGTCAGGAATGATGGGAATTGTAGGAGAACAACATATGGAAGGCTGTAGGCTCCCCACCCAGTGTTAAACTATGTTATAGATCAGATATAAACAAAGGAAACTAGTGAGTCATTAAGCAAGGGCTGCTTCTTATTTATTTCATTTAAACCTGCCCTACACCACACTAGTGATCCCAGGGCATGGTACATCAATTATTACTTTCTCATCAATAAGTCTTAAAACCCACACAACACAATCCTATGCATATTTATTTAGTGCTCAGAGGTTCTTACTTCCATGTAAATGTGCACAGTCGCGCAGCATTAGGCTGCCATCCCATACCCCATTACCTTGGGAGTAAGCTTAATGGAAACAAATGGGAATTACTTCCAAGTAGACAAGCATATGATCGAACGGTTAAGTGACACTTTAGAAATTACAGCGTTTCAATTTCACTCTAGAAAGTAACTGTGCAGGCATTTTAGAAAGGAAGGAACCAGTATGACTCTGAAGTGAAACTTAGGTGAATCAAAAGGGTACTTTTACAAGACAGAGTTAAAGTTTCGTTTTTAAATTTTTCTACATCTCTTCTCTACGGCAAAGTCACACCAAGTCTGTAGCACTTTAATATTACTGCTATAATTTTTCAGGCGTTGGAAAGAGGGACTTCCCAGAAAGAAAAACCCACCAGCTTCTATGGGAAGCTGCAATAATAAGCCTTATTTAAGATCACAACACATCTAACATATGGACATGAACCAGACCAAAGTGTATCCAATCCCCATTCATTTTACTGAGCAGCGAAGTATGTGTTTAAAGGGCCTCCAATGAAGTTAATGGGATTTCAGAATGTTTTAATATTGAACTGCTCATGCCTCAGATGTCCACAAAATTTTTTAAAAGTTGCGCTGGGAAAATGTGTTGACTAAAGCAAGAGGAAAACTAACACACCTTAGGATTATAGTAATGTGCTGTTCACATTGCTTGTGGAGTTGCAGGAATAATTAGGCTTGGCTGGGGTCCTCATTTGGCCCACAAATCTGTTTCCCCAAGCCACATCTATCAGCCCACACCCAACATAATGCTGGGATCCAATTCGCTTAGGAATTCCTGAGTGTAGCCGATCCAGAGTTTGTGGCTGCAAACATTGCTTTTGCAGTAGGGATCTTCCTTTGAAGCACAGCTTGAGTTCAAGCTTTCCGGCAGAGGAAGAATCAGGAGCACATGATTATTTCCTTTGAAGTTGGGTCACCTGACATTATGGTGCTGTCAGGTGACTGACAGGTGGGCAGCACTACTCACCTGCCAAAATGGTCTCCCAAAATGGGATCCTGTTCCCCAGCCCTCACACAAACACAATTTCCATAGTTTTCAGGGATGGAAAGGGAGGGTTTGGATCTGAATGTAAGAGAAGGAAGGGACATTTCTTACCTCAGAGAGACTATGCAACGCTGGCAAAATCTGTGCCCACATCCCGTCTGGTGAGGATTGTGAAGGACCAGGTGGCAATAGGCACATTTGTATCGTTCTTCTACGATTTCCACAAACTGATAGTCGGCATTAGGCTCAAAGTCTAAGGAAATGGCACTGGTAGAATTCTGCCGAATGTAGAGATTTGCTAAGTTGCCTGCAAGGTCTTCAGCGGCCATGGGCATAGAGCTACAAACACAAGAATGAAGAGAGTGATGCTAGCTGAGAACCTATCATTATACTTTCCTCACATCTCAAGAGTATCAGGCTTGGAGCTACAAACAGCTCAATATGTACAGTCATGAGGGGAAAGGAAGCACACCCTCTTTGATTTCTGTGGTTCTTAATTACTGTATTGCCGATATTTGAATGGGTCTAAACTAATTTATTCTACCAGGGTGTATGTTTTACAGTATCACTCAGACATTAGCAGTGTGTGTGTGTGTGTGTGTGTGTGTGTGTGTATACACGCACATTTTCTTCAGTTTGTGTTCAAAGGACACAGAGTTCAAACGTGTGAGACAGGAAGCAAATGCTCTATGCTTATATTTTTATACGTTTCCTGCCTCAAACCCAAGTCCTAACATATGGCATTTAACTTTCCACACGCAAGTGGTTCTTAAAACCCACCCCACACATACTGTTCTACATCACTATCTTCTTAAAATGTCATTCAACACTGACAGGGACTGGGCACCTCAGAGATGAGAATTGAATGGGACAGCACAGCTCACGCTCTCAGCTTCTACATTAGCTGGGTTGTAGGTTGCCGGTGTTCCTTAATGAGATTTCCTCATTTAGGGGAAAGGAAGCAAGTCCAATGGAAGAGCATCTGTTTTGCACACAGGCGGTCCTGAGAACCATCTCCAGCATCTATAGGTAGGGTTGGAGATTTCCTCTCTGCCCGGAGAGTCACTAGTCTGCATATGTAAACTGAGCACAGAATCTATGATTCTATGAGATGGACCAACAGACTGACTCAGTGTAACACAGCTTCCTATGCTCCTACTGTGAAGAAATACCGTATTTTTCGCTCTATAAGACGCACCAGACCACAAGACGCACCTAGTTTTTGGAGGAGGAAAACAAGAAAAAAATATTCTGAATCTCAGAAGCTAGAACAGCAAGAGGGATTACTGCTTTCACTGGGCAGCGATCCCTCTTGCTGTTCTGGCTTCTGGGATAGCTGCGCAGCCTGCATTCGCTCCATAAGACGCACACACATTTCTCCTTATTTTTTAAGAGGGAAAAAGTGAGTCTTATAGAGCAAAAAATACGGTATAAGGCTGGAAGGGAGTAAGGGACTTTTCCCTTCAGCAACTAGCAAGCTGACTCCCAAGTAACTCAAATCCCAGACCACTCCTCCTCCTTGCTTTTTCTGCCTGAAGGAAATGAACAGGGATTTTCCTTTGCAAAAATCCATCACAGGCTAATAGACACCTTCAGAAACTAACAACAAAAAGCCTAAACATGCTACCAAATTACTCCAGAGAAGTAGCATGGTAGCCTGTGTGTTCAGGTCAATTAAGAAACATTTTATGCTACAAATCAGGTGCAGTTGTGTTTTGGGGTTCGATGGACAGCTTGCCAAGCTTTAGGTACTTGATTGGTTGAGGTTGCTAAATAAACCTGCAGAGAAAAACATTTGCTGCAGTTCAGTTTATACGCTAAATGCCTTTGATTAGCCTTTGCACAGCCCAGGAAGCTAAAAACACCCATAATGTGATCACTATTGCAAAATAAACCACACAGCACTAGACCTACAAACAAAAGTAAAGCTTTTTTTAAAGGGCAAATTTAAATTCTCTTTTTTTTAAGGGTTGAGGAACACTGCTAATTATTCCTTTGAATGCCTCATTAAAAATCCAGAGTCTAATTACCTTTCCCCAATATGAATTAAAACAAACTGCTGTAGGGACACTGCATATTAAGAATGCTTCATGTTTAAAGCACTGCATTGTTTTAACATGATTATGGCTAAATTCAAAACGTGCATTTTTACACAAGCTAAAAAGGAACAAAGAATATAATGTACAGCATTTGCTTTGGCTTTATTGTTTTTCCCCCAGCACTCCCTAATTTGCTGCTGTTTTTCTAATGGTTAATACCAATTAGTGCTTCTTTCTTCTTTTCTGCTCCCCATGTCTGTGATTTCCATATTGTAACAAACAAGATGCGTGTTATTTACAAAAACAGCAGAAGTGGTTCTTGAGTTCTTGCATATTTATAGACATTAGAGACATGGAAATCAAGAGCTCCGCAGCTCCTAAAAAGGAGCTTCATGTTGGAGCTACATTTTTAAATTAATGATGGTATTAAGTATTCCCATAAGGGTTGTGCACAGAGTTTAAGATGAGAGAGCATACCAACATAAGAAAACATTTTCTTGCTCCAATTACTGCACAGTTCTTGTTTTCTTTTATGTAAGGACTTCTCTGTTTTTGGTATTTCAGTTTTTGTTTCCCTTTGTTATATATATATATAAAACCTTTTATAGAAATGCAAGGAACTTGCACTTAATTGGGAGTTGAACATATACAACATTCAGAAACGTACCATATAATCATATGCACGTTTACTCAAAAGTCAACCCCAGTGTGCTTACGGGGGTTTTCTTCCGGGTAAGTGTGAACAGTCTGAAATTCTGTGGTGCCTTGCATAACAGCTGAACACACTGAAGATATTTAGGAATGACTCATTCTTGGAAATGTCAAAACTGTTAAGAAACTTGCACAGGCAGAATGCTGAAATTTGGTGTGCCTTTATTCTAAAATAACTTGATTGCTGAGAATCTGAAAACAGGATATTTTTGTCTTTTATGTGAATTCTACTTTGTCAAAAAGGGACAGCACAGAGAAAGCGAAACGTGTGGATGACTGGAAGGGTGAGAGCGTTCCTTCCTACACAACTCAAGGGTGGTACAAAGATATAGGGATGCAGGTGGCGCTGTGGTCTAAACCACTGAGCCTCTTGGGCTTGCGACAGAGTGAACTTGAAAGCACGCCAGTGCAAGTAGATAAATAGGTACCACTGCGGTGAGAAGGTAAACGCCATTTCCGTGCGCTCTGGCTTCTGTCACTGTGTTCCATTGCACCAGAAGCGGTTTAGTCCTGCTGGCCACGTGACCAGGAAAGCTGTCTGTGGACAAACGCCGGCTCCCTCGGCCTGAAAGCAAGATGAGTGCCGCAACCCCATAGTCACCTTTGACTGGACTTAACCGTCCATGAGTCCTTTACCTTTACCTTTTTTTTTTACAAAGATATGAAAGAGAAATTTGCAGTGGCAGCCCTGAACATATTCAAGCTGGCAGAATATAAACTGGGTTTACTATCCTAAGTAAAGGTTTGGACTAACTAATGAAAACCAGGGGACTACGTCTTCATTGCCAATAATTATATATTTTTGAAACCATGATTACCCAAGGGAAGAATAACTGTTTTTTTTTAATTGCGTAATCTTTCATATGGTTCAGACACACAAATCAAAATTAGCACCTAGTGTACCACTAATCCAGCAAACAGTGATTTGGCAAAGCTGTCATATGAGCAATCTGACATGCATTTGAATTGCACCTCAGTGCGTGGTGTCATGCATGCAATTGCCCCTTCTACTGCAGGCCAGGTATATCAGGAAAAAGTGTTTTTGTTAATGGGAATCCACATGTTTCTCTGTTGGCTTTAGAGTTATTCTCTAAGTAGGGTAAGAGAACAAGCCTGTAAGTAAGTTCCTACATTGAGGTGCTATGGTACTTCTTGTAAAGGAGACATTGCATTATTGTATTAAATTGTGTGGGGGTTTTTTTATTTAAAAAAGTAACCAACAATTATTTGATTTGTTTGTCACTTTTGTATTATTCTCAGTTACATAACAGTGGTCGTCATTACACTGATTTTAAAATGAATAAATTAATAATCCACTTTCCCCATGAACTCAGAGTAGTAAATAGCAAGTGCAAAGCAGTAAGGCTACTTGCAGAATTAAAAATAAAAATAAAGTTCAAGAAAAGCACCATTAAAAAGTTAGAACGAAAAGATGACGATGGCATGAGAATTCAGAAAAGGTGGACTTGTGCAAAAGTTTGTATTGCTTTAGCAAGCCTCCAAGGTCAGGCTTGAATTTTTGTACTAAGCATTTAAAGGTAAAGGGACCCCTGACCATTAGGTCCAGTCGTGACCGACTCTGGGGTTGCAGCGCTCATCTCGCTCTATTGGCCAAGGGAGCCGGCATACAGCTTCCGGGTCATGTGGCCAGCATGTCTAAGCCGCTTCTGGCAAACCAGAGCTGCACACGGAAACGCCGTTTACCTTCCCGCCAGAGCGGTACCTATTTATCTACTTGGCCTCTGAAGACTAAGCATCTAGGCAGGCCCAAAAGAAAATTTGTTTCTGCAAGTCAATCTGCCAAGAACCTTTTCCTTCCAGGTTCAAAGGTTTCCCTAGTATTCCTTGTTTTCAAAAGGCACCTCTACTCTCTCTCCTCATATTTTAGGGCAAGCTGCTATAGTGAACAGTGGTCACCATAACTATCAGATAAATCCATCCTTGCCCCTGCTCTTTTCTTTTCTGACAATGGAGATCTCAGGAAGTTTTGACCACTGCTGGGCTGGATTTATGGAAGAGGCTAGATAGGTCCCATGATCCTTTTTTGCACCATCTGGGGGAGGGAGGGTCAGCGTCGAGAGAGATCATTTTCATAATACAGCAGTAGTGCAGTCTATCAATTTCCTCCTAAATATCTCTTTTCAGCAGCCTGGCCTAGACCCTGCAATTCTCATAATATGTTGCTGGTTTGCCGATGATGCTGGCATTGAAGACAAAAGCTTTAAGTGATTCACCAAGGCACACAGCAATTTCCAAGAGGTCCACGGGGAGAAAAAGATTGAGAACTGCTGTCCCAGTCAATTTCACCCACAGCGAAGCACTTTATGGGAAACCTTTTAAAAAAATTCATATCTAGGCACACTGCCAATAAATGTCTCCTCTTCTGAGAAGAGCCCCAGGGAAAGCCCCAGGGATTAAACAGGGTCTGGGTCCAATAAATCTGGACAAATGAGAAACAGGTAGTAATCATTTAAGTTGTTTACCTTTCAATGTATCCTACTGCTATCAGTGCCTTGCAGACTTTAATCAAAGGAAATAGGAAGGAAACAGACACGACTTGGTTTGCACACAGTGTGCTGCATCAGTAAGGACGGAGATGGAAATGATTACTGGCACAGATGTGAAATCAAGAACATGTGGATTTCTGAACAACCGTCAGGTGCGAATTACAAAAATAGTATTTAACAATAGTCTTTGTTTATAAAGAATGACAAAGGCACACAATCAGCCTGAAAGGGATAATGGAGACCCCAATATCATGGTATGAAGTCTAGAGAGAATGGTGTTTTAACTTTGTAAGAAGTCAAAAAGTAAATGTAGCGTTCAAGTAGGAGGGCACTTAAGCAGCGTAGTTTAAAAATGTTATTGATCAATACAGTGTAAGAGTACTACCAGGCTGGTAGGGTCTACTTAACAAGGTATAAGACCTGTGTTCAAAACCCCCTATGCTATCTCTCACTCAGAGTTTTGAATATCAGTATCCCCCCATCTTTAAAACTTTAGGAAAGCTATTGAGGTGTTTAAAATCAAACAAACTTTCATTTAAGCTTTTAATTTGCACATTTGTCTCCCTTTGCAGATTGCTTGGTGCTTCCATTCTGCATCTTAAATAGGTTTTAATCGTATTTCTCCCTTTTTAGGCAAGCTGCAAGAAGATTGCATAAAAGCACACACCAATTTGATATACAGAACTGCATGTACTCATCTAGCATCCTGACCAAGTATAAACAATTAAAGATAGCTCTTTACCAAGGAAGCCATAAAAATTTGTCAAATATTTTCCAGACTGTAGAAGCATATTGTGCATTTCTAAAAAGGGCTTTCAATTGGATGACTCCATGCTCTGGTGTTATGAGAGGGCGACTTCTTCCTACTCGTTTTCTCCACACCATGTGTATAATTTCCCACATCTCTAACATATCCCCCCGTCCTCCCCCCAAAAGCTCCAGACATGGTAACCTTCCCTCATAGGAGAGTTGTCCTTTTCTGCATTTTCCCCAGCTCCACAATATATTTTTATAGGTATGGCAGCTGTAAATGAACACAGCATCCCAAGTCAGGACAAACCATAGACTTGTATAGCTGAATTATGATACTAGCTGTTTATTTTCAGCCCATTTCCTAATCTCTTAACTTTTTCACAGGGCTGCACACGGGGTTGACAGGTTCATTCTTCATACTTCGGCGTACTTAACCCTGTCTCCTCCTCCTAGACCAGGAGTATGCAACCTAAGGCCCGGGGGCCGGATCTGGCCCAATCGCCTTCTCAATCCAGCCCATGGATGGTCCGGGAATCAGCGTGTTTTTACATGAGCAGAATGTCCTTTTATTTAAAATGCATCTCTAGGTTATTTGTGGGGCAAAGGAATTCGTTCACCCCCCCAAAAAAATATATAGTCTGGCCCACCACATGGTCTCAGGGACAGTGGACCGGCCCATGGCTGAAAAAGGTTGCTGACCCCTGTCCTAGACACACCTTCCTACGTTGCTCCTGCTCTGTTCACCTGACAAGCAAACCAGAAGGGAGACAGACAGACCCCAGACAAAATCCTCATGCAAAGGAGAAGGCTGTGAAGACTAGCTAAGCCAGACAGGTGAATTATTATTAATATTTAATGGGTTTATATAACGCCCTATACTTGGAGGTCTCAGGGCAGTTCACAGAAATCACTTTCCTATTGGCAGAAAGCTCTAATCTCGATCATTCTGATTCGCTTTACTTTACCTCAAATGAACCCATGGTTGTAATAAATGGATACCAAGATGAGTAAGCTCACAGAACAAGAAAACCAATTCTGAGCGCACTGAAGTCCAGTTTGATTTCCATGTGAGCAATACAAGCACAGGTGTTACACACACACACACACACACACACACACACACCCACCCAGGTTGCTACTGCGTATACACACACGACACTAGGAAATAATTCATTCAGTTCAAACCTGGAAATGGCAGAAGAGTGCTGGAGAGTCCTGACGGAGCCCTACGAGGATGTCAGTGAAGGCAGAGAGGTCTTGAAAAGACACTTGGGGCGCAGCGGGGCCTTGTTTAGGCTGCCCCTCTGCTTAACAGCTGACGTGCATGGTAGCACAGCAACAGCCGCTTTTCCAAGTGTCCTCCAACCTGCCCCAGAGGTTCAATTCTAGTTATGGGTATTTTTGGATACAATATTTTTGGTTCAGATTGTAGGGAGAGCGGCAGAGGTAGCATTTAAAGGATGTTCAGAGAGTGCTCGCTACTTGTGCAATTTTTGCGTATGTGCACGGGCACCCAGAACGTGTCCCCCACATAAGTTTTTTTTGGGGGGGCGGGAACCTGTACACACTTAGTTTGAGCTGGATTAAGCCTGTATTTATGGTGGAAAGATAAAGGAAAAGAGGAACCCTCTACAGGAGAGCTTATATCCTGGAAAACTCTGCATATATGTTAGATCTAAAGCCATTCTATAAGAAAAACCATGAGCTTGAAGATGTCTGCTCTGGAAATATAATCTGGCAATCTACAGGTATTATATTACACAATTGAGTTAATATATTTTAGTCATATTCAGAGTAGACTCACTGAGAGCAATTGACTTGTTGATTCATTTCAACAGGCCTGCTCCAAGTCTGACTAACACCAAATATCACACATTGTTCCTGAGTAATGGTTAAGCATCCTAAAAAATCCGAACCTGTCCACACATTACTTTTTGCCTTATTTAACTATCACACCCTGAACTGTGAGCACCTGTAACATCCTAAATCAATCAATATCAGGTCTTTTTTCCAGCCGGAACTCACCGGAACTCAGTTCCGGCACCTCTCAAGTGGGCGCCATTGCCATTCTAAGAGAACGAGGGAGGTGTTTATGGTGAGCTCCGGGCCTCTTTTTCTAGAAAAATAATACTGATGAATATGACTAAAGGCTATTAAAACACTGGAAAGCAGAAATCAGTCAACCATGCCCCTAGAATGTTTCATACTAAAAACGTTTGAAACAATGCATTTCCCCCCTTTCCTATTCTTGATCAGGAACAATACATCTTTAGTTATTCCCTTTGGGGGTTCGATAGGTACTCACAGTTCTTCCTACAATGAACACAGTTTCCTCCAAAAGACTTACTTGATTCTTTTTTATTCTCTCAAGATTACTCCATTTCATACAATGGTTTTAGTCACAGCACCATAATTATGAGTCTTTATGTTGGTTAAAAAAAAAAAAAGCTGTAAAAGAAACTCTGAAAGACACCCACCTGTAAAGGAACAGTGGAACAATTCCTGTTTATTACACCTTGGTCAACTACAAGCCATCTATTATTGCTTCATTACTGACTTTCTTCAGAAGTTCGTTTTTAAAATGAACCCAAACCCCCAGTTTAGAAGTATTGCTATTTTCAGTTTGTCAGTCGGTGGGCAGGGGGAGGAAAACATCAGAACGAGGCACATAAAATGATGCCATTAGCTTAAGTCTCAAATGTTACTACTAGATGCATCAAGCATTAAAATATATTAAAAGGTTACGAGTACCCCAATTGTTGCTTATCTCCTGTATACCTTTATTCTGTTGTTTCATATGAATCTCCTCCCCCCCCCCCATTTTTCATTACGGTGTTCACAATACAATAAAACAGTATCTAGAACAAACATAATCAAAAAGATGGAAAAGACAGAACAAGAAAAGAAAGAGAACAGAGAGAGATAAGAAACATTAAAAGTAACACCAATAATAATAGTAATACAGTGGTACCTCGGGTTACATATGCTTCAAGACGCTTCAGTTCAGGATGAGAACAGAAATTGTGCTCCGGCGGCGCGGCAGCAGCAGGAGGCCCCATTAGCTAAAGTGTGCTTCAGGTTAAGAACAGTTTCAGGTTAAGAACGGACCTCCAGAACAAATTAAGTACTTAACCCGAGGTACCACTGTTTGGGGTTGCGACGCTCATCTCGCTTTCAGGCCGAGGGAGCCGGTATTAGCCCATAGACAGCTTTACGGCTCATGTGGCCAGCATGACGAAACCGCTTCTAGTGCAACGGAACATCGTGACGGAAACCAGAGCGCACGGAAACGCCGTTTACCTTCCTGCCACAGCAGTACCTATTTACCTACTTGCACTGGCATGCTTTCAAACAGCTAGGTTGGCAAGCCCTGGGACAGAGCAACGGTTTAGACCACAGCACCACCAGCGTAAATAAAGCATATAGCCCTCTGTCCTAGCTTTCCCCTTAATCTTCAATCCACATACAGTGGAACCTTGGTTAACTTAATTCGTTCTGGAGGTCTGTTCTTAACCTGAAACTGTTCTTAACCTGAGGTATCACTTTAGCCTCCCGCTGCCACAGTCGTGCGATTTATGTTCTCATCCTGAAGCAAAGTTCTTAACCCGAGGTACTATTCCTGGGTTAGCGGAGTCTGTAAACTGAAGCGTCTGTAACCCGAGGTACCATTGTACAAATAAGTAGTCTTCCCAGCTTCCCCTTCCTTAGCCTCACACCTTGAGGAAAACCTACTCTGGCCTGTCTCTCACTCAGGTCCCTCTTTATCACCTCTCTTATGTAGCTTCATTTAATTTATATGAATCTCAACTCTATGTTCCCTATGTGTTGTGAGGTTTTCACTATTTTACAGTAATAAGTGGGTAGAGGTCATGACCAAAATAAGCACACAAGCATTATCTTTAAGGTTCTTACTTGATGATCAAGCTTCTCCTACTACTTGGTATGACGGTGTCAATTATCTCAGGCTCACCCACAGGCTTCATTTACAGTTATCTGCTCAGTCCATAAGTGTTAAGCAAGCAGTATTTGTTTCAGCGATACTTACTTCCAAAGCACGCATGTTCAGGATTTCAGCTCAAAGCTCTATTGCTTCAAGAAACAGTACCAATTACATCACAAAAATACCACCTGTGTACATTTATTGTCTCTCTGACTTCTTTAAATACAAGAGAAGGCAGAGAGAAAGTATTTTTTTCTCCATTATTTCTTGATTTTAATGTTCCTCCCACCAGATTTTGGATCTAGGTTCCTGTAAACTCATCACTTTATCTTAAGCATTTCATACAAGAGATTGGTATTACACAATTTTCTTTTTTAAAATGCTCATCTTGGAAACATTTTATTTACAGATACTTCTCTAGTCTTTATTAGAAGTAGAATGTATTCTATGAAAATGAGTAAACCTGTCTGAAGCAGAGGAAGGCACATGTTTCAATAAACAGTAAATTAGTAATGATGTGGTAAAAGTAATAAAATGCAAAGCTGCAAATGGCAGACAATGTGTAGCAGAATTTACATATTGGACTAAATCTTATGATTCCCCAAACTGTACAGCAACTGTACAGCAATGCACTCACCAATATCTAGAACACTGAAGTAGTTATTAAATGGAAATTTAATATAGGATGGAAGCACACAAAAAAGTCAACTATGTTCTCAAGCAGCTGACAATTGAATTATACTGAGCACTGTTTTCTATATGGTGAAAAGTGGTAAAAGGTAAAAAGATAAAGGTAAAGGAATCCTGGATGGTTAAGTCCAGTCAAAGGCGACTATGGGGTTATGGCGCTCATCTCACTTTCAGGCTGAGGGAGCCGGTGTTTGTCCACAGACAGCTTTCGGGGTCATGTGGCCAGCATGACTAAACCGCTTCTGGCGCAAGGGAACACCGTGACGGAAACCAGAGTACACGGAAACGCCGTTTACCTTCCTGCCGCAGCAATACCTATTTATCTACTTGCGCTGTTGTGCTTTCAAACTGCGAGGTTGGCAGGAGCTGGGACAGAGCAATGGGAGCTCACCCCGTCGCGGGATTCGAACTGCGAACCTTCTGACCAGCAAGCCCAAGAGGCTCAGCAGTTTAGACCACAGCGCCACCCGCCCCCTCTTAAAAAAATAATAATTTGCATTTCCATCTCACCTTTCTCTCCAAGGAGCTTTGTGAGTTAGCTTAGTCTGAGCGGCAGCGTCTGGCCCAAGGTCACCCACTGAGCTTAATGGCCAAGTGGGGATTTGAACCCCCGTCCCTCACAGGTTCTAGCCCGGCACTCTAACTATTACACGACACTGGATGCCTCACTAGAGTCCGGAAGCTCTCATCTAACCTGCAACGCCTCACCCCATGAGAGCCACGATCTGCTACTAAGATCACAGACTTTCATTTACCAATGTAGGAGAAAACAACTCAAAGCAAGAGCAGGAAATAGCTTTTTATTGAAACCCTTTAAAGAGCTCCAATGCATTTTGAGCTGCAAACAGCTCCTTATTTGAGGGAGGAGGGTAATGACACACTGAATTTATTTGACTGATAGTGAGCTCCATTTATAGAGTCTGTTTACCAAAAGTAGATGTATATATAGCCTTTTCCTACACGAAGTAACATTGCTGCCCAGGGATTCAGAGTGTGTGAACCGCTGGTACTCAGGGACCTTATTTCCCCATCTCAGTGTGCTAACTCCAAACCCTCATATCTATATGCAGTACCACAAGACTCATGATTTGATAAAGAAAATTACAGATTTTCCATTACAGCACGATCTATTCTGGACTTGCTTTATTTACAGCTTATGCTTTCCCAAAGTAGATGAATTCCTCCATGTACCCTTCTGTCATCAAAAGTGAATACTGATTCTTGTCTCCTGGAAAAAATGCAAGTGCTAACCACAGACAGAGACAGCCAATGGCCATAAAGTCTTTAATATTTCCTGAATGACTATAATCCAGTACAAATACCATATTTAGGTGTACACAAAACACAGCAACCTAATGGTTTCAGAGATTTCCCCCCATCTACAACGTGAGCCTGATTTGTCAAGAAACATTCACAGCAGATGTCGTTGGCTTCTTGCTCTCTGGGGTTTTTTAATTGATGCCACTGGTCCTATTCCCTTTGAATCTCACGAAGCCCCATTTGCAATATTCAGTAAATTATAGTGCATTTGGATTTGAAAAAGGAAAAAAAAATGCAGCATGTGAATTGCACAGACCTTATAACATGATCCAGAAGATTGTGCTAGTTTGAATGTTCGGCTTTATATATAATTAACAGCTTGCCTCAATGCATTTTTCATTTATGTTATTTTATACACTGAGGTGGGCCCTTTTCAACAAAACCAAGGTTAGGGCTGCAGCTCTGTGCCCATTTACACGCCCTCAGCAAGCCCCAGGGACTTACTACATATATAGTAGGATTGCACTGTGATATTTTAACATTGTTGAGCCCACTGAGAAACGAGTCTACAAAAGCTAAAAAGATAAAGTTATTCCAAGTCCTCCTGCCTACTAGCACAATGCCATCTTTCCCAAGATTTCCTGCATCACCGGGAGAGAACTCATCATACAAGCCTATTCACCACACAGATGACATTTCACTTTCATAAAGCAATTACTGCCATGTGGAGAAGCAGGACAAGAGCAGATTCTCTCAGAGCCCAAGAACTCCAACCTCAGGTGTACAAAGCAACAACAAACGACACAAATGGCTCCACAGAGATTATACAGAGAAATCAAATCTCTGCATAGGGTTCTAGAACACTATTTTAATCTGTCTATGGGCCACCTCACCACATAAAGGGTTATTCCTTTACTGCAATCTGATATATTCAGTTTGCTGAGGATCAGTCCCACTAAACTCCGGACTTGCTTCTGAGGAGACATGTACAGAATTCCACTGTGCAGCCCAGACTTCTCTCACAGACATGGTGGATAAAGATGGTGACTTTTTATCTCCCTTTCTTTTCAGAAAAGCCTCCAAACTTCCTAAAGTGCTTTTGTTCCTTGAGCACGGTGCCTTCACGCCCACCATTTTGAGGAACTGTCAGGTTCCCTTGCACAGAAAAAGAGGGACAGTGCAAACAATCGCCTGTGTCAGAAACAAGTTTATTTAACCGTTTCTGGCCCAGACCAAAATCTAAGTACACTTACCCGGGAGGAGGTACCACTGAGCCTAAAGGGCTTTTACTTCTGAGTCAGATTAGACTACATGCATGCAATTTGAGGGAATAACCCAAGTTCTATAGGGCTTGCTTCTACCTAAACATACAAAATTAGCTATGCCACATAGCTGTAAACCTTCCCTTTTTTTGGTGGGAAATTCTCTTATTCCAGCACCGTTAGATATCCCGTAGACTGTCCCCCGGACAGGTGAGGCTGCTGATCCCTTATTTTCAAATCCGAAAGTTGACAGCTATGCATTGACATGAACGCTGTAAACCATTCACAGCAAACTGACACTAGCTCATCCGGCAGCAACAGAACACTAAATTAAAAGGCAAGCCATATAGCTGGGTAACAATACCCATTCCCGACCATTCTCTAATTACAGCACCACCCTGACTCACCTGGGGCGCCCCCTCTCAGGTCCTCGTCTAGGGGGCTTCAAAGGCCACACAAGCTCCCGCCCGCTTTCCGTCCCTCCACCGCAACCTCCCCGCGCCTCTCGAGAGAAACCCAAGACTGAGGCACTTACTCACGCAGCGCTCCGGGTGCGCCCAAGCAGCTGTTCTAGTCGACTCCAAGCAAGCCAATAGCAACGGAGGAAAGGCTGAGCTCCGTCTCAGGAGCACGTGGGGAGCAAACCCGGCGGGCCGGGAGGGGCGCGGGGCTGACGTAGGCGCCCACGCGGGGCCGGCCCTACCACTGGGTGGAGCCAGGCAGCTCCCTCAGGGCGGGGCTTTTGCGCGTGTGGGTCGCCGCCTGCATATCCTTTATTTTGTCCCGCCCAGGAAGAACCACTCCCCTCTCCTGCCGGAATGCCTCGGGCAGCTTTTGTTAGAGGGCGACTGCCTTCGGGTGCGAGTGGTGGGCGGGGTACACGTGTCCCGGCCCTTCGCACGTTCCTCGCATGCCCGGCTGTTCTTTTGTTCTCCTCCCTACACGCGCGGGTGCCTTCAGTGGACAAAGGCGAACGAGCGCGCGAGCTCCAGCCAACCCGCCCGTGTTTACTCGGAAGTAAGTGCCATTAAGTTGCACGGCGCTTACTCCCCGGCTGCACTCGCCTCCTCGCCGCCCTCCGACTTACCGGGGCGGCTGGCCAAGGCAGCTGCGCGCGCGTCTCCGCGCAGTTCCCGGGGAGCAGAGCCCCTTCCTCCCGCAGCCCGGCCGGGCGGAGGGAACTTTTTCCTGCTGCCGAGCCGCTTGGGAGACGGAGGTGCATGGAAAGGCCTCGCGGTTTCCCGAGACGAGAGCAGGCCTCCTCTTTCCCCGCCAGCCGCCCCCTCTCGCGCTTCCTCGCCGGGGCTTTCAGTTTCATGGCAACTGAACGAGTCACGCTGCCTTCTGGGAAGAGGAGCGGGGTAGAGTGGAAGGGGCTTTCCCAAGGTAGGCTCCCCCAAAGTGGCGACACAGCCTGGAAACCGAATCTGCTCTGTTCTGTGCTTCTGGATCTTCTCTCAAGCCAGCGCGCTTAGATTTCCAGGGCGATTTGGATGCACTTTCTTCCCGAGTGTGCCTCTTGAGGAACCGGGGATGGGAGGAAAACACACCGCGCTCTTGCGCTCGCGTCCTGCTTGCGAGTTGCTCCTTTGCATCAGTTGGGACGCCGGGAGAACACAGCGCTGCACTGGCTGGGCCTTCTGAGCCAGCAGAATATAAAGCATATAGCAATGCACGTTTAAATAGGAACCGACGCACTCGGACTCTGCGATCATCATCGGAGGCCCTTCTTGGTGTGCCTCGTCCACCAGTTGTCCAGAGGGTGGCAGCACGGAAAAATGGCCTTTTTGGCGTTGGCTCCAGCTTGTGGACCGCTCTCCCTTGACAATGCCGGATTTAAGGGATGCAAAACAACAACAAAACCCCTATTTATACATACGCATTTACATTTAAACCCATATTTGCTGAGAATAATTCATTAAAAAGTAACGAATTATTGTGAAAATAATAAATATTCAGGGTGGGGACCTTGTTCAGGGTGGCACGTTGCCAAAGTCTGCCGCTGCCCAGCTTACCTGGCACCTTCATTATGTTATATTTAGGCACCAGGCAAAAACATCTTCTCCTAGGCCTTTAGTTAATTAAACCATCTATATAGCCTTTTAAACCGGGGTGGGATATTTTTTGTTTTATCATGGCATGGATTTTTGTGTTTCTATATTGCAAACCGCTGTGATCTTCAGATGAAGGGTAGCATAGAAACTAATAACTTCCGCCACAGGAAGTGATAGAGATATTGTGCTAAGGGGCACATTTCCTTTGGGGGGTCAACCTTCCACGGACAGCCTGTCAGGGCTGCATGTGGCCAGAGGCAAAAGTGATAAGGTTTGGATTGTACATACAGTACATTCTAGGTGCATAAACATCAAGGGGTTTCTATATACATAAATCTCTTCAACCAGGAGACTCTGTCACAGTTCAAGGACACATTCCAGCTAGACAAAGCACTCCAAGGCGGTGTGGAGCAGGGCTGGTGAGGGGCAAAGCCAGAGTAGTCTTGAGATGGGGGCCTCACTGAATCCCTGGGCCTGAGGTTCTCTAGCCTGCTGTTCAGGCTTATATTTATTTGTAAGCAAGTCCCACTGTGTTTAAGTAGGTTAAGTAAAAAGATTGTTCTTTTAAAGTCACGTAGTAGTTCTGAAAATAAAGGCTGCAGTCCTGTGCACATGCACCAGGGAGTAAGTGCCATTGAACTCAATGGAATTTCTTTCTGAGTGTGCATGCATAGGCTAGGGGTCATTAGGAAAGCGGCTGACAATAAAGTCGCCAAATCTTAATGCATTACAAAAATCTATGGACTGACTGAGGTTGGAACACTGCTGACATCTTCTCACCTCAAAGGATATTGTAGAGCTGGAAAAGGTTTGGGAAAGGGCAACAAAAGATCAAGGGGATAGAATGTAGCACATGAGACTCTTAATCTCAGGGTCGTGGGCTCAAGCCCCACGCTGGGCAATTCCTGCATTGCAGGGAGTTGGATTAGATGACCCTTGTGGTCCCTTCCAATTCTACAATTCTATCTAGTGGTACCTCAGGTTAAGAACTTAATTAGTTCCGGAGGTCCGTTCTTAACCTGAAACCGTTCTTAACCTGAAGCACCGCTTTAGCTAATGGGGCCTCCTGCTGCCACTGCGCCACCGGAGCACGATTTCTGTTCTCATCCTGAAGCAAAGTTTTTAACCTGAGGTACTATTTCTGGGTTAGTGGAGTCTGTAACCTGAAGCGTATGTAACCCAAGGTACCACTGTACCTTAAGAGAAAAGGTTAAAATATTTGGGGCTTTTTAGAGACCAGGTAAGAGGGGACATGATAGTATAAAATTATGGACTGTGTGGAGAAAGCGGATAGACATACTTATACAGTGGTACCTCTAGTTACGTACTTAATTCGTTCCAGAGGTCCGTTCTTAACCTGAGGTACCACTTTAGCTAATGGGGCCTCCTGCTGCTGCCGCCGCCGTACAATTTCTGTTCTCATCCTGAGGTTAAGTTTCGGTTTAGCGGAGTCTGTAACCCGAAGTGTTTGTAACCCGAGGTACCACTGTAATTGAGGCCAATCAAGGAAACCGAATGTTGAAAGATTCAGGACAGACAAAAGAAAGTACTTATTCACACAGCACATAGTTGAACTATGGAATTTGCTCCATGTGGTAGTGATGGCCACCAATTTGGATGGCTTTAAAAGATCAGACCAATTCATGGGGAAGACCATCAGTGGCTAGTAGGTGCAATGGATAGGTTTGTCTCCACTGTCCAGCGGCAGTGCCAACTGAATAGCAGTTGCTGGCAGTCACAAGTGAGAGTGCTTTTGCACTCAGGTACTCCTTTGTGAGAATGATGGACTAGATGGGCCTTTGGCCTGATATAGCAGAATTCATTTGTTCTTACGCTCTGCCATTACATACGTTAACTGCATCTGTGTTAAAAGTAGTGTGTCTAGTCTCCAAGCTCCCAGCCTCTCTGAATTATGGGATCATGACTCTAAAGCTATATACAGTATGTACTGTCTCTCACATCACAATGTATAAGGCTCTGGTTCTTTAAAGCTATTATATTAAAATGGTAATATTACCTATCAAGAATACGGTATTTCAATTTGTTAATTGAAAGGGTACACATTTGCAACCGCAATATAGGGTTGCAACCCAAACCCCCTTTTCCATCCAGTCACTCGAACCCAGAAATAGTTGATATACATGTGGGCCTTTAAACGGCCATTCATTTAAAAGTTTTTATATTTCTTTATTGTAACTGAAAAACTGTACATAAAAAGGAGCTGTAAAGTTACATTTGTCAAAACCAATGTAAGAAATATTTTCTCTGACCAACTTAAAGGGAGTGCAAACATTTTACATTTCATAAAGTGACAAAAAGTAAACCAAAATGAATAGTTTATGGTTTGTAGCAATGGTACAAAGTTAAGCTGGAGGGTTTTGTTTTTTTAAAGATAGTATGGCAAAAAAGAAAACCCTTTTCAAATGAAAAATCATATAGTTTTATTTCTAATCTTTAAAAAAATATAAATGAATTTAGAAGAGAATCACAGTATATGGGCCCTAAACATTTTAAACCATTACAAGGTACATAAAAATAGACACAGATTCCTTGGAAACTTTAATTCTTTGATTAAGCAGCAAGCATATCACTCTTCCAGGCAAAAACACTGCTTAACACAACCCCCTACCCAAAACAGGACGTGCAAGCTGTATGCACATAATCTGGAAAGCACACAATTTTTAAAAAGGACAACATTTTGCTATGTACATATTCAGTACTACAAATGCTAAACATTTCATTACTGTGTGGAATAGCGTATGTAAAGCAATATTACACTACATACCTATCTCACCCACAAGTGCCCAGTTACAGTTTTGATAGTCTAAAATTGCCATATTTGCGGCAGCACCCAACCTGCTTTATACTGAAGTTCTAGCAACAAGAGACAAGACAAAAAGTTAGCAAAAAAGTTAGCAAAAAAAGGACAACACAGTCACTGGGAGATCTGATCTACATACTTAAATACTGAAAATGCATTGTTATAGTAGTTTGATATTAGAGTGTTATGCCAAAATGCACAATGGACAGGTTGGAAGAATTCAGAGGGTTAACATTGACCCCAGAACCAAAGTTGCAATATTGCAAAGTCCCAAGAATTCTGGCAATAGACTGTGCCGCTTTTTTCCTTTGAAAACCTAGTATTTAAAATCAAACACTGTGACTGGGAATACAGATATAATATGAAGAAAAACCCATGGATGGGACATTTGTATTTAATATACAACAAACAAAAGAAAATTCTATTTAAATAAATTCTTCAAAAAAAAAAAAAAAGACATGAGAAAACAAAGTTAATGGATAAATCCCTTTAGCACCTTAATCATGATTAAGGTGTTAATCTAAAAGTTTTGACACTTGAGCTGTAAAATGCAGTATGCGTAAGAGGCTGGTACAACTTTATTGTACACAGAAACCTTAAACTTTGTTAAATACCACTGCTTCCGTAAGAAGTGGGGAAGTTAGCTGGGAGAGTAAAGAAGAAACACACATCTTTTCATGAAAACAGAAGACTTCAGTAGCTTAGCATTTTTTTTTTTGCTTCAGAATAAGAGAATCAAATCTACATGGAGCCGCACTGTTTCCTGACTGATTCAGTAAAGCATGATTTGGTATTTGCTTTAATACCAAGTAACATGGGAGAAATACACTGGCAAGGAAAATAGATTAAGGTTGCCTGAGAAGCGATGACAGTTAAATACATTTTAAAATATTTTATTGTTTCACACTGCCCCTATATCTATGGAATTCAGGGGGGCACTCTTTGCTAACTTATTGCCAGAACTGAGATAATAGAATAAAATTTCAGATAAAAAGCAGTTCTACAAAGATTATTTAAAAAGAAGACAACTTTAGTAGCCACATGGCAGCAGAAGTTGTTACTGGTGTTAAGTTTTCCATGTAATGTAAAGTAAGATGCTGCCCCAACCACTGCCTACCACAGATTTTGCACTAGTAAGTCATACTTCTAGTATCAGAGCACATAGATAGGTTTAACCTAGTTTGTACCTTAGCTTTGCAAATCTTCAATACAACTTTTTTTTTTCTGAAGAAAAGCAATTTATAAAGAAATTTAGAAAAATACAAGCCTAAGAAATGTATGAAGTTATGTTATCTGTCAAAATCTAAATGGCAGGATTGTTAGTAATGCTTCTGATCCTAACATAGGAACATGTAAAAATAATTTCCCCAATATATCAGGTTTATAGCCTGCTTCAGAGCTGAAGCTGAAACTCCTGCACTCTCCTTATGGTTTGTTTCTGTGTAGTTGAATATAAAGAATTTTTAAAAATAAATAGAGTAAAAACCAGCTGAAGTCTTAGTGCATTGAATGTCCCCCCCCAACTCTCCCCCCCCACCCAGAAGTTAGCTGTGTAAAAAGTCTGATTTCATGGACGTGGTCTTTCTGTAACAAGCTACTGCACTGAAGTTTCTTTCATACAGTTGGCCAATCACATATTTCTGCTGTAAAGGTTTCCACCTTGCTCTTTTTGTTCAAGATTGATTCAATACTTTGGAAGGCTTGTTTCCCCCTGCCTTTCCCCCTTCATTATCTGAGGAAAAATAGACACTGATACAATTTTGTCATTTACCATAGTTCTGCCCTATTCCTTTAGTGCAGAGGGGACTGTGATTCTGTCTGGATTCCGATAAGCGATGGTGGCTGCGGGCCGCCAGTGGAGGATAACGCTGGTCTTGGGTTTAGACGAGGAGGCATGGAATTAGCTGGGCGGATGAGTGGCGGAGGGGGCTGGTTTAGGGTTGGCCTTGGCTGAATAAACCGAGCCTGTTGCTGAAGTGGTGGAGGCTGACGATGGAGCGCTGGAGCAGCCGGAAGGGTTGGACGAAGTAATGGAGGAGGCTGGTTCAGAGATGTTACAGGGGTTGCTGGTGTTGGAGTAGACGCCTGGGCAGGTGGAGAAGACCCTACACACTGAGGGGTCTGTGGGATCTGGGCCTATAAACAAAGTGACACAGATATGTAATAGCAGCCATCCTGTCGTATCACGCAGTTCGGGTTGTCATTGCCTCCAGAATATGGGAAGCATAGCTAGTTCATCCATATTGGCAGCTATGAAACCCTCCTTTGAAAGCAACCATTTCTAAACAGTTCAATAGGGGAAAAAGAGGTATGACATTCAGTCAAAACGAAAATGAAATGAAAAAAAAAAAAAGCTTAACAATTCTGCAGTATTTACATTTTCCATTATTAGCATGATCAGAAGAAAGGTTTGGAAGGGAGGCAGGCAGCCCAGCTCTTAAAATGTTCTGCTAACGCAAGCCCCACTGAACTGAAGTGGGGACATAGTTTGCTCTAAGTACTAGGAGGCAGTAAGATTCCACAGCAGGTGGTTCAGCATTCCACTTCAAGTTAAAACATAACATTTTAGGATATGAAGTTTAATGCCATTCCTGAACTCATGCTTATTTAAGATCCGGTACACAAAAACACACCTCATCTTCATCATCAGTGGTCTTTCCTGATGGCACATTAGTATTTTTTGTGTCCTCCCCTAAAGCAGAGGCATCACCATTAGAAGCCAGCGTTCCTTGTTCTGCTTCCCACTCCTGCAATACCTCCTCTAAGTTAAACCGGCGCCTGTAGTTTACAAAGAAGTTCTTCACTTGACCAACAGTCTTGTTGCCAATTACATCAGCAATAGCTTGAAAATCTTTACCATACTTGCGGACACCTAAAAAGGCAAAGTAAATACACCTATGAAGGTTCAAGTAAGTAAGCAGAAGTCTGTACGATGTATATATACAGAGATTCCCTCTATGAATGAAAGATAAAGAAAAATTCTGAAAAAAAACTACAATGGAGCTTCTGTAAAGAACTTTTAACATAATGCAAAATACTGCTATTGGTTCATTTTATTGATCCAAGTTTTAATATTGTTAAGTATCCTACTTACTACATGTAGAGAACCATGTAACTATTTCCACGTGCCCAGAAGGGCTTTACTCTTCAAACAGAAGCCTGCACGTCAAAAGACTGTTTTTGAAAAGGAGAGGACTATGAAAAGCAGTTCACAATACAGCATAAGAAACTCATATTAAATTGGATCAACAGACCATGTCCTTAGCCAAAGAGGGAGTGGATTTGAGGCTGGTAACATCTAGCAAATTCTGGTTGTGATCTTATAAAAACCTGGGAATGAATCCCATTGAACATAATGGGACCTACTTCTCAGTAGACATGGATGAGATTGCACTACCAGTCCCTTCAAATGGCTACTCAGCAACTGTTTACAGAACAGTGAATTTTTTGCCGTACTGGTTAAGTGGCATATAGACAAAGAAGAGTGAAAGACGTCTAAGGAAATGTTTAATTCTAATTCTAGCTACAGGAATCTTGGTAACAATTGTTTTTACTGCTCTCTGAACAGTGGGAACAGAATATATAAACACTCAAAAACATCTGAGTCTCACTACCGCTGGGAAATAGCTAACTAGGAAGTTTACAAACAGCACAATTCTATGCATGTTTATGCAGAAGTAAGTCCCAATGAATTCAATGTGGCTTAAAGCCAATTAAGTGTGTATAGGGTTCCAGCTCAAAGCAAATATTTAAACAACTGATGTCCCAATTATGTTTACTCAGGAGCAAGCCCCATTACCTTCAGCTAGTTCCAGGTAAACAGGCATAATATTGCAGCCTGAATTCATGGGTCTGCAAGCAAGACTGATAAAATCGCATTTTCAAAATAATGAATATATGTATCCAGGAACACACAGAAAAGTCCCGACTAATAGATTCTCCCTTTCTTTTTCAGAAGTACACTTATTTTAAGAAATCCAACTGAGTCCTTCTCCTCCACACCCAAAATATGATTTGCTGTTCCTTGTTTTAACTACGGACTCAGTGAGCTAGCATTAAAATAATAAATAAAGCTATGAACGTACCTCCCAGAATCAATGGAAGTAACTGTTGTATTTTAGTAAATGAGGATGGATGTGTGTACAGTGTGTGTGTGGTGGAATTTTAGAAATGGATAAGACAAAAGGAGGATTTAATGTGCCAGCACTGAATTAGGATTAATCCAGAAAGTGATTTTGCTCTTTTTTTTTGTTTCCTTGCTGAAGATGCACTAAATCAAACAGCATAGAACTGTATTAAAAGTAAGAAAACCAAAGGACTAAAAGGACTTTGCTAATCCAAATGTAGTAGACCTTTGCATTTTCAGATAAGAAAGCACAAAAATGTTGAAATGTGGGGAGTAGGGTCTCTTATTTTCCTAGGAGCAAAACACTATTTTTGTTATGCATAGATTAAGCACAGTTTTGGTGGCAGAACTATCCTTACTGCTAACTAGCCTGGAATGCAAAGCATTTGCTGCACCACAGATAAGATGATAAGCCTGCTTACAACAGTTATGCACAAACACATTTTCTCACAGCATGCTTCTGCACACCAATAGACACAACACTACATTAAGCAGCTCCACAATTAAATTGATCCCTCCCCCTTGAAATCTAATACTGATTTTCCTAATAAGAGATGGTCAAATAGCCATCTACTTGCTTCTTTGATGTGAGAAAGCTACCATTTAGAACTGAAGGGTGTGAGCTATCTAGAAGACTTTGAGAGATTAAGTTTATGGGAAAGTTCAAAATGAAATCAGTTGAGATCTTTTCAGCTATAACCAGCTTTATCTAATCTGACTTTGTATGTTAAGTGGTATTGTTCACTGTTCCTCTAGAATACTTGCCAACCTCATCTTCAAATCATTTCTATTAGTGAGACAAGACAAAATTCCTTCCATCACATTTTAAACCTGCCATGTGATGGTGCTGGACCCATATCCTTTTAGCTGCGTATCCATCTTTTATGGTACATTCCATATCACAAAGGATTTCACTCTTTAAGGAAAACAGGAGTCAAGCAAACATACCTTGAACTGCAAGAAGTTGTTCTTCTGTTGTCCAACGGGCATTGATTTTTTGATTCGACTGTTAAGGGAGGAAAAAAGAGTAACAGAGCATATTACAAATTGTTAAGAGGCTGAAAGTATTGAGAATTTCAGCCCCAAACACCACCTTTCAACTCTGTAAGCCAGCATTCACACTCCCTAATTCAGTAGTTCTGATGTTTTCACAAGATGCCAGTGACTGAGCTTAGGACCCTTTGCATGTATGGCATCAAGGCATGGCACTGCCTTTTACTCCTATCTGGGTAGCAGCTTCCCCAACCTTTTCAATGAAGAGAACCAGTACAGTCGTACCTCAGAAGTTGAACGCCTTGCAACTCAAATGTTTTGACTCCCGAATGCCACAAAGCCGGAAGTGAGTGTTCCGGTTTGTGAATGTTCTTTGGAACTCGAACGTCCGACATGGTTTCTGATTGGCTGCAGGAGTTTCCTGCAGCCAATTGGAAGCCATGCCTTGGTTTCCGAACATTTTGGAAGTTGAACGGACTTCTGGAATGGATTCCGTTCGACTGTACAGTGGTGCCCCGCAAGACGAATGCCTCGCAAGACGGAAAACCCGCTAGACGAAAGGGTTTTCCGTTTTTGAGTTGCTTCGCAGGACGAATTTCCCTATGGGCTTGCTTCGCAAGACGAAAATGTCTTGCGAGTCTTGAGATTTTTTTTTCGTTCCCCCCCCTTTTCCTAAGCCGCTAATAGCCTTTTAGCAGCTAAGCCGCTAAGCCTTTAATAGCTGCTAAACCGCTAATAGCGCTAATCCGCTAATCCACTAATAGGGTTGCTTCGCAAGACGAAAAAACCGCTAGACGAAGACACTCGCGGAACGGATTAATTTCGTCTTGCGAGGCACCACTGTATATGTACACATGTGAAATGTATGTATGGTGTGTTCTTGTGCTAAGCAGAATAAGACCATCCAAATAAAATGGCATATACACTAGGTTCCCTTGCAATTTTGGATCACGAGTTAACGGAATCAGAAGCCATAGTATAATCTAGAGTAATCTTCTAAAAAAAGCTGCTACACTTCAGTACATGTGCTACTGTTTACAAGTCATGTTTAAGGTGTTTTGTGCATGGCACTAAAACCTGCTTTTGAAACCTTCACACCATTATTTAAATTTTTAAAAATGCATTTCAGCCAATGTAAATTTTAGATAAGTTTTACTGACCGGTTTAAGCAAATATGTACATTTTTACAGTTGAAAATAAAAATGGGATGGATTCCGTTGTTTTGCAAAGCCACATGCAACTTAGCTCCCAGCACAACAAATGCATTTCTGAACATTCATCTGTGTTTTCACAATGACTCACCTCAGGAGGTTTGAATTCTTCTATCCCACCTTCAATTTTCTGCTTAAGTGCACTGTTTACTTGTTTAGCATTCTGAACCTTGTCCAATGAACAACAGAACCAGGAATGAAAATTAGCTGACACAAATTGGCGCGCGCGCGCGCGCACACACACACACACACACACCTGTTGCCAAGTGACCAACTCCCTGAGCAGAGAGAAAAACTTCTGAAGAGATGACATTTGCCTATTGGAGCAAAGTGTTCATCTGCTTCCACACACCAGGCACAAACATGCTCTGCACTATGGCAGTTTCAACTTCCCACATCACAGGGCTGAAGGTAGCATCCTAATCTGTTTATCCAAGGCTGAGAATCTGGGCTATGTACCTCAATTGGTTGAGGTTTCTGAAAGCCAGCCATCCCACTATTAGGTTCTGGTTATTAATTGCCAGGAAACAGGACCTCTCATCTTTCTCACATTTTAGCAGGTCTATGCTATTTTGTACAGTGGTACCTCGGGTTAAGAACTTTGCTTCAGGATGAGAACAGAAATCGTGCTCCAGCGGTGCGGCGGCAGCAGGAGGCCCCATTAGCTAAAATGGTGCTTCAGGTTAAGAACGGACCTTCGGAACGAATTAAGTACTTAACCCAAGGTACCACTGTATTTATACCCCTGAGAGGCAAGAACATACAACAGTATTATTTCTGCTTTGACATTTATATAGCCAGGAAAGTATTCAGATAAAACAGTGTAAAAACTAGACTAGCAGAAGAAGCCTGTACCACAACAGGCTGCCTTCCAAACCCAGCATAAAAGCACAATTGTTATTTACTAACTGTATAGAACACTTTCCCCATAGTTCAATAATTAAAATGCAATTAAGTTAAGTTCCTAGCTTGTGAACTTTAATTATATTTAACTCAACAAGTATACATCCCCAGAGTGGCTAGGGAAACCTAGCCAGATGGGCGGGGTATAAATAACAACAACAACAATCACTGTCATTATTGTTGTTGTTTAGTCATTTAGTCGTGTCTGACTCTTCGTGACCCCATGGACCACAGCACGCCAGGCACTCCTGTCTTCCACTGCCTCCCGCAGTTTGGTCAAAATTGTCATTATTACATCTGTATATTATTGGGGAAACCAATATTTTTGCCAAAGTCTGAGCTTTAAGATATTTCAGAAGTGCTTTAGAAGACAGCTGAAATAGTATCTTTTACAGTAATAAGCAATACTACACATACAGAGGATAAACTTAATCTACAACCTAACTATTATGTAAATGTTCTTAGTTTAACTGTGTTTTCATCTACCCAATCACACAGAATGAGGAAAGAGATAAAAACCTAAAAATAAGAAGCAAAGCTGATAATTGATATACCTGTCGCTTCAGTGAGATCAACTCCATATCTAGCTGCCGAAGAAGAGTGTTGGCAGCATTGGGGCTACATGAAACAGCTACTACATCTTCTTGAGTTAGATACATGCCTTTGGGAGGACGGCATTTGGAACGCTGGGAGTGGTGACGATGTTGTAAGCTCTGATACTCTCTTCTACCCAATCCTATTTTGCTGGACTGAACAGGCTGCTCATTACTTCCCTGCAATGTTTTTTTAAAAAAGTTAAAGAAAGTTAAACACCACACAATACCTTTTCTTTTAAGAATCCCCCCTCTGTTCACCTTACAGCATCTGTAACCCTTACCAAAAGCTTCTAAATCCCACGGAAGTCTCAACACCAGTGCAAGTCAAATAAATCCACACACATTTGCATGAGTGTTATTAGCAATAATGCTTTCTAGGCTTTATACTTAAATTTTATGTTTAAATTGCTCTTGTTGCCCTGAATAGCAGCAAATATTGCAAATAAACAAATGAATGGGACCTCTAACTATCCCTCAGGTCAAACTACCTCATAGTGCTCATGGGAATCCCACAACCATTGCACATTTAATAGTGCTGTTACAATTCTCTAAAGCACGCATAACATTTTTTCCTCTATCCCTTGCATGTAGCTTAGCTTAATTTCTGTGTTTAACTTACTTTTCCAAATGACATTTCGTTCCCACCCTTCCTTCAAGCTGCTCAGGATGGCATACACATTCCCCCGTTTTAACCTAACAACCTCTGTGATGTGAGTTATGCTGAGATATACTGTATTTTTCCATCTATAAGATGCCCCCATGTGTAAGACGCCCTCTATTTTGGGGGCCTCCAAATTAAGAAAACATCCCTCAGCACTACCCATGTATAAGACGAGCCCCAATTTTAAACCTATTTTTTTGGCTAAAAAACCTAGTCTTATACACGGAAAAATACGGTAGTGACTGGTCCAAGTTTTATGAAGGAAGTTTTATTTAGCTTTAACTGTTTTTTGGAAGCAGGGGATGACTGTGGGTAGGAGGGACTTGCAACCAGGAAGGGAAATGGTTAAGAGAGCACCTAGTTACTTTAAATGAATTCAAGGTTCCAAGGCTGAATGGAATCATGTGCCAGGGCACTGAATGAGCTTGTTGGCATTAACCTGCCAGAAATCTTGAAATCTTTTGCAGTGAGTTTTTTTAAATATTTCTGTAGCCCCCCCCCCCCAGTTTAATGGCTTTCTGTTTCACTTTGTATTTCAATTGTGGGTTTTGTTATTACTTATTCACTGTAAGCCACTCATGTTATATGGCAGTGAACAAATGTAATAAATAAAGCAAATAGAATCTGTGAAGAGTGGGTGAGGTGCCAGAAGATTTCAGAGTGACAAATATTGTCTCCATCTTAAAGGGGGAGGCAGCGGTGTAGTGTTGGATCTGGGACCTACGGATGCTGTATGCTTGTGAAACATGGACCACTTATAAAAGCCATCTCCAACTTCTTGAAAGATTCCATCAATGGTGTCTCGGAAATTTTTTACACATCACTTGGGAAGACAGGTGAACTAATGCCAGTGTACTAGAAGAAGCAAAGATCACCAGTGTTGAAGCGATGATTCTGGTCACAAGGAGTTTGCAATCCTTTCACACAAAAATCCACTCCAGGTTCACTTCCTTTATTTCAGAAGGCTAATTTTCCTGGTGAAAGTAGTTTTGTTGTCACTGTTGTTAAACATTTGGGGGTTGGAAGCCCTCACCAATCTATAGCAAATCAGTTAGAGATCCACCAGACAATCCCACTCTACCTCATGTCCACCTGGCCATAGAAGACTACAATCAAGAATGAAAATAATCTTGCCAGGCTGGAACACTGAGCCAAAACCAACAAGATGAAATCCAAGAGAGATAAATGTAGAGCATTTAGGTGCCACAACCGAAAAGCCAGTGACTAGTACCCACTCACTGTATCTTTAAATTTACATGAATATTATTCACATAGTTTATGTGAATAATATGGTTATTGCAGTTTAACTATTCATTACCTCTTTTTTAGTTTCCTTCTTGGGATCATAATCACTATCATTTCCATCCATTGGGTGAGTTTCTTCCACATCATCATCACTGAGGACACAAACAGATTAGGGAACTTGCTTCCTTTCACCTCCTTCTATATTTGATTTTACCCTTACAGCAAAGGTTGTTTTTGCAGCTATTCTGCATAATAAAAAGTCATTAATTGATGTCAACACAGAAGTTCATAACAACAGGCTTAACAAACAGACTCAAATTGAATTAATTATATTTCTGTCTTTAAGCATAGCATCCACTAAACATTAATTTCCATGCTTGAATAGTACAGTATGGGAATCAGATTTAAAAGCATGAATGGCAGGAAAAGCAGTTTTAGGCAATATTCCCATATGCTGAATATATAAAAATGTTTCCTCCCCTATATTTAACACACTTAAAGTATCTGTATACCACCCTTCATAAAATCATACACTGGGTTGGCTTACAGTAAGGTAAAAAGGTAAAGGTAAAGGGACCCCTGACCATTAGGTCCAGTTGTGACCGACTCTGGGGTTGCGGTGCTCATCTTGCTTTACTGGCCGAGGGAGCCGGCGTACAGCTTCCAGGTCATGTGGCCAGCATGACTAAACTGCTTCTGGCAAACCAGAGCAGCGCACGGAAATGCCGTTTACCTTCCCGCCAGAAGCATGCACTTTGACATGCTTTCGAACTGCTAGGTTGACCGAGCAATGGGAACTTACCCCGTCACGGGGATTCAAACCGCCGACCTTCTGTTCGGCAAGTCCTAGGCTCTGTGGTTTAACCCACAGCGCCACCCGCATCCCTTTTACAGTAAGGTAGTTTTCTACAAAATACAGTGGTGCCCCGCAAGACGAATGCCTCGCAAGACGAAAAGCTCGCTAGACGAAAGGGTTTTTCGTTTTTTGAGCTGCTTCGCAAGACGATTTTCCCTATGGGCTTGCTTCGCAAGACGGAAACGTCTTGCAAGTTTGTTTCCTTTTCTTAACACCGTTAATACAGTTGCGACTTGACTTCGAGGAGCAACTCATAGAACGCGGTGTGGTAGCCTTTTTTGAGGTTTTTAAAGACTTTGGTGATTTTTGAAGCTTTTCCAAAACTTTCCGACACCGTGCTTCGCAAGACGAAAAAAATCGCAAGACGACAAAACTCGCGGAACGAATTAATTTCGTCTTGCGAGGCACCACTGTATATTAATATTAAAACATACTTTGCATATTAAGTTACACAAATAGGTTGCATGCTAGGGCTGCTGCCCTTGCTTCCTTCACTCTTCAACCTCACTTACCTCAACCCTCGCATACCCTCGACATCCCCCTCCTTTTATACCTGACCAAACCCCTTCCCTCTGTGTGTGTGTGTCTCAGAGAGCACTCCAAGTTATGCATGCTGCGCCTGACATATTTATGGTTTCATGAGAATAAGTCAGGCATAGGCAAACTCGGCCCTCCAGCTGTTTTGAGACTACAATTCCCATCATCCCTGACCATTGGTCCTGTTAGCTAGGTATGATGGGAGTGCCAAAACATCTGGAGGGCCGAGTTTGCCTATGCCTGGAATAAGTGTACAAATTTGACTAGTGCTACATTCTGATAATTCCTGCTAAAATTATGGGAATGCACTACAAAGCAGTAAAGAGGGTATGTGGACTGTTAATGGAAGGTCTCTCCTGGATGCAGTAAATCTGCACCTGCTTAGTTGTAACAAAGATGCAATACCATGAAACAACATGCCTTCCGTTAGTAACAAAAAAAGCAAAAACAGAAACACAAAAGGATATAAGCAAGTTGTTATTTTCAGAAAGGTGTTGTGCTGCTTACCTGTCCCCTTGATTATTTCTGTTTGCCAGCTTCCTAGCTTGGCGGTCCATTAAACTTGTCCTAGAACGAGTTTTCTTCCAGGAGTAGTAATACTTGACAAGACTTGCAATAGTCTTGTCTGGAAGCTAAAACATGCCAACACAATATGTAGATGCTAGTTATAAATAATGCGAATGAAATATTGTGACACATTGTTAAGTGTGGGTGGGTGGGGGGAGGAGATTACGTTAAGTCAAAGGTTCAAATTCCTAAGACTCCTTCCAGCAGCACTAGGAACCCATGGTGATAGCAGAGGATTTTAAAAAGCAAACAAAAACTGTTAAGGTGTTTAAATCACCATGAGTGTGAATTAAAGCTCACACTGAAAGCAAACCACTAGGCATTTGAAGCGTCTAGGCTGTTACATTTCCTCATAATCATAAATGCTGATGCTCCTGAGAAATAGGTCCTACCTACCAAGAGGGAAGGGGAGACAGAAACATCCACAACTTTATTGCACTTTAAAATCTGAGTGCATGTGATTATTTATTTATAATAAATGAATACATATTTAACAGGCTATATTTAGGCCATCCTTTAACAGTGCAATCCTGCACATGCCTACTCATAAGTAAACTCCACTGAGAGTTTCAGGTAAGTGGATATAGGACTGTAGTTAAATGCCTACATTTCCCTGTAAGAATAAATCAAAAGTAAACTCCTTAGCTTTAACTGGATAGTACCAATATTTTGGTTAAACTGTATCCTCTTTTAAATAATAAAGGACTTCAAAAGGATCTTTCTGTCAAATAACACAGTAAATGACCAGTTGATCTGCAGGTCTGGTTTTGACTATTTAAGTTTAAACTGCAGAAAAAGAAAAGCAGTGCAATTAAAGGATTTATTGGGATTACTTTTCCACATAAAAACTGGTTCTCTGGAAGGGTATTCACATGTTGGCTGAAACAAACCATACCTTTCTAAACACTAACCCTATCATATTAATTTGTCTATTAATAAAACATGTTCTATGGTAGGGGTGAATATCCTGCAGCCTGCATCCAGCTCACCAAGAGATGTTTTGGGGACCCCCCAATTTTCAGCTGATCACTCCCACAGGTGATAGTAAAAGGTTTTTGTGGCTCCTCTGCATTTGTCCATTTTTTAAACCTGGCTATAATTTTTTTAAGTATTGCTTTTACTAGCCACTCCTGCAAGTCTCCTTCTGTGATGCCAAAAGTTTTTGTCCCAACCCCATTCCCAGGTAGTCCATGTATTACCTTACCATTTGTTGGATTCTGTGAAAGCTTTTCCCATGGAAACTGAAAGCTTGTTCAAACAGGACTTTATCCTCAACTGTCCACTCATCCGGAAAAGGAGTAAAATTTGGGAGATCTGCAAGTGACTTCTCAATGTTGTGCTTATGCCAGAACAACATGCCAAGTGCCTTTAAAGAGAGAGAGAGAGAGAGAGAGAGAGAGAGAGAGAGCCCTTGTTCTTATCATAATGCATCCTACTAGCTCTTGCAGTTTTCTGTCATGCTGATGATGCATAGATGCTCTTTTCGGTTACTCTTTCATGGTGCTCATACAGTACATCTCAAGATTCACCATCATAGTTAAAGGTGTGGAAGTGCTGGTTTAAATATATATAAAGCCCTGAACAGTCCAGGGCTGTTAGAACTGAAGGATCATCTGTCCTCATGCTCAAGTCATAGTCCAAGGCTCTGCCAGAAAAATGACCTTTTTGATGGAAGGGAAGCTTCACTGGGCCCATCCCGATTCTCCTTTCATACACAACTTAGAACTACTATTTTTCAGAGACCTTTTGGAGGGAATGGGGGCTAAGCCAGCGCTGTGATTTCCACCAAGCTGTTAAAAGCCTTTTGACAATATTATTTCAAAGTTATGTAGTTTTATTGCATTGAGGGTTGTTTTGGACAAAAATGTATATATAAAAGCTCTTTAGAAAACTGTCTTGAATTAATTTATTATATTTATAACACTTACCTGTTCCACATTGTAGCCATGTTTTTCCTTTGCTATTGCAATATATTCATCCACTGTAACAAAAGAATGCTAGAGTTATTTATACTTGGACCAGAGGAGCAGTTTAGGATAATTGATACTAGGTGCCACACAACACTTTATGCTCCTTTCTAGAAGATAAATGTTCAATCTAGATTATGCACAGATGCGTCCACATAAAATATACAGTTTGAGGCCATGTTAATAGTGACCATTATTTTTTTCAACTGGGAAATATTCCAGAGATTCTCTAGTGGAAAAAGGACTGGTGATCAAAGTTGCAATCATTTAGACTGCTTAAGCAAATACATTTAAACATCCGATCCATAAACAGGAGAGGCACTGCTTCAAATTTCATCATATTCAGGTGCCAGATTAGCCTCTGTGATGAGCAGGGCCTTCTCAATTGCCTCTCTGTGCTCTGGGATACTCTTTCACAGGCTGTGTATCCTGCTCTCTAGGATCTTTCAGTCACAAATCTGTATTTTATGTAAGAAGTGTGACATAAAAAGGAGAAGCTGATGGACACGTGGCATGGCTCTTTCTTGGTGAAAATCATCCATGCTCTTGAAGCAAGACTGCAAACTTCACATTACAGGGAGATGAAATCTACTTCTGATACTTCTCATGGGAGTACTATAAGAATTGTCTCTTATACTGTACGTCTAAGATTCCTGGCATCTCACTCTCTGAGTTAAAACAAAAACAAAACTTTCTACTCACCAACTCCCCTTCCTCTTTCTTTGGCTCTCAACTGATACCACCCTTGAGAGAAGAAAAGTTAAGAATACTCCCTGCCAACTGAGTTGTTGTGTGGTAAGGAGAGAACTTGGGGGAAGGGGGCTATATATAGTGGTACCAAAAGAATGCAAGGACTCCAAGTGGACACATGAGCCTCTGGCCAGCAGAATATTCTCTAATTACCTGATAGGGAAAGGAGGACTGACCACTGGGTAGAACTAGAGAAGGGTTTCAAATGCCCATATTATAGCAGCATTTGAACACATATTAATGGAGAATATATCTTTAAACGGCTATTAGTCATGGTAGGTATATGTAAGCTTCAGAATCAGAGGCATCTGGTTGACCGCTGCAGAAAGCAGGATGCCAGATTAAACAGACTCTTGGTCTGGTCAAGCAATGCTTCTCCTATGTTCAGTAAGTACAGTGTGCTACAGCACACCTTTTATAGCAGATGCAGAATGTCTGCATGAACTGTAACAGTATTAATACCTCTGTCAACCTGGAAAGAGAATTCACTTGTTAAATGCGGGAACACACTTTAACACCTTGCCAGGCTGGACCATTTAACACTAGAAGTTACCAGCCGTGTCCTGAAAGTTTTAAAAAACGAGTATGAGAATATGCTTGAAAATTAAGCACATACATTACTGGCAGCATACAAGACTTTTTAAAGAAGTACTTTTTAAAGGGTGTTAAAAACAGCCAGCTAGCCAGATCTTTCAGTGGCAATTTCTCTAAACTGGAAAGATATTAGATGCGGGTTATGGGAGCAGTAGTGAATGTGACTGAGCATCTTGGGAGCTACATTCAAACTAGAGCATCTTGGGAGCTAAAGCCTACAAGAAACTGCTTGTATGTGTAGCATTTTTATAGCATGCGATGTGATTCTTATACAAAGCAATTGACAGAACACTATTTAATGGATTCCACAGAACTTACACTTGGCATCTGAAATATTATGATATGGAGACCACACAAGCATCCCTCCATTGTCTTTATCTGTGTATTTTGTAGCTCCTAGAAGAAAGATTAAGTTGTTCAATTATTTTAAGAGAACACTTAACTCACAGACGGTAAAAAGCAGTCATATACAAGTGGACGACATATAGTCTGTTGTTCTTCACTTACGCAGAATACCTCTGTTCTCTGAGTTTTGTAGAAATAGAACAGTTATGGTTAAGACACAATCAATGTTTCAAGTAGCACAGGCCCTAAGCTCTTTTTTGAGAGCTGATGTGAGAAATATTGGGAAACAGTAGACTTTCCTCCCAAAGACAAGCAACCTTGGTACAGCTAAAATAATCCCATGTGCAAAGGCCAAAAGAACAGTAGAGAGGTGTCCTTGGGGATAAACATTTCAACGATGTCTGGGAATGCAAGGTTAAGTGCACACTGAACATTAAGCATGCACATGCTGGAGCTGGCAAAGCACCTACAGTTCATTCTTGGTGCATTAAAAACATGTACAGTTTACAGCACTGGTTAAGCCCAGTGATCTCTGCAAATGTAATTATCAATGAAACAAAACGTAACAGAAAGAACTACTTGAATCTGGGTTACAACTGCACACCTCATCCACCTTTCTGTGTGGAGCTATAGACACTACAGTGGTACCTCAGTTTACAAACTTAATCCATTCCAAAGTCCGTTCTTAAACCAAAACTGTTCTTAAACTGAGAAGCGCTTTCCCGCCGCCAGTGCCCTTCCACCGTTCAGATTCCGTTCTTAGACCGAGGTAAGGTTAGCCAACCGGGACACTATTTCTGGTTTTGCGGAGTTCGTTCATAAAACTGTTCATAAAATCGTTCGTAAACAGGACTGTTCTTAAACCGAGGTACCACTGTACTGAGCACCTTCTTGTTAGGTGGTCTTCAACTTAAGTTTTACTCCAAGTAGATAGACTGAAAACAACAAACATGACTAAGTTATGTCTATTAATATTAATGTGCTTATTCTGAGTAAAACTTAGTTGAGTGCCACTCATTAATACAGGATCCCGCTTCACACCACTAAGTTCTGTGCAAAGTGTTTCTTGAACAAGGAACGAGGAGAGAATCGCAAGCAGAAAAAGTGAAGCTGGAAGCCAAAGGCAACTAGTCAGGTACTGTAAAAACTGCCTCTGTGAACACTGAAGTGTATCAAGAGAGGACCATCCACACTATCCCTAGGGAAGGACATTTTATTAGATTTTCTCATCATTAAAAGACATACGACTGTGTGGGAGAGGTTCAAATTTCCACTAGCCCAAAACCTGTGTTATCATCCGGTGGAAATAAGTTTATCCAAGCAGAAATAAGAGAGCCCTGGAAGTCACATAGCAATGGGAAGAGCCAGAGTACTGCAACACACCAAACAACTGACAACAAATAGGACACATTACTTGCAAGATGTATGGTTTGCTCCTAGTTAACAGTCATAATAGGAAGATGGACAAAAAGAAAGCTGAGAGACGCAGCACCTCAACTCTTCATCATGTACCTCCCAACAGACAGCTGCAGTGGAAGCCTATGAGACTTTCCATGATACGTAGGAGACAGTAGCTTTGAGGGGTTTTCAACACTCAAGCAGTATATAAATCAGATATAGATACAGATATAAAAGCAACACTAGCATTGGGTTTTCTAGGAAATTTTCAACTGAAAAATATACTGGATTCTGAAAAATATTCAGTTTGCATTTTGGTCTCCATCCAGATCCCATCTGGTTTGATTTTACTTGTGTTTAGTAAACAAACAAGTCTTTGAGATGTACTCAAAGATGAAGCATTTCTTCCTTCCCAGAATGCAGATATCCCAAGCTTGGACCATAGAAATTAGTTTAGACACCCCCAGCACCTGCTCCTCAATGGAATGAAGGCACATCTCCCAACATTTTTCAGACATATAATAAAAATGCAAGTCCCGCCCTCCCCAAAAAACTGCAAAAAAAGAGTCACAATGAGGAAAGAAATTGTTATTTTGAATGTACAGTGATGGTTTAACAAATGTAATTATCAACCTAAAAAGATCAACGCTCTAAAAAAGAAGATAAATGACATTTTTGTTTCTTGGGAGTGTTTATCCATTAATGATACCTCAATTTAATGCTTACAGTGTACCTGACTTGTGTCATGACAATACCAGACTTAAATTATTACATTTATTATCAAAATTGGGAAGCAGAGCCTCACAGAAAGATATAATGGGTTGGTCCAAGGCCTGCTACCAATTTTCCCCTATGGAAAGCTTTTCTGAGAAATTTATTAACAAGCACGAGAGCTTAATGCCCTCAACATTTAATCAAAGACCTACTTACTCTTTTCGTGATATTAAGGGGATAATTTCTTATATTTGGTAAAATTTTGCTTTGTACACAGCTTATTGCTCTGAAGCTTCCTGAAGAAAGGACTGACTAGAACAGCATTGGTTGTTGCTGCTGCAAGATGCTCCATGTTGAAATTCCTACCCCACTCTGTTTAATGCTCCAGGACAGAAATCATGACATTATTATTATTGCTGTTTGTTTATGCTGGCTTGGTCCCAGGTGGCCAAGGCTTATCACGTGCCTCAGCCACACAGCTGCCAAACAACCTGCAGCCTTCCTCCCAATCTTGCAGCTGGAGAGATAGGAATCACCACACAACTACCAGGACAATATCCACTCACTACAGCTGAACTGGGTATGTTTAGCCTGGGAAAAAGAAGACTTGAGAGGGAGATACAAAAGCCACCTTCAAATATCTAAAGAGCCGTATTACGGAAGATGGAGGAAGCTTATTGTTTGTTTACGTAACTACTGCACAGGCAGCTTGACAATGACACCAGGAAAGGTCCTAGAACAGATAATTAAACCATCAGTCTGTAAAAGGATGCTGGGATTAATAAGACCCAGGATGGGTTTCTCAAAAGCAAGTCACGAACCGCATTTCTTTTTTTAATGGAGCAACAAGCTTGGTGGATCAGGGGAGTGCTGTGGATGTAGTTTATCTTAATTTCACTAAGACTTTTGACAAAGCCTCCCATTATAATCTTGAAGATAGGTTGGTAAAATGTGGGCTGGATGAGGTAACTGTTAGGTGAATTTATAGTTGGTTGACTGACCGAATCCAAAGAGTGCTCACTAATGGCTCTTCACCATCCTGGAAAAAAGTGATAAGTGGGATACTGCAGGTTCTGCCCTGGACCCTTTGTTGTTCAATGTCTTTATAAATGACTTAAATGAAGGAACTGAGGAGATGCTCATCAATTTTGTAGATGACACCAAACTAGGAAGGGTAGCTAGTGCTACTAATGTATAACAGTGGGTCCCAATTAACTAAGTACTGCAGACTCCCCATTTTTCAAAAGCCAAGCAATGGACCCCCTGCTTTTGAAAATTTTGATATCTCTATTGTAGTTTTTGTTATATGAGTGGTGCCACGGACCCCCAGGGTGGGTTACATGGACCTCTGGGTTACACGTTCCCACCAACTGGGAACCATTGCCATAGAAGACAAAATCAGGATTCAAGATGACTTTAACAGATTGGAGAACTAATAAATGAATTTCAATAGGGACAAATATAAGGTTCTACAATTAGGCAGAAAGAACCAGTTGCACAAATATAAGGTGGGGGACACCTGGCTTGTCAGTAGAACATGTGAAAAGGATCTAGAGGTCTAAGCAGACCACAAGTTTAACATGAGCCAACACTGTGAAGAAGCAGCAAAAAAGGCTAATGCTATTCTAGTCTGCATCAACAGACCTACAGTGTCCAGATTAAGTGCAGTAATACTACCACTCTATTTTTGCTTTGATCAGACCACACCTGGAGTACTGTGTTTAGTTCTGGGCACCACAATATAAAGAAGAAATTGACAAGCTGGAATGTGTGCAGAGGGTAACCAAGATGATCAACGGTCTGGAAACCAAGCCTTATGAGGAATGGTTGAGGCAGTTGGGTATGTTTACCCTGGAAAAGAGGAGACAGAGAGGGGATATGAATGCCATCTTCAAATATTTCAAGGGCTGTCACATGGAAGATGGAGCAAGTTTACAGTGGTACCCTGGGTTACAAACACCTTGGGTTACAGGCTCCGCTAACCCGGAAGTAGTACCTCGGGTTAAGAACTTTGCCCCAGGATGAGAACAGAAATCGTGCGCCAGCGGCATAGTGGGAGGCCCCATTAGCTAAAGTGGTACCTCAGGTTAAGAATGGCTTCAGGTAAAGAACGTTTCTCCGGAACGAATTAAGTTCTTAACCAGAGTTACCACTGTACTTTCTCCTGTTCCAGAGGCCAGGACCCAAACCAATGGCGTCAAGTTACAAGGACTAAACATCAGGAAGAAATTTCAGGTGGTAAGAGCTAATTGACAGTGGAATGGACTCCCTTGGAAAATGATGGACTCTCCTTCATAGGTTTTTAAGCAGAGGTTTGATGACCACCTGTCATTTATGATTTAGTTCAGATTCCTGCATTGCAGGAAGCTGGACTAGATGATCCTTGAGATACCTTCCAACTCTACATTCTGTGATTCAAGATAGCTCTCAAGTGAAAAAATGCTGCTTTCTCCAACCTTTGTGAGCCTGCAACTTTAAAGTTTTCATTGTACCTATACACAGTTTACAGAAATGGACATACTATTTCATTTATTTGTTCCCTCCCCTCTTCATGCAGTTTGCCTTCACATACTTTGGCAATCCTGTCATCTTGTCCATCTGACACAAATGCCAGGAGTCCTAGAGTTCACTGGAAGACAATCTTCCATTTTCCACTGCACCAAACAAAAAGATAACAGGTTACTAAAAGTCTACCATCTACCTGGTCATCCAGGGAAAGGGCCAAATTAGATGTATCAGTCTGATCTAGCAAGACATTCTCAGTGCAGTATCAGCCTCAAATACTAACAAATAGTAATCCATCCCAAGAAATTACCTACCTACCCTTCATTACACAACTCATGAAAAACCATGCTGGAGCAGGCAACACAAAACAATATCCTAGCAAAAGGTTTTTGAAAGACTGTGAAAAACTTTGGAGGCAATATGGTATACCACTATTTAGGCTGCCTAAAAAGAAGTGCACAGGATGAAGGATGTAGAACAACATTCACTCTACTCTTTTGGCATGGAAAACCTTATCACATTTCTGGAAGAACAGCTGGCGAAAGACAAGGGTATTCATAGAGAGAAGGAAGAAATAGCTAATAGATAGGCTGTCATAATCTGCTGCTGTTATCTTTTTACACAGCCAGTTCTCTCAAGTTATTATTTTCCTCCGAAAAAGTTCCATAGCAGAAAGGATCAAAATTAGGTAATTATGAGCTGTGTACTTGTCACCCTGCAGCCATCATCCATCTATCTGGCGGTGCAGATGACCACATATTATACCCAGGGCTTTTTTCAGCTGGAACTCACAGGAACTCAGTTCTGACACCTCTCAGGTGGGCGCCATTGCCATTATAAGAGAACAAGGGAGGCATTCCTGGTGAGTTCCAGCAACTCTTTTTCTCGAAAAATAGCACTGATTATACCTCCCCTATATTTGTATCACTGAATGAGCCGAGAGGAACATATGTGAATAGGCCTGGCGCCCCCAGATTATCCAAAAGGATATAGAAGATCAAGAGATTGGGGTCTCCATCATTATGAAAAAGCAACAACATATGATAAACTGCAACTGGTTGTACATGAGTCATAGCAAATGCTCAGTGTCCACACTTATCCACGAGACACTTATGTCTCAACAGGAAATTTGTGACCAGTCAAGAGTTAAACCCATCACAATATTTTACCTGCAGCAGGTCAAGAGCTGTTTCACACTAGCAACTCAGGGTATTTAATATTTACCTTAAATAGATGAAAAGAAAACACAAACAGATTCCTTATTGAGAAAGGGAACAAAAGAAATACACTGAACTTAAAGTCATTTCGGGCTAATAACTTCTTAAAGGATCTTAAAAATGATTAATCAAGCTTAAGGTCAACAATTTATTAGCCTATATGACATGTATACATTAGAAGGTCAAGATCCAATGTAGCATGAGTGGGTATTCACATGTGCAACAAGACTCTCCTTAGTCTCCTCCTTCCTGCAAACCCCGCATCTGCACCAGAGACATGGGGAATCCTCAGCAGGCATAGGCAAACTCCAGCCCTCCAGATGTTTGGGACTACAATTCCCATCATCCCTGACCATTCGTCCTGTTAGCTAGGGATGATGGGAATTGTAGTCCCAAACATCTGGAGGGCCGGAGTTTGCCTATGCCTGCCTCAGAGTGACAAGAGGGCCACAGGAAACTGGGGAAAGGGGGACAGAAACCCAAAGTCCTTTTGCACAAGTACATTTTGGTTCCACAAGTGAGTGGACATAACTGGATGCTGCCCAAAACCTAGAATTCTCAGGAGTCATTTATTTTTCAGACCAGTATTGATGCTGTAAAACCACACATTTATGATCAACAAAGGCCTCCACTATGACTCAAATGAGCATTTCTAAAAGGGGAAAAGAAATAGTTCGCTTCCCCCTTAAAAGCCATATACTTAGCATGTTGTAAAACATCAAAGGCCAGGCTACTGATGTAAACTCAAACCTCAAGAGAAGGGAATCACTCTAGTAGCAGGAATCAACAGACATATGGGTACAGGTCTAAAGAACAAGAGAGTTGACAGTGCTTCCTTGTGGCCAAAGCAAGGAATGAGAATGTGTGTGTTACAATAATATAAATCCTCTTCTTTGTCCATGCAAATCAAAACAGACTTAAATTAGTGTCAACGAGTACAAGTTTGCCTGTACATTGACACATGGTTCACCAAAGCATTGGGTACAATCTACAGTAGGATTCTACAATCCTATAAACTTCAGTATCTGCCCCTTTTAATTACAATGAAAAATCCACATTATATAAATTACTACGATAAGCAGTATTGCTCCCAAACTACTATAGATTCAATATGGGCTGTTTAAAAAGCAAAACATTTTTTTTTACACCCCCTCATTTCCTTCCTATAAGGTAATAGCCACCCTCCTCTCCCATATATGAGGCCTGTTCACTTTAGCTTGCACAGAGCAAATGCTGGCCCTGTGAAGCTTCAGTGACCACAAACAAGCAGCACAAAGCTTGGGAGAGCAAAGAAAATCCCATACCTTTAACCTTCACAAATGCAAGTCACACATACACATACACATACACACAATATTCAACTGAATGCACACCTATTCAGTCTCCCTCCAACAACCATGCAATAAAACTCCATTTTCGAAAGACCAAATGATACCAGGTTACACACACATATATATTTTTTAAAAAGAGTATTTACCAGGATCAAAGTCAGGAATGCGAGCTTGATAGTCTGCTCCGACCCTCATTCCTACATCTGCAACGGAAGAAAAAATAAATGCATCACTTAGAGGGGCGGTGGGGGAAAGACGCTGTTTTCTTCAGTCATGAAGTGTGATCTTTAAACAATATAGATTGTGAGCTAGAAGCATCACAAGCAAGCCAATCCAAGACCACCACTGCAGCCAAACCTTGTTATTTTGATAGCCTCAAACCTTTCACCCTTTGAACAAGTGTGGAGAGAGAGAAAGAAATGGGGGGTGGGGTGCAGATCACCCACCATCACCACCACTACTACTACCTCACACCGGAAAAAGAAAACCCTACTTCCTTTTAACACTCTAGGTAGGCAATAATTTCCAAAAGGTGAATAATTATTTTTAAAATCATTCTTTTTAAAAAACAAAACAAAACACCCATACGGTTTGACACCAACATCCCCTCCACTTTTTTTTTTATTGTGCAAATACTGCAAGGTGTTGGCCCGACTGTATGCATCAGCGTGCATCTCTAACCCACTCAAGGTACAAATAGTGAAGATTATAAGGCGATGCACATAAAATAGACCTGCATGCCGGCAATCCCTTCGTAATTCGTCCTCGTTTGAAAGGCTTACACTACTAAATCTGCACCATAGTGTACGCACAAAACACGCCCGCACGCACCTAAAGAGAAAGGCAACGCCGCGCCCGAGGTGCGGCTGCGATACACGCGTGTCCATTGTGAAAATGCACACCCACTCTCAACGGGATACGGACGGACGGATGGATGGATGGAGAAGCGGACAGGCTGGCGCGCGCGCACACACACGAACACACATATTGCGCACGCCCACGGGGAGGCAGGGAGAGCGCGCCCTCGCGCGCACACACATATGCCCACAGTAGACACACACACATACTTGCACTTTTTACCCTCACTCAGTCGAGCCCTCCACGCGCGCGCTTCAACCCACCACTCGCTTTGCGCGAACGCGAGGGCGCGTTCACACGTACACACACCCTGCGCACACACACCCCGGCAGATACACACACACACACAAACATATATTTATATATACAGGCTCCGTGGTGCAGCCGCCATGCAGCCAAGCCAGTGCGCAGTGGCGAAGCGACCAGGCCCAACCCGAGTCTAGTCTCGGAGGGAAGGGGCTGGTGGGGTGTTGGTGGAGGGAGGCTGAAGCTCGCACCGTGCTCGTCTCCGCTGTCGCCGCCGCCGCCGCCACCGCCTCCTCCTCCGCTCTCCGCCTCAGAAAAGTGCCCGTTGGAACCGGGGCTGCCGCCTCCGCCGCCGTTCTTGGTGCCGTTGGGGGCCCCCCTACTCTTGCCGCCCCCCAGGAGCTCGACTCCTTTCTCCATCATGCCCGGCATGACGGCTGCCGAGGCGAGGGGGCGGCGGGCGGTGGCAGCGGCTGCCGAAGGGGGGGAAAGTTAATATGGAGCCGCCATGTTGGTGCCCCTTTCCCCCGCCCCCCCCCCCCGCGGCTCAGGCCGCCGCGGCGCCGGCGCCTCCTCCCTTCCCTGCTCTCCCTCTCGCCGTCCCCCCCTCCCCACTCCGCTTCTGCTCGCCTCCTCCGCCCACGGGTCGGGGATCCCTCCGCGCCGGCCCAGCCGGATCTAGCCTCGCGCGCTGGAAGCTTGAGGAGAGAGAGGGCGAAGGCGGGACGGAGGTGCCTGTCGTCTGCCGCGCGCCGCGCCTCGGAAGGCCGGGGCCTCGCCTCTGAGGGGAGAGGACGGGCCGAAGCGCGGGGCTTTCGGGGGCGGCTATGAGGGTAGGGGGTGGGACGCCTAGTCGGCGTCGCGGCTTCGAGGCCTGCTTCCCCTCAACCGGGAGAAGGGACGCGAGCCGCCGAGCTCAAGCTTCCAGACTCGGATAAGATCCTCCCCGCGTGTCGGTCGCGGTTCCTACACGTGAAGCCTTAGCGTGACTTTTTCTGCATGTGGGAAACGTGCTGCACGCGTGCTCAGAGGGCTTCGTGCAGCAAGGAACCGCTTTCCAATATACAGGAGTCGTGCGGCCTGTGGGACCGCCCTTGGGCATCCGTCAGTCATCGCGGGACGGCTTGTACGTGTGAAATGGGACACTGCAGAACAAACTCCGGAAAGGGGAGTTTTCACGTCGCTTGACACGCCAGCAGCTCCACGTTTGGCTTTGCTTTAAGCAACCAGCAAAGGATTGGTTGTTGAACCTTCTTCAGGGTCCCAATATATGGCACTCTTTCAGGGTTTCAGGCTTCCCTCAAGCCAAGCGTGCGCCTCCCTATGCAGGGAAATTGGCCTATAATGCATTCAAAGCATACTGTTTTGAATTTCTAGCTAAGGCATTGGACTTTTTCATATACTGGCGTAGCATATTCTGTATCAGGGATTGGGAACGTTTCAAGTTGGAGGGCCGTATTCCCTTTGGTGTGGGGTGAGAGGCAGAAGTGGGCAGAGCGATTAATGTATTTCTGTGCACACTTTTGTATACCTCTTCTCTAGCCAAGCAGGCAGAAGGTGTCAAAATTCAAAGACACATCTCAGGCAGGCGAAAACACTTAAGGAAGGTGCAAAACAGAGCTGGTGAGGTCTGTGTGGCCTGGGGGTGTCACATATGTCTCCCAAGACTGAGGTTTCCCGTTCCAGTTCTACAAGCCATGAAATATCAGAGCCATTCACCCAACCACCCCATGTGTATAATTTGTTGTGTGATTGATGCATATTCATGTATTGCATCTGTTGCCTTTACAACCCATGTGAATATACTCTTACATGTCATTAGAAAGGGCTAAATGTAGGTGAGACATACATATATATCCCTGGCTCACTGCCATACACCACTGCATCTAAATATCACAGTGACTACAGGTTAGTGTGTCAGATTAAGCCCGGGGAGACCCAGGTTCAAATCCACATTTAGCTTATTGTGTGGCTTTGAGCAAGTCACTGTCTCAGACGATAGCTGAGGATAAAATTGTTGGTGTGCAGGAAGATAACTGCACACACCATCTTGAGCTTGAAGGAAATGCAGGATAGTTGAATGTCAAGTTAATTTTCTTTCTGTCTCATTTTCCCATTCTTAGATTCAGTTCTCCGGATTTTCACATCAGTTTGCAATGTTTTCTTTCATTCTTAAAAAAACAAGTTCTCATGAAAATTTAGCAGCAGTTTCGTGCAAGTTCTTTCTAAAACACAAATCTTGACATGCACTTTGACCTTATACACATATATGGCAAAACAATTTCCCCATATGCAATGTATTTTTGCACGCTATTTTCACTAATGCATACATTTTTATCCACACATGGAATTTGCACCTGTTACTTGACTGGAAAGCTATTTTTGTACAGCTTACTGCATTGCAAAATTTATTAAAAGAGCAAATTTTGAAGGATGCATGTGATTTGGCTCATGTATTGTTTTGGAAAGTGTGAATTGTTTCACCTTTAAATGCAAGCTAAATCAAATTTCTCCCACATACCTAGAAGCACATAAGCAGGGCCAGCCCACCCATGAGGTGGGATGAAGTAGCTGCCTCAGGCAGCAGAAGCCCTTGAGGTGGCGCCCTGCTCTGGCAACTTGTTTGGCTTATTCCTCCCTGCCCACCACAGAAATATAAGGGGCTTCTGGAGCTTGCTTATGTCCAGGAAAGGCAAAGGGTTGCAACTAAGAAGGTGGGTGGGACTGAGCACGTGACGCCATGAGCCACATGGCAATACTTCTATTAGGACCACCCATTAGTTAAATAAGGTGGGTGTGGGGATGTAAGAAAAAACTGAATAGTGTAGTTGCTTCCCAAGTCTGCAACTTCTCACAATATAGAAGATGTTTTGCAGGTACAACTGAGTTAGACTATCAAGGTGCAAGACGTAAGGTGCATCCAATGCTATCGGGACAAAAAAAAACAAGTCAATGCTTCCCCATGTTTGAGAATATAAAATTCAAAAGTTATTGGAGTCTGTCCAAACACACGACTGTCAGAACACACATGACTTGACCCTAGGGAGATGGAGAACAAAAATAAAGAGCAATGTGATAGTCTTTATATACTAGAGAATATTTATATACTAGGGAATATTTAGGTGATGCGCAATTTAAAAAATCAATTGGAACCAAATTTTGTAATATTATGTACAGACCATCTGTAGATCCCTAAAAGACAGGGTATAGGCTCATGAGGCAAATTTGATTAAATGTGCATATGTTAATAATGGAGAAAATAATAATTTCATAAAACACCATAATCTTGACGATTCCATTTTCTTTTGAGTTTATGGCCTAGCTAAACTGAAAAGACCTGTGCTATGTAATTAATGTTCCAAAACACTGAAAATAATAAATGGTTAGAATCTATGGTGTCCGCTGTATGCATGAAAAGAGAATCAGCTAGGCATGACAATTGTGATTAATCTTGAATTGTTTTGTAGACAGATGAAAGAAGATATTTGGAGACATTCAATGAATAGGAAAATTAGTAAAAGTCTTAATAGAGAAAGACACTGAAAACTGGTTACATGTAATCACATGATATTATAATGAGGGCTGATCTGAAGATCCAAATGATTTTAATTGGTTTTAGGATTATGACATTGGGTTGCAGCTATTAAGATTGCTGTGATCCCTTGACTGGTGAATAGAAATCACGTGTGTAATCTGGAAGTGTATAAAAACATTGCTTTGAATGTGGTTCTTTACAGCCTTATTTTTGCGGAGGATAGCTGCACAAATTGCCTTCAGTCTTCGCACCCCTTAGTTGTGTGGGTGGTTTGTGGCACAAATCAGAGCTCTGGGCCTCTTTGGTGCATGCTACTACAGTGGTACCTCGCAAGGCGAATGCCTCGCAAGACGAAAAACTCGCAAGTCGAAAGAGTTTTTCGTTTTTTGAGTTGCTTCGCAAGACGAATTTCCCTATGGGCTTGCTTCGCAAGACGAAAAACGAAAACGTCTTGCAAGTTTGTTTCCTTTTTCTTAAAACCGTTAATACCCAGGGTGACTTCGAGGAGCAACTCATAGCACGTGGTGTGGTAGCCTTTTTTGAGGTTTTTGAAGAATTTGGTGATTTTGAAGACTGGGAAACCGTGCTTCGCAAGACGAAAAATTCGCAAGATGAAAAAACTCGCAGAATGAATTAATTTCGTCTTGCGAGGCACCACTGTATGTTAATTAGGGGAAGTGTTGAGATGCAACTCAGCTTGCTCAGGGGGTTGCATGAGGTTAAAGCAGATAGAGAAGGAAACTTCCAAGATTCCTAAACTGTCTCACTGTCCTTTGACCTCTGTGCTGACCTTTCCTCTAATGTTACATGGTTATTCTCAAGTTGTGGCTCTTGCTTCCTGCCTGCCTTCTTTTCAGACCCTCTTGCAGAGAGGAAATCTTTGGAAGTACTGTACCTGTACTGTACTTTTCTGTGTATAAGACTAGGTTTTTTTTACTTTTAAAATAAGGTTAAAAATCTGGGTGCGTCTTATATACAGATAGTGCATATGCCCATTTTCTAAATTTGGGCTCCCCAAAAGTCAGGGGGTGTCTTATGCATGGGGATGTCTTACATACGGAAAAATACGGTACCTCTGCTAAGTGCAAGCAGCTAGTATGGCTCCCTTGCAACTCTATCTCAGCTAGCTAGAACTAGGAGCTCTTTTCTACCCAAGTATGCACAGTATTTCCTACAATAAACTTAGTGTCTTGTTTTCCCGTACCAAGTTTCTCTGTGTGATTGCAACCAAGGTAAGCCTGCTCTCCTTCAAGGTTTCAGTACAGTCAGCTTCCAAGTTGTGTGCTAACTCTGCAAAATAATTCAAGATTAATGCTGCTCGTCCAGTCCCCAATGTTCATGTACCAGGGGCAGAGTCAGCATCATTAGGGCAGAAAGTGACACTACATGCACACCAAACCGGTGTGTATCTCTGCTTAGAGTGGCTTCCACCTAACAGTCATATATGCTGCCCCAGTGGCCCCAGCAGCCTGGCAGGGGAGGTGGTGGCATCCTAGCTTTTATCCCACCATATTGGGAACTGGTGCTGGGCCTGATTACCTAACGGTGGGATACCTGACGGCATGTAACTTCCCAAACTGAAGTCACATTTGCAGGTGGGGGAAAATCGTCTTCATTTTCTGTATCCCAATATCTTAAACTGTAAGATATTCCATACTTCCTTCAAACTCCCCAAAGGCTCCTCTATGAAGCAGAAAGCTTCTGTTAACAAGACCGTCAGTGAGATTATTCCCTTGCCAGGCTAAATATGTGCCTGATCTGTTACTACAGAGGAAAGCCAAGTCCAACCAAGCAATTAGGCAGTTTTTCATCGATAGACATTTTTGAGTTTAAAGCCTACTAGGAAAAGCAGAAGCAAAGTAATGGAAACATTTAATTACTCTGTATTCCACTCGCACATTTATATATTTATAAATTGCATTTAAATATAAAATATCATGGCGGCATTCAGACTAAAACTGCAGTATTACAAGAAAAATGTCCATTGTTACATAATGTTACATTCATGGCTGCACAGTATTACGGTATTAAATATGATACAGTACTCCTTAGTAATATCTAATGGAAACATTTAAGCATAATTGCGCCAGGTAGTAAAGGTACGGCCAAGTGCTTACAAAAATCAATAGGTGATCTATAGAAGTTCATTTAATATTACTCACCGGAGGAGAGATTAAGAGGAGGAACTGAGAAAATGCTATATGATCAAACTCTCAGAAGATTAATAAACATAAAGAAAGGGCATACAGATCTAGCTTGAATCAAGATACACACACAAACACACAAAGTGTGGAGAAAAATATGGTAGTCCAATATTGTGATAATTGTGGTGAATGTTAAAGCTTTAGGTCAAAAGTCTCTGAACCCAGTGCCCTCCACACGCTTTGGATTACAATTTCCATTAGCTCCAGACTAATGTGTGTGTCACTGTGGCCAGATCTGACATCTCCAGAAAAGAACACAAGTGGCAAGCTTTCCACAATTGGCCCAAAACATTGCTTTTTGCTACCAAAATATGGGTATCTAGGTTTAGGATTGAATCTAGGAGTACCCTGCTAAACTATGAACTTGGGTTTTTAAGGGGAGTGCAACCACATCCAAGACACATCAATCTCTTACGCCTTGTCCGGGCTTGAGTTTGTTTGCTTTCAAAGAGTTCAATCCTAGAACAATATTATTTCTTATACACAATAATGGCCTAAAAGGAAAACAATGAGTTCTTTTTTGAGACTAATTTTTATTTGATTTTACAAGTGTAAAGTTATAACAATACCAAATAAACATCAACATTTCGAGATTTCTCTGACTCTCTAGACTTCTCTCCATCCCCTCCTTGAGTCTTATTGTCAACTTTTTCAACTGTATATTATTTCATAGTCCATATTTTAAATCTGTCCATAATACTTGTTACATTACAGGTGTTATTAAAATCCTGCTAATGTATTCATCTGCTTACAGTGGTCTCCTAAATAAGTTGTAAATTTCCTCCATTCTTTCTTGGAAGTTTTTGTCTTCCTGGTTCCTGAGCTTTCCAGTCAGCTTTGCCATCAGCTTAAGTCCATCAGCTTAGTTTGCCATTCCTCTCTGGTAGGGACTCTTTCTTCTTTCCATCTCTGGGCTAGAAGCATCTGTGCGGCTGTTGTCGCATACATAATAAGTCTTTTCTCTCCTTTGGAATTACAGTACCTATAATTCCTAATAAAAAACGTTTCTGGTTTTTCAACAAAAGTTATTTTAAATATTTTTTTCAGTTCATTATATATCATCTCCCAGAAAGCTTGTATTACCTCACACGACCACCACATATGATAAAAGGTACCACTGGTACATCATTTTCATATAATTTTATTTCAGTGTAGAATTTGCCGTAAATTTCAAATCTATTTTCTATAACTTCTCCCAATCTGCAATCTGAATCTGCAATCCGTTGCCCAGTGTATCATTGCAGATTTAACCTGTTCGTCTTTTGTATGCCTTTCCAAGAGCAATCTACACATTTTCGACAGTAATTTAACATTATTTCTCAACAAACCTTTTTGGAATCTTGATATCTCATAACTAAAACATTTCTTCTTATCTGTCTTAAAAATATCATTTAACTGGTATATCATTTAACTGGTATATTTAATTTAATTAAAAATATCATTTAAAAGGAAAACAATAACTGAGTCCCCCCCGCCCCTCCCCCATTCTACAAAATCTGTGTCAGGCTGCCTGAAGATGATTCCTGCTCACCAAAGGTGAATAGTCAACTGGCAACTAGAACAGTTCAACTGTGTCACTTTGGAGCAAATGTCTTAGCTAAAGTGAGTTGGACAAAGGACACACACACAATACATTTAAAGCAGTCTTATACCACTTTGATACTATTTCACCAAATAAATTCTGGGAACTGTAGCTTGTTAAGGGTGCTGAGGGTTGTTGGGAGACCACACACAGAACTACAATTCCCAGCCCAATTAGCAAATGGCAGTTCCCCAACATTTTTTGTGGGAAGCTACGACTGTTAAATGGAGAGTTCAGTAGACTGCAAGAAGATCAAACCGATCGATTCTTAAGGAAATCAGCCCTGAGGGCTCACTAGAAGGACAGATCTTGAAGCTGAGGCTCCAATACTTTGGCCACCTCATGAGAAGAGAAGACTCCCTGGAAAAGACCCTGATGTTGGGAAAGATGGAGGGCACAAGGAGAAGGGGACGACAGAGGACGAGATGGTTGGACAGTGTTCTCAAGGCTACCAGCATGAGTTTGACCAAACTGCGGGAGGCAGTGGAAGACAGGAGTGCCTGGCGTGCTCTGGTCCATGGGGTCACGAAGAGTCAGACATGACTAAACAACAACAACAACAACAACAACTGTTAAAGTGGTCTAAGGGTACTTTAAACTGGGGAGCCTTAGGCTCAATTCTTGGTCCTCCGCAGAGCTTACTGGTTTATTTATTTCATTTATATATTAACAACAACAACAACAGTTAAGGCAATTGTCGATATAAAAACAATTTCAAATCCAATACAGATG